GAAGAGGGGATTTGCTGATGCTCAGGTCCATCTTCCTGCCATGGCTAGCTAGCAGCTATCTGTGATACCCGACAGCTGCTGGGGAGTTCATCCTGTACAGCCTTCATTAGAATGATTTGCCTGCATATACTTTGTCCTGCATCATTCCCTCGGGTGATGACTGAGGAAGCTTAGCAGGGACAGAATGCTGACTTTGGATTTGGAGGAGGAAAACAGAAAAATGGGATGGGTAGATAGTATGGAATGCAGTGCCCTGGAAGAGGGAAAATACCTCCCCCTCTGTACTAGTGCCAGACCCATTTCTGTGTCCCATTTTGATGTGCAGGATAGGAACTTGTCTTTATTGCTGTATTATTTTACCCATCTTGCTTGTTTCTTAAAAAAACTTTCCCCCTTCTATCTACTCCTTCCAGGCCTTTCTCCACACAGCTAAAGCCATCTATAAAAAGATCCAGCAAGGCCATTTTGATGTTAACAACGAGGCAAGTCAGACCTAGTGGCCTACCTTGATGGCCCATCAAACCTGTAGCTCAAAATTTTGTGATGGGGCTGGGATGGGGATTGGCTAATGGGTATGTGTGTCAGTACAAATAGTTCTCAGATTTGTAAAAGTGATTTGTATTAAATTTTAATGCAATAAAACTTGATTTTGTATATTAAGATACTAGCGAACATAGGTAAAAAGTAAAGGTAAAGGACCTCTGGACGGTTAAGTCCAGTCAAAGGCGACTATGTGGTGCGCTGCTCATCTCACTTTTCAGGCCTAGGGAGCCGGTGTTTGTACACAGACAGCTTTCCGGGTCATGGGGCCAGCATGACTAAACTGCTTCTGGCACAATGGAACACAGTGATGGAAGTCAGAGCGCATAAAAACACCATTTACCTTCCTTCCCACCAGAGCGGAACCTATTTATCTACTTGCACTGGTATGCTTTTGAACTGCTAGGTTGACAGAAGCTGAGACAGAGCAACAGGAGCTCCCCGTTGTGCGGATTTGAACTGCCAGCGTTCCAATCAGCAAGCCCAGAAGCCTCAGTGGTTTAGACCACAGTGCCACCCATGTCCCTAGCAAACATCGAGCTGCCTTATACCAGCTCAGACGATAGTCACATTGGACTGTAGTGATAAACCATTGCTTAATGCAACATTAACAAGCCTAGCTGCCTCCTCAGGTCATGCTCTCCTGTCGTCGGCTTTCACATGGCTAGGAGAAGATAGAAAAAGCAAAGGCTTCCCAGCTTAAATGTAACTTGTTGCTTAAACGCAAACCAAGATCATGGTTTGAACATGAACTATGGTTTTTTGTTTGTTTGTTAAAAAACCTACATCAAACCATGTGCTGGTTGAAACAAAACATAGGGTTAAATCATGTTCCTCAGCTGAGACAAAGAAAAAGCTGTGTTTAAAAGAAGGTAAATGCTTCCAGATTCCTCCTGCTCACACAGAGAAGGAGAGCAGGGAATGTACCGGCTAGAAAGAGGCAAAGCTCATTCACGCAGCACTAAACCAAGGTTTAGATTAGAGGATTATACAAATTAATGGAGGCTATTGATGGCTCCTAGCCACGGTGGCTATGTTCTATCTTCACAGATGGAGGCAGCAATGCTGGATACTACAGAAACCCAGTTTCAGACTTTTAAAAGACTCGGTTGAAGGAGTCTCTTGGAGGAAACAGCCGCTGCCTAGAGCAAGGGTAGTCAATGCTTCCCCCTCCAGATATTGCTGGTCCACAATTCCTATCAACATCTGGAGGGAACTAGATTGGCTACTCCTGGCCTAGAGGGACCGCCTCTTTCTGCGGCTTGCCAAAATCGGCTTGGGCAGTCACAGATGGCATCATTAAAGCGGTCGAAGCAGTCCTGGCTTTCCTTCGGATTATTATTAACTAAGCCCTTTTATTTCTCCACCTGCAGGGAAACGGCATCAGGATCGGCCCCCAGGAACCCACAGGAAGATCCTCCGCTGGCCACGGTCGTCAGGCCTCTGGAGACCGGTCAGGGTGCTGCTGAATTTCCCCTGAAGTCCATCCAGGCTGGGGAACACACGGGAAGATGCGTCTTCCGTGTCTTGCTCTCTTTCTCTCTTTTGGTTTCAGGCACCACACTGGGGGCAGGAATCCTTCAAGCTCACCTTCCCTCGACCTTGTTACAGTCTATCTCTGCCCTCCAAATGGTGCCATCCTAGACCTAGAGTTGATTTTGGCCGGTGGCTGTTGGGGTGCTAGTAGTAACTCTTCCAAAAGCCTCCCATTTGAGGACCTCTCTTCACTCCCTCATAGGCGAATGGTGCTTCCAAGTTCCCTCCTCCACCAATCTGTGCCTTTCCTCCAGCAGTTTCCTCTTCTAATGTTGGAGCTTTCCATTGCCCACACTTTGGGTTCACAGACGCCTTGGCAGAGGGGCTGGGGAGAGCGTAATCCAGGCCAATCTAACCAATCTTAGATTTTAAGCTCTACTGCACTGTTGTTTCAGCTTTATATTAAATATTTCCATGTTTGACATTATTCTCTGACATGTCTTCTTCTTCGTCTTCTTTGGTGATCACTCCTGGCCAAGTAAAATTGTCTTCCATGAACACGGTCTTAACAGTGAGTCCGTAAGTGATTGTGGAGGCCAATTCTGGATCCACACATCCTTCCACAGTGGGGACATAGGTTTCCAGGCGGGAGTTGATCATGGTGAGGGTTTGTCAAGCATGCCTCCTCTTAGTGCATTTCTCCCTTTCGTTCTGAGTTTGTGTTTCTTCAAAGTCCATGGCAAAGGCTGTTCTCCAACTGGAGCGCTGGTAGGCCAGTGTTTCCCAGTTTTCCGTGCTTATACTGCATTTTTAAAGGTTTGCCTTGAGAGCGACTTTAAACCTCTTTTGTTGTCCATGGGTATTTCACTTTCTGTTCTTAAGCTGGGAATAGAGTAGTTGTTTTGGAAGACAATAATCAGGCATCCAGACCACATGACCAGTCCAACAAAACTGATGATATCTCTGGCATGTATTTATATACTGGGAGAAGGAAGAAAAAATTGATATATTGAATGGACTTGACTGTTTTGCATCCTGCCATGGCAGCTCCATAACAGAAGCTACCAACAAGCATCAAAACCACTTGCTTTGAGCGCAGTGACATCCTCTTTGCGGGCAAGAGATAGTATCTCTGGCTATTGGAACAAACAAAGGAATCTGCTTTGTGCCTAGGCAGAGATCTTTAGAATATACATATAATGTATACATTTATTCATTGTAAAATCCTCAAAGCAGTTTACAAAGAGAATAAGACAAAAGCCCTGCAGTAAAAACAGTTTAAAACAACTACCGGTATGTAAAACTTCTCCCAAAATCAGCAATGCACTTAAAACACATTATAAAACACATTAATGTTCCACACGTCTGTGTAGATTTCAGAGGGAGTATCCCAGCTGATGGGAACCTCAGGTGGGGAGAATGCTGTTACACCCAGGTCCTGCTTGTGGGTGCCCCATGGGCACCAGTTTGGCCTTTGTGAGGACAGGGTGCCGGACTAGAGGGGGCTTTGGCCTGATCCAGTAGGACTGATGTTCATCCGGCTGCTGATCCTTTTAAACTGGAGATGCGAGGAACTGAATGTGGCAACCTACTAAATGCAAGGCATGTGCTCTTCACTGAGTTATAGTGGGGTGAGGATGCATACATGCCGTACATTTAAAGCACACATACTGGGGGGGGTTAATAATGTGAGCTGTAGCTTAAGGGTGCTGGGAATTATAGATCTGTGAGGGGTAAACTACAGTCCCCACAATTCTTGGTGGAGTGTGTGTGTGCTTGAAATGGAAGTTGTATATACAACCATTGCCTGTTCTGCAATTTATTAAACTGAAAGGGTAGATCCGTGGGTGATTAAATGCAGCGGTAGTCTTTTCTTTGATGGAAGAATGATGTATTTCCAAGGGGTGGGAGTGACACAGTCTGCAGAATGCCAAAAACACATCCAGAGGTGTTCCTGCATGGGCATTTGTTTAGGGTCAAGATTAAGATTGTGGATTATAAGGGTCCATCCCAGCTCTACAATTTTTATGTATGCTTCCCTAGAAGTAAGCCACATTGAGCACATTAGGATTTATTTCTGATATACCCCCGAAAGAGTGCTCAGTAAAAAAAGCTCAATACTCAACTTTTCCAAAAAAAAAAAAAAAAAAAGTTTAACAACTTAACTTGTGTCCTCTGGACTGTCACTTTTTGAAATATGGCAACCCTAATGGTCCTTCATCATCTTGGAAAAAGATGATCTGGGTATGTTTAGTCTGGATAAGGGGATGCTGAGAGGATATATGATAGCTGTCTTCCAATATCTCAAGGCCATGAATGAATCACGGAGCCTGCAAGTCAAGTCCCACTTCCTTGAGACAAAGTACGAAATACCATATGGTTTCACTACTTGATGGCGAAGTCAGATTTACTAGCTTTTATTATTATACGGATCAGCATCATCATATGGACCAAGAGACTGAAAATGGACCAGACAGGCGTGAAATCTGTTCCATGTCCCAAACTGCTCAGGCTCCGTTTTCCTCCTCTGTGAAATGGGAAACTAACCACAGTGGCATGCCCTGCAGGACTGTTGTAAAGGGCAAACAAGTAAAGGGCAAAAGCATATGCATATATCACAAGCATGACTGCTTTTGCACTGGGGCCACATATCTGGCCCCCCGCGCCTCTCCATCCCTCCCAAGATGGCTTCCCCATATAGGTGCCTAACGCATTGCCCGTCTGCCGGGGCGCGGGCCGCGCCAAGATGAGATTGCCACCTCTCCACAGGCCCCCACGGTTTAAAAACAACAGCCCTTCAACAATACTGTATATTACTTTTATTTGTATTGGTGGCACGGAATAAATCAGGCGACTTCCTTAGACAGCCTCTCCACGAGCTGGAGGCCCGCTTCCCCCGCTCCCGCTTCCCTTCTCCCCCTCCCCCGCCCCACTCCGGAGAGAGAGAGACTGACTTCCTGGAAGGTTCTCTCAACCTAACCTGCTGCCTGGCCCCGCCCCCAGGCCTCCCGGGTCCTTCGTCGGCGGCCGTAGCCTGGCGGAGGAGCGGTGGGCGTGGCTTGGAGGGCCCCCGAGAGAAGTTAAGTTGCACCGTCCATGCTCGGCTGCCTTGTTCTCTCTTCTCTCTCCTTAGGAGAGGGGAGGGGGGCGGGAGAAGTGGCTCCTTAGAGGGTGAGTCCGCGTGGGGGGAGGGGACCAGGCCCTCAGGTAAGAGGTGCTATTATATTTTTTCAAATATAAAAAGGCCTTTTCCTCTTTCTCTTCACAAACCCACACGAGCGCGGGGGGGGGGGAGGGAGAGGGGGGAGGATTATTATGGGATGGCCCTCTTCACGATGCAGGCCCGATGCGGGGACGTCCCCTCCCCCTCCCCCTCCCTCCCTCACCGCCGCCGCTCTCCTACGGCGAGTGAGAGGGACCATTTCTGAAGGGAGGGGGAGGGCCCTTCGCTTTCCGCCCTCCGGGGTTCGCTTAATGGGAAAGGTGGGAAGGAGAAGCCAAACTCAGCTTTTGCAGAGGGGGAAGGAAGCAAAAGGCTGCTTGGGTGTATTTCCTCCCTCCACCCCCCCTCCAAAAAAAATATCCATGTCGCATTCTCTCTTGTGCATTTCTCTCCCTCCCCCGTCCCTGTCGGCTCTTTTATTTTGTGTGTGTTTTCATCGCCATCCGGTTTCTAGTAAAGGTTGGGAAGGAAGGATTGCACCCCTGCGAAAGCCCTTGCACACACAGGCCGGCTCGGAGGAGGAGAGGAAAAGGAGGTGGATTGATCTTGGATGAAAAGAAGGGAGCTGGATTTGGAGAGAAAAAGGAGGAGGCCGAGATCTGGGTGGTGGGTGGATGTTGCATCCAGGAAGGGGATTTTCGGTGGACGTTTGTCGGGAGCAAGCTGTTCGCAGAGAGGATGGCTCTCCTGCACTGCGTGGACCTTTTGCGCCTGTGGGTCGTTCCGTGCAGAAGTTGTGATGGGGTGGGAAGAGAGCATGCGGGCACAGTCCTACGAGGAAGTGAGTCCCGTGTTGCCACATGGAGTTTCGCACGGAGTGGGTGGTAGGGTTCCCTGATGTACTGCCGAACAGCAGCAGCCTTCAACACTGTCAGCTCCAGGCGCACCTGGAACCTGAGTGTGCATTTGGGGACCAGTTTCTTACACGGTTTTATTGTATATTTGTAGGGCTGCCCATGTTGGAGCTGGCTGTAACTTGGTAGTTCAGATGTTTAAGAGCTTGCACGTGGGAAAGCTTTTAAATGCAGATGTGTCTGGTTTTGAAATCAATGAGTGGCCAGGTGAGAAAGTGGATCTACAAGTGCTTGTCAGCTTCCTAGCCATTTGTGTGCGAGGGACTTGTCAATGGATGTGTTCTCGCAGACAGAAATTTCAGCCTTCCGCATGGCATCTTTTTTTCATTTCTACACATCTGCGTCTGGGAATGGCTTTCATATGTTTTATCACAAAAGTATAGGAGGAAACCAGTGCAGATGTCTCCTCTGTTCTCTGGTGATACTGACAAGGTCAGAGGAGAGTCTAGTCAGTTTCCACCTATGCTAGGAAGAATTTGCCCATTCACTCCTTTCCCATGTTGTGTTTATGCACAATTGTTGATGCAAAGGCTTTTTTCCTAACAGTTTCTTTCTTTGGAGAGTGTAAGTGGGGATAGTGAAAAAAACGGCAGAGGGGTGGGCTGGAATGATACCTGGGCTAGAGAGATTTGCATGCAGCTAATTTTTTTATCGCCATTTCTCTCAGACAGAAAGATGATCTTAGGGTGGGACCTGTGAAAGTGTGTTTTATTGTGTTGTTTGGACCAGTGATTGGGAAGGAAGAGGTGTGATCTGTAGTTCACAGATTGTTTAGGAAAATATTCTGATGTATTGAGAGTTAAACCACAGTCCTGAGACATGGGTGTGGAGGGGAGATTTTCTGCAGTGTTCATCAGATGTTTTAGTCTCTTGCCCCATGCAGACTTGGAAACATTTTCAAGGTTCCTGAGAATCAACATTTGATTTGTTAGGCACACAAGTAGCTGAATACCTGATATATTTCTAGTCTTGTTGATCTGTGTTTCTTTCTCTTTCCCCCTCCTCTTTAGAAGGCGGCTGCAAACCTACGCTATTTACTTGGAAGTAAATTCTGTTGGAATCAATGGGATTTACTCTCAGGTAAGTGTAGCTTACAATAGGGGTGGAAGAAAATGTATGTTGGGGAAAGGGCAACTAGGAAGGCTTCAAGCCTTTGCATGTGTTTGAGGGTTGAGCTAATATTGATCAGCCCACATTGTCAAAGATGGTTTGTAGAGGGAAACAGGAAGTAGTGGAACTGAACAATGATTTCAGCTAAGAATGGCCTTTTCAGTTTCAAGAATTCTAATAACTGATTTCAGTGCAATCTTGTACATGACTCCTCAAAATCAAGTCCCAGTTTGAGTGGGGCTTAGTCCCAAGTAAGTGGGTATAAGATTACATCCATATTTAACTTTTCCCCATATCTATGAATGCATATTTAGTTGCTTAATGCCAGTGCTTTATCTTTTGACTTCCACTCTCACGTTCTGAGCGTTAGTATGGTTAAAAAAATGGTGAAAGGATGCATCCCTTTGCCCTGCCCCCAGTCTTACTGCATATGGTGAAATAAGGATTATAATCTGCTCTAATTGTTACGGAGCCGGGGAGTGGTTGTTGTTATGGAACAATTAACATGAGGTGTCTGGGTGGGTGGAATATATTATACTGTCTAAAGGTGTGCATAAGCTGGGGTGAGGAAAATGTACACTTGGCATTCATGTACAGTGGTACCTCGGGTTAAGTACTTAATTCGTTCCGGAGGTCTGTGCTTAACCTGAAACTGTTCTTAACCTGAAGCACCACTTTAGCTAATGGGGCCTCCTGCTGCTGCCGCGCCGCCGCTGCACGATTTCTGTTCTCATCCTGAAGCAAAGTTCTTAACCCAAGGTACTATTTCTGGGTTAGCGGAGTCTGTAACCTGAAGCGTATGTAACCCAAGGTACCACTGTACTTTTTAGTTTGGGGGAAGGGAATAATTATTTTTTTATAGGCAGTCCTAGAGACCCACCAGAGGTCAGTCAATTCTGGGCATCCTACTATACACATTTTCTCCCTCAGCCAGCTTTTGGGCTGAATATTTTCAGCATTTAATGTTTTGAAAACCTCACTTTCTCTCTGTAGCCAAGGACTGGTGATGGTGCTTCTGCTCTTTGAGATGGGTTGGTCTGTGGATGGCATTGGCTTCAACGTAACGGAGAAGCCAGAGAATGTTGCAACAATTGGGCAGGTATCTGCCATGGGTGGTAGAGGGCAGGGATGGGCAACCTGTGCCCCTTCCCAATGTTGCAAGGCTGCAACTCCCATCTTCCCTGATTCCACTGGCCATGCTAATGGGAATTTTAGTCTGACAACATCTTGAGGGCCACATTTTGCCCGCAACCTCCTTAAAATTATTATTTATTGGACTTATTAGTTTTTTAAAAAAACAAACTTAATTTAAGTTCAAAGTTAATTGCAATATAATGGAAAGCAAAAATTAAAATAATAGAAAGCTAAAAATAAACTAAAAGTTAAAAATTTTGAGATACATAAAAAGCAGTCTTAACAAATCCCGCCCACTGAAAGAGGCTACAGTGTCAAAAAGTTAAAGACCAAAAGCTTGGCTTAAAAAAAAAAGAAGTTTCCCCCTGGTGCCTAGAAGTAGCTAGTGATGATGCCTAGCATGCCACCCTGGCCAGAGCATTCCTTAAGTGGGGAGCCACCGCTGAAATGGCCTGGTCTTGTGTTTCCACCATCCAGATTTTCCTCCGAGAGGGCCCACTGAGAAGGAGCTCAGATGAGGAACACAGGGTCTGGTTTGGTTCGTAAGGGGAGAGGAGGCGAGCTTTAGCCCATCATTGATCAGAGTTGTCATTTGGTCTTCTCCACGTGCCCTAATAGTCCCTGATAATTTATTTCCCACAGCTGCTTGGCAAACTGGGGAGCCAGCTGGGCTTTTGTAGGCAAGCAAGGGCATCAAGTTCCTGGGACATTTACCCACTGCAAAAGCTGACTGTGACTTCAAAAAGGCCAGCAGGAAATCCCCAAAGCCTCCAGAAACACCAACCAGGATTCATCAGGCTTTGAGTGAGGACTTTCCTAATATGTCTCCCACAAAGATGTGCTGTTTTGAGCTCCCATGACCTTAAACCAGGAGTGGGGAACCTGGTCCTCTCTAGATGTTGCTAGAATACAGATCAGTCCCAGCCAGTACAGCCAATGGTCAGGGATGACGAGGGATTTGGACCAGCATCTGGCGGTCCAATGGTTCCCCAGTCCTGGTCTGGGAATGGCAAGTTCCATCCAAGACTGGCTTCATGTTTGGTGGACCTCCCAATACGTTTCCAAGCACAATTCAAAGTGTTGGTGTTGATCTATAAAGCCCTAAATGGCCTTGGGCCTGTATACCTGAAGGAGCATCTCCACCCCCATTGTTCAGCCCAGACCCTGAGGTCCAGCTCCAAGGGTTTTCTGGTGCGGTTCCCTCACTGTGAGAAGTGAACTTAAAGGGAACCAGGCAGAGGGCCTTCTGAGCAATGGCACCTACCCTGTGAAATGCCCTCACGTCAGATGTCAAGGAAATAAATAAATATACAACTTGTAGAAGACACCTGAAGACAGCCCTGTATCAGGAAGTTCTTAATGTTTGGTGTTTTATTATGTTTTTATATGTGTTGGAAGCCAGAGTGGCTGGGGCAACCCAGCCAGATGGGTGGAGTATAAATAATAATTACCTTACTATTGTTATTATTTGGATGAAATGTTCTAGCTGGGCACACCACCTCCTTGCTGTTGTGGCCACTGCTCTTTTTGCTTGTCCTCTTCTCCTGGGCCAAGTCCAGACCAGCTGTCCAGAAGGAGAGTGCAAGGCAAGAGGGAGAAGGATGCTTAATCTCTGCAATATGGTCACTATTTGTCTGCTTGGAGAGGTAAAGTGACTGGGCATTGAGAGCAGTGAGGGACAGGGGTTCTGGAAGTTGGCTGACAGCCTGTTTTGAATGCCGAAAGTCCCAGGTTCAGTACCCAGCATCTCCAGGGAGAGGCCCCTTTCAGAAAACCTGGAGGATTGCTGCTGGTCATTGTGGACAGTATGAAGCTAGATGGATCTAGTGGTCTGACTCTCTGTAACACAGCTTCCCATGTTTCTATTGGCCCAGTGTGAAGCTCCCCGAGTTCCCACTGTGCATATCTCTGCAGAGACAGTGCAGATGGAGCCATGGACACAGCTGGTTGTGGAGTGTTAGCTGTGTGCACACTGTCAGTTTCCATGCTCTCCTGAAAGGCTGCTTCTCTTGAAGTCTGAAAAGAGGAAGGGGTTCATTTGTCGTATTCCCATTGTGATGTGTTCACTGCATTGCCGCTCCTTTGGGAGAAAGGGCAGGATAGAAATGCAATAAATAAGTGTTGAACAAGGTGACTGGCATGTGAGAAAGTTGCTCCTGCCTTGGGGGCAGGGGGTTGGAATAGGTGGTCCGCCTCGTCCTTCCTGAACTCAGCAGGATCATCTTCTTGCTTTCTTGGTTTGCTGGAAGGAAAGCGGGCTGTGTTAATATGGGCTTGCAAATAAGCCACTTGCCTGGCCTACCTAGTGTCAGTTTGCATAAATGCAAAGTGGGATTAGAGGATAAAAGGAGCCCCGATCTGTCATTTCTGTGAAGAACTTGTGAGGGGGTTTGCTCCTGTACTAATTGGAGACAGGGTCACCGATGAGCTCTTTTGTGCTGTTCCCTGATAGGTAGCATGTAGTTTTGCAGGAGGGTCGCTGAGCTAGCTTTCTGTCTCTCTTCACAGTGATCCGTCAGCAAGGTAGTTCTTGGGAGCACAGTGCAGTAAACTCCATCACATTGCGATCAACGTACTTAGAATAAAGTATTTTACATGGGTAAAATAGGTGTCATTTTGTGTCACACTGCTGGCAGGAAATCTTCAGAATTGGTCTTCCTTCAGATATAAAGTTACACACCCACTGACACATATATACTTTTTCTTGACTTAAATATATATTAACACAAGCATTATATGTCCAAATAGATAGCCAAACAAGCTTTGCATTTGTAAGACACATGGCTAAGCATCGAAAGGGCAGTAAATAGTGGATGATGGGTTCTTTATTTTCCTAGCCTTGTGTAAGTGTAAGTCTCTTGGCAACTACAAGGGCTCACGGGATCCACTTTCATTGTCCATCTGTTCATCCTTGCACTGCAGGAATATCGCTTAAAAGTCCATGAACTTCTGCACATACCAAGGATTTTGCCAAAACAAAGTTAATGCCAACAGTAATTTCTGACAAGAAATTTTGGGTGCATGGCAAAATCTCTGGCCCACCCTAGTGGGACTTAAGTTTTCTGCACATTTGGTAAACTGCCAAGTCCCCCCCCCCCCCAGGAGCCCTCTGCAAATAGGTAGCTTGCGGGGGTGGGTCTCATATAATGGCTGCTTGAAGGAAATATGCTGGCTCACGGCAGCCCCTTAATACTAATATTAGCGGCATCAATCTTTGCTAAATAGCCTAAAATGGGAAGCAGCGATTTAAAATGTTGGTGGAGAGAGAATGGGGAACACAAATGCCTTCAAAATGCTGGAGTAATTTTTAAAGTGGGGTTTTGTTCTTGCATACGTGTGTGAGTAGAGCTGTAGATGTCTTTCATTGTTTGTCCCCTTTGCTTCTCCAAAGCAGGGAAAGAAATGAGGCCAGTCCCAGTCTTCCTTTTTAGGTTCAGGGGCAAAGATGCTGATGTAGCAATATAGAGCAAATTGAGGTGGGGGGAGGCGACTTGCGTCAATGTTTGCTGGTGGTAGGAATGAAAGGAACAAGCTGAAGTTTTTAAAACGGAGAAGAAAGTGAATGAGGGGCATCTGTGTGTTGCATTCTGAGCTGTGATCCGACTTCAGAGCCGTTTCCCTTCCTCTTAAAGAAGTGATACACTTCCTGTGTGGGATTGTAGCCTGGCATAACTACCACGCCTGGTTTTGCAGAATTTCACACGGGATTAGAATCCTAGTTTGCATCCTCCACTCAGCAGGCATGCCTTGTAACCCAAGGATTGTTTTCAAGGTCATCCAATTCCTCCCTCCCCCCCATCCTCTCTTTGAGATTAAGATGGAATGAAACACACCCACTCCCCTCGCTTCCGTTGCCTGCTCTCTTTATCCCACTGCACAGAGTTGACTCGGAAAGTTGATGAAAATGGATTAGGAAATGATTCATGTCCTGCATGTGCCTGGTCCGCATGCAAGCACTGGACCCGTCGGAATCTAGAATTAATCTGCATCTTCTATCCTGCTTCAATGAAGTTGCAGTGGTTTCAGGCCACGTTTTGAAGGATTCGTGTCCCGTGCCCTGGTGATAGCCAAGTGTCAAAGGAAGCTGAGCTTTGAACTGGATTTGGCTAATCACCAAGTGAGTTCAAACCGCTGGACCATCAAGGCTGCTCAGTGTCTGCTGGCAGTGGCCAGTGAGATGCCTCCGGGAGGTTCAGGAGCAGGGCATGATGGGAATATCCATCCCCTCCTGCTAATCCTCAGCATCTGGTGATCAGAGCTTTTGAAACATTGACGTTTTAATGGCTATTATGGCTAGTAGGCCAGATTCCAGAAGACAAGTTGTGTTTTAGTCTGCCACAAGGCAGACAGCTCTCTGTCTCTCCTTAAGGGGAACGGGCCTAATCCAGTTGACACTAGGCACCTTTTAAGTTCATTGATTTAAGTGGGAAAAAACTAATTAACAACTCTATATGCAGTCTCATGCCGGAATAAGCCACTTTCTCCCCAATCAGAGGTGCATTTTAAAGTGCTTTAACTTTAGACAGTCTTACCTGGTGGCACTGGTAATGCATATTATCACTGTTCACAAGTTACATTTTCATCACAGATTTAACCAGAACGTGTCCAGGTACTGAGGGAGAAAACACGGACACATGCCTTTCCCAGATCCTTTGACTTATTCGACTCTGTGACTAAAAGTGAATTTATCCCACAGGTATCATTCTAGCTGTGTTCCTCTAGTGCAGCCACGTCCAACTCCTTAGAGGCCACAATGTACTCCCAGCATAAAGCAACTGGCAGTGATCTACCCATCTTTCTTTTTTTATTTTGAGGGGGTGGTATGCAAGCCAACAAGCAGGGGGGTGGCTCCAAACATATTTATTTAGTAAGATTTGGGTACCACTTACCGGTAATTAAAAAACCCCTCATAAGCGGTTTACACAAAACGTTATAAAATGCTTGTTTGTTTATTTATATTTTCAATTTATTTTTCCACCAAAAATAAATAAATAAAACTTTACAGATTTTGATGTAGACCATAAATTTCTTTATCCATTGACTTCCCGTCCCCGCCATGCTTTCCATATTTACCCTTAAATGCTGCAGATTTCATGTATAACATCTAATACTTCCATTTTAACCTGTTTATCTTAATAATTGATGCGGATGCTCATATTTCAAATCCTGCTCACGTTATAAAATGCTTGCTTAAAATAGGCAGAATAAAATTACGAATATAGATAAAAATCAACAGATTTTGAAAACAAAGGTACATGATAAAATTTACAAGTCTCGGTGAGCTTACCTAACAAAAAAAAAAACCCCGGTGTGAACAGGCATCAAAAATACTTCAGATAACTCTCATCTTAGGCTTATTTAACTTACTAGATTGCAGCTTTGAGCAGGGGGAGGAAATAAGTAAATGTCTATTTATTAACACCCATGCATGCATGTATTGGATCAGGTAAGGCTTGGGGAAGGTGGTACTAGGGCTCTGGTAGCATCCCAGGGTCTTCAAAGGCAGAGTAAGCCAGCTGGGAAGGAGGCGTGAGGGCTGTGGCAGGGTCCTAGAGTCCTCCTTTCCACAGCCAGGCAAGCTCTTACAGGACTTTGGGAAGAAGGATTAAGGGCTCTAGGACCCTGCGGGAGACCTTGCACCTCCTTCAAGGCGGGAAGGATCTGGGAAGTTGCCTGAGCCCTTGCACCACCTTCCCAAAGTTGGGTAGTTTGGGGCCCAACAATATCTGATAGACCCCAGATTAGCCACCCCAATATAGAACACCGTTAGATCGTTCAGAGCATTTTGTCACTACTATATCTGTAATCCTGACAATATCCCTGCAAGGTAGGCCAGTTGTGTTTGCACCTTGCAAAAGTTGCTAGGCTAAGAAAACAGCTGAAAGCTGCCGGATAAGTTTGTTGCTGAGGTGCTACTTGAAATATGGGACTCCCTGACTCCTTATTATTGCTGCTCTGAACTTGAAATGGAAATCCAGCATTTCCCTGGGCCGTAAGCCTCATGGTATCAACCACAGAGTGGTTAAAGCAAAGCTTGAACGTAACTTTCAGCTGTCTTGTAACTGCCAAATTCAACCTTGAGTTACCTGGGATGTTTCCAGGTTGTTAAGGCGTAACTAAAACTTGTGTGTGTCGTTCGCCATTTACATGCTGCTTTTCACCATTAAAAAATGTTCTCCTTACAGCAGCTTACCAAGCAGCAAGAACCACCCAGTAATAAAAACCATAAGAACATAAGAAGGCGAGGTGTGCTGGATCAGGCCAAAGACCTGCTTGTGATGCCAGCATGTGACATTAAGAGATGTAGTCCTTAGTTTAGTCTCATCATACCTGACCATTGAGTATGCTGATTGGGGCTGGCAAGAATTAAAGAGTCCAGTAAGAGTGACATCTACGTTGTACATTTAAAACACTTAAAACACCTCAAAAGAAGAAACTGTAGTTTGCCATACACTGAGCTTCAATTCCCAGCACCCTTAACTAACTGCAGTTCCCAGGATTCTTTGGGAAGAAGCCCTGACTGTTGAAGTGGTATGAGATTGCTTTAAAGTCATGGTCTAGACTCTTTAATTCCTATTAGCCCAAGTCAGCATCGCCAACGCTCATGGATGATGGGAGTTGTAGTCTACCAACATCTGCAGGGCCACAGGTTCCCCATTCCTGTTTTAGGGCTTTGGCGATTGAACTGTGCTTGGAAACCAGGGGACGTGAAATTAAATTTGGGGTGGAGTGATCAGAAATCGTTCCAAGCTGCCACTGCATTCGGGATGCCTAGATTGTTGCTTCAGTGCACTGAGAACCTAGTTTGAAGGTTCTCTCTCTTTGAAGAGGGACTGCTTGGTGGGTGTTTGCAGATAGGATATATCCTCATGGTTTGGAAAGGCTTTGCGTGGTGTGCGTTGCGAAGCTCCCATTGTGCAGGAAGCTTCCTTGCTTGCTGGAGATGTGCTGTTTGGTTAACTTTATCTGTGAACAGAACTTGCTCGTTCATGTGAACTGTAGATATAAGGGAGACTACCTATTTGGGACCGAGTTTTTTTATATCTATCTAGGGGAGGGGATTGACTTGCAGAACTCTGTGACATAGATTCTGGACCCGGTCAGTGTTTTGAGGCATCCAGATGTTTGCATTGTGTGTGTTTCTTTGGCAAGGAGGGTGATCTGAATTGAGCAAGTCATGTGAATTTATGTAGTGGGGGAGCAATAAATGTCCTCATCTCCCCAGCCCTATATCATCACATCTCCCTCTTGTGAGCCAAATCCAAGCCGCCTACAAAATATATGATTTTTTTTTAATGCTGGTGTTAATGTTACAATATATTTAGGAGGGGGAAAATGCATGTACTTGAACAAACAATATATCCAAAGGTGAAACGGGAAGGGGAGGGCTCCTCTTGCGGCAAATGCCCCAGTAGGATCCTACCCTTCCCCCTCTGTTGTGGGGCAAAGTGTTTGGCATCCATACATGTGTATGAACACTGTTTTTGGGAGTGTTGAAGGAGTAGTTTTTAATTCGTAGACTGATACGGGTGGTAGTTTTTCATCTTTCAGTTGAATTGGCCAAGAGAGTCCCCAATTAAATGGAGAAAAGTTACGGAGGGGAGTGTTTTTAATAAAAACGCTTAATGAAACTGCGGATAGAGTTATTGTCTCTTTTCCGACAGGGAGGGAGGAAGGATTCTTCTTAGGTGATATCTTTGGCTTGTATGCATCATCGGTTGTAGACTTTCGGTTGTAGACTTGTGTTTTTTTTTAAAAAAGTAAGTTTCTTGCTTCAGAATGGTTGCCTTTACTGATAAAGCAAAATTTGAGAGATCAATCAGCCGCTCATACAAGTGACCGGTTAAAATTATTTTAATTACTTTTTGAGCCCTTGAAACAGTACACATAATGTATGCAATGCACCCAAGTGGATGGAGAATTATTATTATTATTATTATTATTATTATTATTTTAAAGTGTGCCGCTGAATAATCACAGTGCACGTAAGTACTGGTGTGGTGGGGCTCCCCACCTTCGAAAATGGATACCCCAGCGGTTTGGGGTAGGAGAGGAAGCAGCCAGGATAAATGCACCTATGTATGTATGCACAGGCCTATGATAGGTGTTTGAGTGTATATGCATGCACATAGAAATTGGGGGGGGGGGGGCGAGGTGTCTTTTTTGTGCCATTTGTTTGTGCATTATATCAAAATGCTCCGCTGAGCCGATGGGATGTATTTCTGCCCCTCCACAGACACACATGAGATGCAGGGATGCAAATGAGCAGTGACAGGGGAGGGGGGCAGCCCCTCTTTCTCTCTGCAGTGAAGCAGAGGAAAGAAGCTGGCTGGCACTCTGTGTCTGGCTAGCTGAAAGGGGGGGAGCTGAAGGGGGGAGTGGGAAAAGAGAGCGCGGCTGGGCCTGGCTCCCCCTCCCTCCCTGCACACGGAAGGAAGGAAGGAGATGCCGGAGGTTTGGAGGAGGAGCTGTTGCCGCTGCTCTGGGGCTGGGTAGGATCCGGGATCGGATGGGGAGACCTTGGGGGTGGAGGGGGAAAGGCAGCTTCCAGCGAGGAGGGGGGGAGGGGAGGCGGTTTGTGGGTAGCAGGAGGTAAGCGGGGTGGGGTGGCTTGGGGACGGCGACGAAACTGGAGACAGCAGGGAGGCGGGGTGGGGGGTTGGGGAGGACTGGGGCTTGCAGGTTTGGGGGGTTAAGGTGGAAGGAGGCGAAGGAAGGAGGGAGCTGGCACTCGGATGAGGAGGTAAAGAGGGGGGGCATGATGTGGAGCTTGTAAGGGGAGGGGTGGCTTGGCTGCCGGGCGGAAGGAACACCGGGGCTGCAGAAAAATGGTGGGTTCAAGAGGTGCCGGGGTTCACGGCTGGGGGTGGGTTTGGGTTTAGGCAGGGAGGCTATGTAGGGAGCTCCGTGGGGATGGAAGAGGGTGGGGGGAGGCATGCCGGGTTGCAGCGTGCAGAGAATGGGGTGCATTAGGGGGCTGGGAAGGCAGAGGTGTGCAGACAGGCGGAGGGCAAGGCTTTGGGGGAGGAAGGATTAGCCCAGGCTGGGTGGAGGGAGGATGTTGGGGCAGGTGGGTGCAAATGGATGGAGGAGAAACAACCGCCAGGTGGGCTGGAGGGAGAAGAAGGGGCCCTGGTGTGAGGCTGGGGGGGGGGGAGAAGGAAGTGTTGGGAGACCAGGGGATTCAGTTCAGAGGTGTGCAGGGGTCCAAAATTGGGTTTGTTGGCAGATGCAAAGTGATGGGAGAAAGCCCTTGAAATAACTTAGAGGGGTGTGAGCAGGATAGGAAGTGGGGTACAAGGATGCTCCCCCCAAGAAAAAGGGTGTGCAGGGGGGAAAGGGGATGGATGTTGTTTTAGTGGGGGCTGTTTAAATCAGTAAAACAGCCAAGGAAAGCAGGGGGAGTGGAAATTCATAGTTTCAAGTTAAAAGGCCCACTTGTTCTGTTTTGTTTTTTCTCTTGAGGCTGTTTTTGGTCCGGGTGTCTTGACTGGAAGGGTCAGGGGTGGTTGCTGCTGGACTAGAACTCCCTTCACCCTGACTCTGATGGGAGTTGGAGTCTGTCAGCATCTAGAGGGCCAGAGTTTAGCTACACCTGACCTAGGGCATGAACAAGGGAACACAGAAAAGAGTACTTCCTCCTGACAATGACTTGCTAACTTTTAGGTGTTGTGCATCCTCAGATTTCCTTCTTGCCTTTCTCCCCACCCCTTTACAAGACCTCTGCTTTGGTTTTTTGATAATACACAAATTAAATTAAATCAGCTCACTGGTCGGTTGAAAGGCAGAAGATACACCTTAGCCGACTGGTCAATTGACATTCCTATCTTTTAGAGCAGGATCTCAAACTGTGTCTCTCCAAAGGTGGTCAGTCTCCAGGCTCCCATCAGCCTCAGCAGGCATGGCTGATTCTCAGGGTTCATGGAGGTTTTCCCACCTCTGGAGGGCACTATGGCACCCACCTGTGTTGAAGGGCACCCATAGGTGATGTGGTCTCTGTCTGGATTTTCCAGGACAAGCAACTCGTGTGTCCTTGGAATTAAGGAGTAAGGTGAAAAGATTCCAAAATTGCAGAGAATCTAACAAGCACCTGTCCAATGCATTCTGGCTAATCAAAAATAAAACAAAACCCAACCCTACTGGTTAAAGATCGGATATGCAGAAACACATTTTGGCTTTGAGTTTAACCCTGGAATAGCCTGCTGTGCACAGACGCAACCACAACTTCTTTGCTTTATTTTTGCATCCTCCTCCTCCTCACCAGAAATTGTGCCACTAGCGGACCATCATCCACCAGTTGCTTCAGATGCAATTTTTAAAGAGGCATCTCATTTTGCCAGGCCCATAAGATGGGGCCCTGTTGTTGCTAAATTTTTATTTCTATAATCCTGTTTTAATGAAACTCTTATTTGGGCTTTTTTTTAAAAAAAAAAAAGTTTTATTGTGTTTGTTTATTTAATTTCCATACCGCCCTTCATCCAAGTATCACAGGACAGTTTGGAATATACCTTAATGTTGCATTTTTTTGCATCTGGCTTAGGGATTTTTAGAATAGATGGTGCTTTTTGGCAATCCTTGTAAGGGAAAATCTGTAGATAATATTTCCCTGGAAGTAGTTATGTTTCTGCAGCTGTCGTCAGGCTCATCCACACTTGTTCTAAGAACAGGAACACATTCTCTCCATAAGGAGGATGGTGCAAAGCTGACTCAAAATGCTGTTCTCATTTCCCTGGAGGGGGTGTGGTTACTTTGGCAAGAGGTATAGACATCCCTGGAGAGGCAAATTTCTCCTCCACTAACTGTTCGGGGTAGAGAGTGCATTGTTGCTAACTATTAATAATGATTTTAAGAGAAGAACCTGTTAATTGTCCTTCCTCACACAATCTTTTCTCCTAGGATCCATTCATATGTCAGAAATAACATAAGCATGGTTTTGGGGGTGGGGGAATTGCTGGGCTTTGCACTTTAGAACATACAGTGGTACCTCTGGTTATGAATGGAATCTGGTCTGGAGGTCCATTTATAACCGGAAATTGCTCATAACATGAGGCGTGCTTTTGCTAATGGTGTGTCCCGCTGCGCGCGCTTCTAGCATGTAATTTCCATTTGCATCCTGGGTCAAAGTTCACAACCAGGATCAGCTACTTCCAGGTTAGCGGACCTCACAACCTGGAGCGTGCGCCACCAGAGGCGTTCGCAACAAGAGGTACCACTGTACATTTATTTAACAACATTTATATACCACTTGATTGCAGTAAAACCTTTAAAGCTTTTTGCAAGAAATATTAAAACCAACCACTGAAAGTTTAAAACCAATTAACATTGTCAGTAAACTAGAAAAAGATCAGAACCCATTGACATTCACACATCCAGATAGGTTTGCATAAATGAAAATGTTTTTCAGCGGGTGCCAAAGTTCAGCAAAGGCATCTTGCCTGATGTCCACAGGTGGGGAGTTCCAAAGTTCAGGTGCTGCCACACAAAAAGATCAATTTCTTACAACTGCAGAAGAGTGGCACCTGTGGCAGTGCTAATTTTGCAGATGGATGTGGCAGAGAGGGCACATGGGGGGGGCAGGGCTTGCATTTTTTCAATGCCTTCCCTTGTAAAAGAATTCTCTGCATATGAAAAGATATAATGGACTGTTGGGAGACTGTGAGACCTTTGGTTCCTAGACCTGCTAGCAATTTTTCCATGCTTCACTTTGTTATTCTGGGAGAACACTTACAGAAGAGTATGCTTTGGTTTTTACAAAGGACAAGGACAGCTGAGAAAATTATTTAATTATTTGATATAACAACAACAACAACAACAATAAGAAATTGCTTTATATTGAGTAAAAAAATTGGTTCCTGTAGCTCAGCACTGTTTCCACTGACTGGCAGCTCTGCAATGTTTCAAAGAGGCTGCAGATTGGACCTGCTGCACCAATGAGCTACGCCTTTTCCCCTAAGGGCACTCTAGGCAGCGCTTTCTATCCTGGAAGACATTATTCCAAAACTCAACTCTGCCCTTCTTTGCGCTTGGATGCTTGAAACAAATTCTTTATTTCTGTTCTGTGTTGGGTGATTCGTTATTATTTTTGAAAAATCGTGTGGCGCATATTCTCAGTGCAAATTAGGCAGGGTGAACATGGCTCTGTTTGGAGGGCATCGTGTTGACGTGTAGCCCTGAAAGCCTTCAGGTGACTGCTAAATGGCGACACTTGCTGTAGATTTCCAAGCTTTTCTGGGTTCGGTGATCCCAAATGAGAAGCCGCTGCATAAACTGAGTAACTGACCCCCCCCATCTACTCTAGGAAACTGGAGGTTGTAGCTCTATGGTGGAGCACATCATTTGAATGCAGAAGATCCATGGGTCAATCTGGTATCTCCAGACTAATGATATGGACTCAGCTGCTACTTCTGTGGGCTAAACCAGGGATGGGGAGCCTGTGGTCCTCCAGATGTTCTTGGAACTCCCAACTTCTATTGACCAGTGTCCAAGGAGTTATAGCTCAGCATCGTCTGGTGGGCCACAGGTTCCACAACCCTGCCCTAGGGAGTCACTGCCAGAAATGGGCCCGATGGACCATAGCTCTTGAGTCCTTTTTGTGTAAGCACTTCCTATGGTACTCTTCTTTCTGAAGAATTTCCTGCACTGTTCTCAGCAATGGGTTTTTAGTTTCTCTAGTTAGATCAGTGCTGGGAAACCTGTGGTCCTGTAGATGCAGCTCCCATTGCTCCTCACCGTTGACCATGTTGGCTGGGACTGATGGCTGTTTGAGTTCAGCAACGCCTGGGGGGCCACAGGTCCCTTGTCTATGGCTTAGATCAGGGGTCAGCAAACTTAACTGCACATCAGACCAGTGTCTCTAGCGCCGATCGCATGGAGGGCTGTGGAGTGTGTGCCCATATGCATGTGCACACGCTATTTCCGGTGCACTTCCGGGTCGGAGGAGCACCAGAAATAGCTTGTGCTCATGTGCACGGGCCTCCTCCCACCCGGATGTGCACCGGAAATAACGCTTGCACATGCGCACAAGCTATTTCCAGTGCTCCTTCGACCCGGAAGTGGGCAGCCGCGCACCACCGGTAAGAACGGGCAGCGGGGGTTGCCGGAGGCCAGATAAATGAGTCCCCTTAGTTTGGGGACCCCGGCTTAGATCCTTACACAGGTTCTCCACCATTTTAAATGTTCAGGCTTGTCTCCCAACTAAGTCCAACTCAGAGGAGACCCAATGAAATGAATGAATTTAAGTTGGTCATATCTATTAACTTCAGTAGGACTAGCATTGGAGCCAATATGCTTAATTTGAGCTGTTGGCTCATTTACACGTGCTCCCAATGTTGCCGCTTGATGCCTCAATCTTTACCAGATAAAGAGCCCAGATATGCTCTAGCAAACATGAGTGGGTGGTAATTGAGTGCCTTGAAGATGGTGCCTGTTGATGGACAGGAGAAGCCATTGAGTTGTGCATCAGATGATTGAAAGTCTGTAGCCGCCTTTTGGGGGTCTGTTATTTGAATTGGAAATGGCCATTCTCCTGTGTTCCTTAAATCTTCTGCATATCTTATTAAAAAGTAGTTCCAAGTAAATGGGAATATCGGAAGCTACCTTATGCCAACTGCTAGCTATATTCTGCCTCCCTTGTTAGAGGCAGCAATGTTCTGAAGACCAGTTGCTGGAAAGCACAGAAGGGGAGAGTGATGGTGTGTTCTTGATCTCAGGTCCTGCTTGCAGGCTTCCCATTGGCGTATCTGCTTGGTCACTGTGAGAACAGGATGCTGGGCTAGACGGGCTGTTGGCCTGACCCAACAGGCTCTTCTGTTCCCACTTCTAGCCCAATATTGTGACCACGGACTGGCACTGGCTTTCTGGGGCTTCAAACAGGGGCCTTCCTACTGGGAGATAGCAGAAATTGAACATGGGACCTTTTGCATGTAAAGCAGGGGGCCATACCATTGAGCGTTTGAGCCCTGGGATTCTAGAAGGTCATTGTTTGTTGCACAGGATATTCCTAAGGAGGGCAATGCACAGACGCGGCCCATGCAAACGCTTGGCTTATCTCCTCTCTCTGCATGCCTGGTGGTTTTAAGAGTTGGATTTTCCTGGTTTTTTGCTCCTTTCTAAATGAATTAACCAGATACTTCCAGTTCCTATGAATTTTCGAACTTGGAAGAGGAGATGGGAAGAGCGATTGGCGGGCTTGGGGGGCATAGAGAGGTGTGTGCTTCTACTGATGGGCGCTACTGAAATGTAATCTTATAGAGCTGTTGTGTGTTTAATTTGTGGTGGGGGGGGGAGAGAGAGAACAAAGCAGAGAGGTTCTGGGACTGGAACAGGTGTAAAAAGCTGTATTTTGTTAGTGGCCTTTGGGCATTCTAGGATATTGAAATCTGCTGTGTTGCTTCTTACTTAAAGCCCTACACTTTCCTCCTTTCCAGCCAGCTCTAGACCGCCTTCTTCTTGCTTCATGAGGCTCAACCCCACCTGATTGTGACCCTTGAACCGCTGCAGTTGGGGAGGGGCCCCTCCGGACAGCCCCCTCCCTCAGCCAGCAGCCGAACCTCTCTCTTCTGCCATGGCTGACCCCATAATGGACCTCTTCGATGACCCCAACCTCTTCGGCCTGGACTCATTGACGGATGAGAGCTTCAGCCAGGGGCCCCCAGACCCCATTGAGGAGGCCCTGGGGCTGCCAGGCGGTGCCTTGGACTCCCTGGCAGGGGGCGCCAAAGAACAGCCTGCCCCTGCACAGCCCGAGCCTCCCCAGCCGCAGGCCCTGCCCCTCTCGGACGCGCAGCCCGAGGCTGTGCCTGAACTGCCGCAGCAGGATCAGCCGGGGCTCCTGCAGGCCCCCCAGGACCAGGAAGTCCTCAGCCAGGGCAACCCCTTCATGGGCGTCTCCTCTGCCACCACCACGACAGTTGCAGTGCCGTCTTCATCTGCCGGAGGGCAGCAAGGCGCCACTGTCACAGCGGCCCCACCTGCCGCCCCAAAGATTGTCATCTTGAAGGCGCCGGCAGGCAGCTCGGTGACGGGGGCCCACGTGGCCCAGATCCAAGCCCAGCCCATCGGGGCCGCCAACGGGGGCAAAGTGACCTTCGCCAAGGTGCTGACAGGCACCCCACTGCGGCCGGGGGTCTCCATCGTCTCGGGCAACGCGGTGCTGGCCACCAAAGTGTCCCCTGGAGCGGGGGCCCCAGCCACACTCCACCGCCTGGTGCAGCCTGGCCGGCCCGTCAAGCAGCTGGTGCTCCAGCCCATCAAGAGCCAGCCGGGGGGCAGCACTGGAGCCACGCCCCTCAAGCCTGCCGTCACTCTGACCTCTACTCCGGCACAGGTGAGCAAGCAGAAAGCGATCGGGTGTGTTGGGGCGGCCGGCTTGGGTGGGATACTGATCCAGGCAGCATGGCGCGGTTAGACTTGGACTTGGGAGACCCGGGTTTGAGTCCCTACTCGGCCACGAAGCCCCCTGGGTGACCCTGGGTCAGTTCCCACCTCTCATCTTAACCCGGTGTTTCTCAAACTCTGGCCTCCAGCTGTTGTTGGACTACAACTCCCATCATCCCTAGCTAGCGGGACCAGTGTTCACGGATGATGGGAATTGTAGTCCAACAACAGAGGGAACTGCTACCCTTGAGAGAGGTTCCCCTGAGAGAGGAGCTGTTTAAACAGCATCGCACAATATTTACCAATGATGGAACAATACAAGGCAGCTCCTTTATATCCTTATTCTGGCTCACTGGCTCTCAGGCTAGGGGGTCACTAGAAATTCAGGAGCCTCTAGGCCAGGTGTGGGGAACATAGGAATCTGCCTTATACTGAGAATCGAACAGTCGGTCCATCTAGTGGGTAGGGCTGATTCTTTCCGTTTTCGTGTATATAAGAATCTCGCCACTGTAATGGTATATCGGAGTAACCTTCCTTAATGGGAGTGGCAGCTTCTTAATGTATTAGGTGCTGAGATTTTTTTTTATGGCTCTTGGATCCCCCTTTCTTCCCTACAGGGAGAGTCGAAACGCATCACCTTGGTCCTCCAGCAGCCCCCGGCAGGTGGAGGCGCCCCAGGGCAGCGCCACGTGGTTCTGGGCAGCCTGCCGGGCAAGATTGTGCTCCAGGGCAACCAGTTGGCGGCCCTGAGCCAGGCCAAGGGCGCGCCAGGGCAGCCAGCCAAGGTGGTCACCATCCAGCTCCAAGTTCAGCAGCCCGGACAGCAGCAACTTGGCGGCCAGCCTGGGACCCAGAAGATCCAGCTTCTGCAGCAGCCCCCACCCACCTCCTCCGGCCAGCAAGGGACGTTGGGTGTGTCCTCCGTACAGCAAGCCCAGGTGGTGAGCGGTTCGGGGCAGAGAGTGACAGTTCCCCTCAAAGTCGTGTTGCAGCCGCAGGTAAGGGCAGCGCTTCTGCCACGCTCAGTCTGCTTTGGGGGTGTCTTGGTATACGACAGCTATAGAGCGCCTAGTGAAAATCATGATGGGGGGTGCAGGGGCCTCAATTCCCTTGGGAGTGCTGGGGTGTGGAGCTCTGGTCATGTTAGCAGAGCCACAATCCAACTCCCTGGGAATCTCTGCCTTAGCTTGGAAAAAAAAAGGAAGAGGCAATTTTCTAGCTCTCATGATAGTTTTGGAAATGTGTGGACAATGTTTGCAGAGATCTCCAAATCCAGAGCGTTAACTGAATGAGACATTATTTGTCGCAGCTAGGCCTTTCTTCTGCCCTGGCTGCAACAAAGCATGTCTCTCTTGCATTGGTCTTGACAGCCACAGCAGGCACTGAAACCTAACAGTTTGACCTCACTGCCAAAGGTTGTACCCCTCCATTGTCCCCAGAGACAGACGTATGCCACTAACTGAGTGAGGGGCCACTGCATTCTGGTGAACAGCAAAACCAGGATAAACTGCAGGCAGCGACAAAATTGCGGGGAAAACGCTGTTGCAGTTTTGCAATTCATACGTGATGCGGAACTGAACATGGACTTGTTTTGTGTGGAAATGGGATTCCCTGCCTGCCAGATTGTAGTTGCTTTAGCACGGAGATCATGAGTGATAAATCATGGAAACAACAGAAGCAGGAAGTTAAGGGAAGGTGATTGTAGATAGCGTTTACCCCTGACATTAAAAGAAAATAAAACCACCTAGGTTTTCTTTAAAAAAATTTTTAGAAAACTGGTACACACCAAACCTGCTATTTGCCTCCAAAAGCCTTTGGGGCATAAGTGTGTTCAGTTTTTAAATTAATAATTTTTAAAGTGCTGGAGTGTGTCTTAATGAAATTTTCGTTGGCTGCCTTTACTCTCAACTTTTTTTATTGTGCTGTATTTTTTTTAAAGAATGTTTTTTGTTAAGCCACCTTGAGCTCTGCTGTGGGGGATATGGAGACACAATATTCCAGTTTTGGTCTGACCAATGCAGTCTAAAGCAGCACTATGACTTCCTTTGATGCCACCTAGAATAGCATTAGCTTTTTTGCCGCTGCATCACCCTGTTGACTCCTGTTAAGCTTGTGGTCTATTACGACCCCTAGATCCTTTTCACCTGTACTACTGGCAAGCCAGGTGTCCTCCATCCTATATTTGCGCATCTGGTTATTCATGCCTAAGTGTGGAACCTTACATTTGTCCCTGTTGAAATTCATTTTGTTAGCTTGGGCCCATTTCTCCAATCTGTTAAGGTCGTATTGAATCCTGTTTTCCGTATGCTGCCGAAATCCACTTAGCTACTGATGGGTGGAAAACCTAAGGAACTCCAGATGTTTTTAGACTTCAACTCCCATCAGTCCCAGTCAGCAAAGGAATTGCTGAGGGATGATGGGACTTGTAGTAGTAACTGATAGTTATTAATTTTTCTACTCCACCCACCTGACATGGGTTGCTCCAGCCACTCTGGGCAGCTTCCAACAGAATATACCAAAACACAGCAGAGCATCTGACTTTAAAAGTTTCCTGAGACAGGGCTGCCTTCAGGTGTCTACGAAAGGTTGTATTGTATACAGTGGCAGCTCAGTTTACAAACTTAATTTGTTCTGGAAGTCCATTCTTAAACCAAAATCATTCTTAAACTGAGGCGCGCTTTCCCTAATGAGGCCTCCTGCTGCTGATGCCCTTCCACCGTTCGGGTTCCGTTCTTAAAAGGTAAAGGTAAAGGTACCTCTGCCCGTACGGGCCAGTCGTGTCCGACTCTGGGGTTGCGCGCCCATCTCGCTTAAGAGGCCAGGGGCCAGCGCTGTCCGAGGACACTTCCGGGTCACGTGGCCAGCGTGACGAAGCTGCTCTGGCGAGCCAGCACCAGCGCCGCACACTGAAACGCCGTTTACCTTCCCACTAGAAAGCGGTACCTATTTATCTACTTGCACTTAGGGGTGCTTTCAAACTGCTAGGTTGGCAGGCGCTGGGACCAAACGACGGGAGCTCACCCCGCCGCGGGGATTCGAACCGCCGATCATGCGATCGGCAAGTCCTAGGCGCTGAGGTTTTACCCACAGCGCCACCCGCGTTCTGTTCTTAGACCAAGGTAAACTTCGCAAACCGGGACACTACTTCAGTTTTGCGGAGTTCGTAAACCGAATCGTTTTTAAACAGGACTGTTCTTAAACCGAGGTACCACTGTAATGATTCACATCTTTGACATCTGACAGGAGGGCGGGTGCCACTACCGAGAAGGCCCTCTGCCTGGTTCCCTTTAACTTCACTTCTTGCAGTGAGGGAACCACCAGAAGGCCCTCGGAGCTGGACCTCAGTGTCAGGGCTGAATGATGGGAGATGCTCTTCCAGTGTTACAGGGCCAAAGGCATTATTGAATATCTGGAAGCTTGCAGGTTCCCCATCCTTATTGTAGGATATGCTGGTCCTTTGTTAGTGCAGCTTTTGCCTGGCCTTCTGTCTGGACCAGGATGCTGTTGCCTGGATGTAACGTGCACCTGTTTTTGTAACACTTCCCCACCCCGCCCGCAGGCCAGCTCATCGCAAGGCAGCTCCTCTGGGCTCTCCGTTGTGAAGGTGCTGAGCAGTAGCGAGGTGGCCGCCCTCCCTTCCTCCAGCGGGACGGCGCGGAGCAGCTCGGACGAATCCCGCAAGCTGGAACACCAGAAGAAGCAGGAGAAGGCCAACCGGATTGTGGCGGAGGCCATCGCCCGGGCTCGGGCCCGGGGCGAGCAGAACATCCCCCGCGTTCTGAACGAGGACGAGCTTCCCAGTGTGCGCCCCGAGGAGACGGGAGAGCGCAAGCGTCGCCGGAAAGGCGGAGGCGACCGCGTCCCCAAGGAAGAGCGGCCACGCAAGGGCAGGGGCCAGGGGGGATCGGGGAAGAGCAAAGGAAGAGGGAAGCCCAGGTGAGAAAGGCGATGGGGCAGGATCCTCCGTCCCGCCTCCCTTTCTCTCGAGAGGCGAGCCCGTTTCTCATTCATTCTCTCTCTCTCCTTCTTCGCAGCACCATCACGCCAGTCGTAGGGAAGAAGCGGAAACGGAACGCTTCCTCGGACAACTCGGACGCTGAGGTCATGCCGGCACAGTCCCCCCGCGAGGAGGAGGAGAGCACTGTTCAGGTGAGACCTGGCAGGGAGCATGTCTGAGGAAGTGATTTATTGGTGTGCATGAGGAACAGCTCTGGTTTTATTGAGGATTAGCATCCCGAGTTACTCAACATTCCCATCATGCTCCGTAATCTTTCCAGCACCCCTGCACAGGAGGCTGGCATTAATTGTTTGCAAAGTTATTGCAAAGGTCAAGTCTTCCTGGCTTGACTTCTGGATCCCCCATGCTTCTTGGGTTGAGTTGTGAGAAGGCATAGACCAATGGTAGCCCATGTGGTGCCCTTCAGATGTTGGGGACTTCAGCTCCCATTACCCCAGACTATTGATTATGCTAGCTGAGGCTCATGGGAGTTGGAGGCCACCATGTTGGTTACCCCTGGATTATACCGTACTTGCAGCATTTAAAAGGGTTTGCATAGTTGTTTCTTTATCATTCCATGTTTTTGGCTCCAAATAAGTTCAAACGCTCAACCCAGACCTCGCCTATATGTATTACACAGAAAATTAAGGTTTGTTTTTAAATGTAGAAAGCTGGTGTGGTTTTTTTAATCTGTTTAAAATCTATTATTTTAACTTTGAAAGTTTAAAACATAGTGTTTTTAATTTATCTTATTGAGAATGTTTTTGTTTTTTCATATTTGTAAACCACTTTGAGGGTTTTGTTTTGTTTTTAACAATCAACCAGTGTATACATTTCATGAGATAAATCAATAAAATAAATTTGTAGCGTTCTTCCCAAGTTTCAGTAAAAAATCGTTATCACAAAGTGAATGTTTGTCTTAACCCCAGCTGCGTTCTCTCAGCTCTGGAATCTTTCGTGTTGTGAAAGCAGGGACTGTTTTGTCTTCAGCTCTCACAAACAAGGCCGTCCACAGAGCTCCATCCTCCATACAGGGGTACCTTGGTTCTCAAACTTAATCCGTTTCGGAAATCCGTTCCAAAACCAAAGCGCACTTTCCCATAGAAAGTAATGCAAAATTACTTTGATTAATCCGTTCCAGACTTTTAAAAGCAACCCCTAAAACAGCAATTTAGCATGAATTTTACTATCTAATGAGACCATTGATCCATAAAATGAAAGCAATAATCAATGTTCTGCAGTCACAGAATCAATCTGTAGCTGAACTAGGTTCCATACAGTCACAAAAACAAAACGAAAAAGAGCCGCAAAAACAAAACCATGAAATAAATAACAAAACCAGACAGACCTCAGCGTAACACTCAAAATGGAAGTGTGGCACTCTAATCAGAAGCTTAACACTCAAAACCGAGCATGTTTGACTTCCAAAAAAAGTTTGCAAACCGGAACACTTACTTCCAGGTTTGCAGTGTTTGGGATCCAAGTTGTTTGAGTACCAAGGCATTTATTTCCCTGCAGAAGCGGCGCTCGAACCGTCAGGTGAAGCGGAAGAAATACACGGAGGACCTGGACATCAAGATCACGGACGACGAGGACGACGAGGAGCTCGATGTGACGGGGCCCGTCAAGGCCGAGCAGCCGCCAGCCCCCGAACCACCTGCTCCGGAGCCGATTCCCGAGGGGGAGACGCTGCCTTCCATGCAGTTTTTTGTGGTGAGGCCTCTTGTCTGGTCCTCTCCTTCCCAGACCAGCTTCTTTTCAGAGTGGCTTAGTTGGGCTTCCCCATCCTTATATACCGGTTCGTGTAGTGGAGCCCCGTCAGTGACGATTAGCTGTGCTTCTTAAGTAGAGCCTCCATGTACAGAGGCAGTGTGCACCTTATCCGGTGCCAAGGGGGCAAATCAATGATGGAGGGTTGTTCCTACTTGGCAGGCTCCCCAGAGGTTTCTGGTTAACCGCTACTGGAAATAGGATGCAGGGTCAGATAGCCCATCAAGGCTGCCTTTCTCTTTCTTATTTAATTGCCTCTCTCTATCCTTTCTGTTCCAAAGGAAAACCCCAGTGAGGAAGACGCTGCTATAGTGGACAAAGTTCTATCCATGCGGGTAGTGAAGAAGGAGGTGAGAACATTTTATCTGCTACAGGGGGGTGAGAAGAGATGAGCTTCCTGCAGCATGCTAGCTCCTACCCATTTTTATTATTATTATTATTATTCCCCTATAGAGACTTGTTCTTCCAGCTTACACAACACCACAGCTCGCTAAGGCAATAGTGCCGCCTTTTGGCAGTATTGTTTCAAAACAGACTTGGTGTTTCCCCTTGAAGACTAGCTGCGTAGTTAACTGCATTGCGTACCCCAGTGCTTTTTTATCTGTTTATAGCAGTGGTGCTATAAATACCACTTTATATAAACACTGTTTATAGCAGGGACACGGGTGGCACTGTGGGTTAAACCACAGAGCCTAGGACTTGCCGATCAGAAGGTCGGCGGTTCGAATCCCCGCGACGGGGTGAGCTCCCGTTGCTGGGTCCCTGCTCCTGCCAACCTAGCAGTTCGAAAGCACGAAGTGCAAGTAGATAAATAGGTACTGCTCCGGTGGGAAGGTAAACGGCGTTTCCGTGCGCTGCTCTGGTTCACCAGAAGTGGTTTAGTCATGCTGGCCACATGACCCGGAAGCTGTCTGCGGACAAACGCTGGCTCCCTCGGCCAATAAAGCGAGATGAGCACCAGAGTCGGTCATGACTGGACCTAATGGTCAGGGGTCCCTTTACCTTTACCTTATAGCAGTGGTAGAGAAGCAAATCCAGCCCTCCCTGGAGCTTGGCATCAAGTAGTTCATACTTCAGCAGACAATCTGGGAATACATGCAAAGGGCACTCGTAACGCTTCCTTTGCAGCTGCGGCTTGAAATCAAAGCAAAGACTCCTGTCGAAAGCAGGGCTCACCCTTAGCTGACCACAAGCCCTGCTTTCTCCAGGGATCAGTTCTACTTGGGGAGTGCGAAGATGTGCTGAATGCAGGGCTCACGTTCTGTAAAGCAATCGAAAGTGCAGTTATGAGGCTCCTGGTCATTCCTTTGTGGATACAACCTTACCTGCCCCGCACCTGATGACCCATGGCTCAGGTGTAGCCCAGGCAAGAGAAAATGGCCTCATGGGCCAAATTAAGCCTCTGGGTTGGAGGTTCCCCATCCTTGGCTTATAGTAGAACCACTTTGAGTGGTAAAGTGAAAGAACAGTATTGGGGTGGGGGAAGAGCACTCCATGGGAAATCAGGTGACAAAGCTTGAAGGAGAGGGATAATTTTGTATGTATATATTTGTATGTGAGCCCAGACGCATCAGAGGCAACATTTTGTGCATCATTTCTGTGCCGTGCGCATTTCCTTCCTTCCACCCTCCACAAAACCAGTGCCGGATTTATTTATAAGCTAAACAAGCTATAGCATAGGGCGCTGTTCTCTTGGGGCACCCCCAAAAAAATTAAAGGGGAAAAAACTGGATGTACATTTCCAAAATATAAGATACAAACCAAATAAATAAAACCTAATACAGCAACAGTGTTTTGTGTTGTGTAGGCTCCTGTGAGGTAAGTAATGGGCCCCGCCTGCTAGCCTGCTCCCTAAAATATCACTGGTTTGCTCATTTCTATATATAGGATGCCTACATTCTGCATGGATTGGTTGCATGGCAACATGTGCAAAGGGCTTTAGATATCTATTAGGTCAGGCTTCCTCAACCTCGGCCCTCCATATGTTTTGAGACCACAATTCTCATCATCCCTGACCACTGGTCCTGCTAGCTGGGGATCATGGGAGTTGCAGGCCAAAAACATCTGGAGGGCCGAAGTTGAGGAAGCTTGTATTAGGTCCATAACTTACCATATAGCATATATTCAACACAAAAAACAGTGGCAATTTGTTGTTGACAAAGGACAGCTAGACATATAAGGGGCCCCATTACCTTCAGCATCTTAGGGCCTCATCAAACCTAAATCCGACTCTGCCACAACTATTACATCCCTGTTTCCTTTTCTTTGGCTCTCTGATTTCACTTTCTGCCCTCTCCCGTTTACAGCTTCCCACCGGACAGTTTACAGAAGCGGAAGAATTCTTCGTGAAATACAAGAACTAGTGAGTAGGACGTGGCTTCTTGTGAGGCCAGTGCTGTAGCAGCTAGAGTGATGCACTAGTACCTGGGAGATCAGGGGTCAAATCCCCGTTCTGTGTGACCTTGGGCCAATCACAATCTCTCAGCCCAACTTCCCTCCCACTGGGATTGCGAGGATAAAGGCGATGCCTATTGTATAGGATGATGCCCACTGGAACTATAGTTGCCTTGGTTCTCGAAGTTAATCAATTCTGGGAGTTGGTTTGACTCCCGAAACCATTTAAAAACCAAGGCGCAGCTTCCAGTTGCCTGCAGGAGCTTCCTGCACTCAAGCGGAAGCCATGTTGGGCGTTCGGCTTCCGAAAAACATTCACGAACCAGAACACTTCCGGGTTTGCGGCATTCAGGAGCCGATTTGTTCAACAACTAAGCTGTTCAAGAACCAAGGTACCACTAGTAGGGGGAGAGGCAGGGAGGACAACACTCGGAGGAGCCAGAGCAAATGGCTGGCGGACTTCTGCTCAGTTCTAAAGAGGCAACACTGAGATTAAGGAGAAATTGGCTGTTGCCAATGCCACCCTCTTGTAAGTAAGGTAGGCAGCTGGGGACGGGATGAAAACAGACAGTTCAGCTGCCACTGACAAATTTTAAAATCTGTACACAGGCATATATAACTAGGGGTGTGTTAGAGTGAAGAGTGGTGGCTTACCCCTGGCTGGTTATAAAATCCAAGCACTTCTTTCCAGAGGGAACCTGAGGTGGGCTTCCATAGAACCATCAAACTGTAGAGTTGGAAGGGACCCCAAGAGTCATCTAGTTCAATCCTTCAATGCAGAAATCTCAACTAAAGCCTCCATGGCAGATGGCCATCCAACCTGCTTATGAATTGATAGATTGCACATGCCGCACAGGAAGTATTTCCCCTTCCTGTTAGGTACCCCTTTTTATGGTCACCCTAGAGATTTTCAATGTATTATTATTCTCTTTCTCCCTTGCTTCCTACCCCAAACCACATCCTGCCTCTGCGTCTTCTCCAAGCTCCTACTTGCACTGCGAATGGGCCACCATCGCTCAGCTGGAGAAAGACAAGCGGATCCACCAGAAGCTCAAGCGCTTTAAGACCAAAATGGCCCAGATGAGGCACTTCTTTCACGAGGTACCTAAGGGACTAGAAGCTTTTTCAAGAGGAAAGAAAGCTGAGGTCCTCAGCAAGCCCAGCTCCCAGATTCCTTCTATGGAGTGCACACCCAGGTCTTGCCCACACCTCCTGTGTTTTGTCTCCGTAGGACGAGGAGCCCTTCAATCCAGACTACGTGGAGGTTGACCGCATCCTAGACGAGTCGCACAGCATTGACAAGGACAATGGGGAGGTGTGTTGGTGTCTTGGAGGAGGTTGGGGGCACTGCAGGAGGATTTGTTGCAGATTGTGACCGGATTCCTTGTGGCAAAGTATTGGGTGCTTTCAAAAACAGCCAGCTCCTTTTTCAGCCTGTCCCCCAAGTCTGTCAATTGGCTTCAGAGGCTATTTCCTATGTCCCACCACCTCTGGAGCTTTGACAGGCGGGCACAAGAGGCAGAGACTTCTTGGTGGTAGCACCAGAATTGTAGAACTCCTGTCCTGGGAAAGATCGGTCAGGTCTAACTCCTTCCCATTAATGTTAAAGACATATCTGTTTCGAGGGGCTTTACAGTGATGACTACTTACCGTATTTTTCCGTGTATAACATGGGGGACTCCAAATTAAGAAAATGGGGGTGATTGCCCAGAGTTGTTGAGCTCTTTTTAGGGGCGATTACCAAATACCGCTCACCAGCCTGACCTGTGCTTCAACGTCCCCCCTGTGCACTACCCATGTATAAGAGGAGACCAAATTTTTAACCTACTTTTTAAAAAAAGAAATGTAGTCTAATACACAGAAGAGTAGTGTATGTTCCCTGAAGTATACTGCTGCTTTTGAAATGGATAGACATGCACACACTGCTTACTCCTAGACTTTTTCTGTTTTCATGGCACTTTTTATTGATAGCAATAAAAGGTGGTAGCGACCTCTGCTTCAGAGTATCTGTAGAAGTGTGTATACACACGAAAGCTCATACCTAGAAGGCTTATACTTAGTTGGTCTTTAAGCTGCTACTGGAATTATTTAAAAAAAACATTTTTGGGGAAAGATTCTTTTAAAGACTGTCTTAAGACAAAAAGACTAGATTCTCTTAAAGGAGTTCTTTATTATTTTAATAATAATAATTACTGTTATTATTTGTCGTCTTGTTATTTATTGGGTGCTGTGGTCTAAACCATTGAGCCTCTTGAGCTTGCTGATCGGAAGGTCGGCGGGTCGAATCCCTGCGATGGGGTGAGCTCCCGTTGCTCGGTCCCAGCTCCTGCCCACCTAGCAGTTTGAAAGCATATCAAAGTGCAAGTAGATAAATAGGTACCGCTCTGGTGGGAAGGTAAACCACATTTCCATGCGCTGCTATGGTTTAGCCAGAAGCGGCTTAGTCATGCTGGCCACATGACCCGGAAAAACTGTCTGCGGACAAACGTCAGCTCCCTCGGCCAGTAAAGCGAGATGAGCGCAGCAACCCCAGAGTCGTTCGCTACTGGACTTAACTGTCAGGGGTCCTTTACCTTTACCTTTTATCTCTTTTTTAAAGAAAAAAGCTTGCTTGTTCTTGAGCAGCTCTGAATATAGCTGTACAGGTGCAAAAAATAAAAATCTATTGACTAAATAAAGAGGCTATTGTAGCTTGCAAATGGACCCTAAGCATGCACATGTCTCTTGAACACTCTGCAGCCGGTGATCTATTACTTGGTGAAGTGGTGTTCGCTCCCCTACGAGGACAGTACGTGGGAACTCAAAGAGGACGTGGATGAGGGGAAGGTCCGGGAGTTCAAACGCATCCAGTCTAGGCACCCGGAGCTGAAGCGCGTGGTGAGTGACACCTCAGCATTTCCCCTTCCCCCAGAATTCTTGATACGTGGACTTCTCTGCTACGTGGATTTATCTTCTGTGGGGGTGGTTGTTGCAATTTTGGCTCTGGGTAATGTTGGAACACCTGCTTCTTTGCTCCAAGAAATATATCCGTGACCCAACTTCTTTTAGCCTATTTTACTTCATTGTTGTAAGGCTAAAAGAGAGTGGGACAGAACCATGTATGCTTCTTTGAACTACTTAAGAGGAAAATGAGATATAAGTGTAATAAATTTTCATTCTTCCTACCCCCTTTTAATTTTTGCTTTAAAAATCAGGATTTTGTTTTAATTTTTGCAAGTGAAGATGATTGCATCTGTGTGAGGCTTTGCACCCCACTGGTTTTTCAATATATTTATATGTTTTTTTCGTTATAAACTGTGATCAAGACAATTTTTTTTTAATCTTTTAATATTTGAGCATCCCTAAATGTGACTTAAAAAAAAAAAAAAAGGAAGGAAGGCAATTCATAAATGAGCAATTTGGTTATTTCAATGGGTCTTTGGTTTGGGTGTTTTGGGTTTTTTCCTGTTGGTTGTGGTTCTGATTTTTTTTAAAAAAAGTTTTAATGCTCACTGTATATTCCTGTTGTATGGGCAATCGTTTCCGGAAGATATTTGTATTTCGAGGAGTTTAGTGATCTGACATGGTCATGTCTTCCTGCCTCTGTTTACTTTCCCTCTCTATCTCTTGTTCTGCTCTTTGATGGCTGAGAACAGCCTTTAATTTGTTGGAAGGAAGTGATAATGCAGGGTACCTTCTGACCCTCTTTGATGTTAGACATTCATTGGAGGAACATGTGGTATTGGAAGAGGAGGCTAGCTAATTAATAATCTGCACTAGCTAGTCGGGCAAGGCATCAAGGCTAACAAGTTAGCTATCTGTAAATCGGATGGTTTTGAGGCATAGTTCTGAGAAGCTTGTGCACGGACTGATGGCCCCAGGGCCGTGCAACCTCAGGCTACGTGGGGGTCACTTTGCCGCTTCTTGAGGGCTTCCCAGTGGCAGATCGAAGTGCTTGCTTGATAATGTATATAATGCTTGCTGTTTAGAATAAAATCTTTAATCTTCTCACTCACGTGTGTTTGTATTGCTTCTGAATCTCATTAAAAGAACCACCTTGCATTTAGCAAGACGCCTGTCCATTTTATTTCTCGCTAACCGACTTGGATTTTTTATCTGGGGGTGAGGGAAGGAAGGCGATATTAAAATCTTAATAAATAAATTCCAGCCCTGATACGTTAATGAGAAATCTTTAGAGGTTGTTCTCTCTGCAAGGATGGAGAATTGGTGGCCTTCCTTTCACCCCTGACCTTAGGTCGTGCTGAATTAGGGCTCATGGGAGTTGGAGTCCCACAGTATCCCGAGTCCCACAGGTTCTGCAGCTCTTGATTCCTGAGGTGCAAAGCTATATACTTTTCTCCTTTCAGGCCCGTCCCCAGGCTGGTTCCTGGAAGAAATTAGAGCTGTCTCATGAATACAAGAACGGCAACCAACTGCGAGAGTATCAGCTGGAGGGTGTGAATTGGTTGCTGTTCAACTGGTACAACAGGTGAGCCCAAGGGAAGGAGAGGAGAAGAGCAGAACGCTCTGCTGTCATCCGCATTTGTATCCTGGGTGCTAAATCAGGGAATTAAAGGTATGATGGGTTCTCTCATCTGTATATATACAGGGTCAAAGAGCTGTATAGAACAGTGAAACACCCACTCCCATCTATCTGGGAATTAGAATACAGTGGTACCTCGGGTTACATACGCTTCAGGTTACAGACTCTGCTAATCCAGAAATAGTACCTTGGGTTAAGAACTTTGCTTCAGGATGAGAACAGAAATCGTGCTCTGGCGGCGCAGCAGCAGCGGGAGGCCCCATTAGCTAAAATGGTGCTTCAGGTTAAGAACAGTTTCAGGTTAAGAACGGACCTCCAGAACGAATTAAGTACTTAACCCGAGGTACCACTGTAATAGAATTTTAAGAGTTGGAAAGGGACCCCGAGGGTCATCTAGTCCAACCCCCTGCAATGCAGGAATCTCAACTAAAGCATCCATGACAGATGACCATCCAACCTCTTGCTTCAAAGCATCCAACAAAAGAGTCCTCTATCTCCCAAGGGTGTCTTTTCCAGTAATTGTTAGCAGATCCCCTCCAGCTTCTTAAGGTTGCAGCAGGTGTAGTGTCTGTCCCTCCCTACCCCCCACAAACTTTCAAGCTTCCCTTCACACCCTTGAGGGCTAAAAACTTGCTTACTTCAAGGCAAAATAAATCTGAAATTATTTGGGTGGTGCATTGTCCATCCAGTTCAAAATGCTGCACTTCCTTGGTCCAAAGGGCACAGTACTGCTTTCAGTGCAATCGTATGCATGTAGTCTCAAGAGGTGATGATATTTAGTCCCTATTGGATTTGTTTAGGGTTTGCAGCCTTAGATCCTTAATATCCCAGCTATTAATAGACCAACCGGCTCCTGAAAGCCCCCAAAAAAGAACGACCGCTGAGTCTGCCCTGTCTTCCTCTTCAGGCAAAACTGCATCCTGGCCGACGAAATGGGCCTGGGCAAAACCATCCAGTCGATTGCCTTCCTGCAGGAGGTTTACAACGTGGGCATCCGGGGGCCCTTCCTGGTCATCGCCCCTCTCTCCACCATCACCAACTGGGAGAGGGAGTTCAACACCTGGACCGAGATGAACACCATCGTCTACCATGGCAGCCTCGCCTCTCGCCAGATGATCCAGCAATACGAGATGTACTGCAAAGATTCCCGGGTATGGTATTTCCCCCAAAAAGCGGTTTACAAGAATCCAAGCAAGTCCCATCAGATGGACCAAATTGGTCTAATCCAGAGCAGAGCTGCTCTTGTGTTCTTAATTAAACAAAACGATTTCGTGCTTGGGTAGGATGGCTCTGAGCTTACGAGCCAGAGGAATGGAACACAGGCATCCAGATGAGAAACTGGCTTGACTCTGATCCTCCTGGGTCTTCCTGTTTGATTTCCCAATTTGTCAATGAGCAGGTAGTCCCCTATTTGTCCATATCGAGAAGTCTACAAAATAGCTTTTCGATGGGAAAAGCTCTGTCTTTAACGCACGATCTTTGCTTGGGAAGGGGGCTCTGTAGTAGTGCAAAAACGGAGGAAAAAATGATTCTTGGGTATAGCACTTGCCCTTGCCTTCCTGAGCACATCCTCTGGGGATTTGAACATTACTACTGATGGTTTATGACACTTCAGCAGTCAGGTTTGTCATGACTTGGGGGGGGTACAACAAAAGTGAGCATTGGGTGATGGTTGAGATGAAGAATTTTGTTCCAGTGCCATGTCTGCTTACACAGTCATCCCCACCCAAAGGTATCTGGGAGTTATAGTTCTGTAAAGTGCAAGTTTGGGGATTAAGCCCATCATTCTGAACTGACTGCAAAGCTACAGTTCCCAGCATTCCTACTTTTTTGTAGAGGGGGTGGATTTGATTGCATCTTCACAATCTCACCTGCCCCTTTACGGTTTCTGTACATTTGCCTTTGGATTAATAACAACAAGAAGGACTAGCAACTTAATAAATAGAAATGCATATGTTGGGGGAGAAAACAAAAACCTTGAGTAACTTAATGCTCATATACTATCTGAATGCCTTCTTTTCTGTCCCCCAACAGGGCCGCCTGATTCCAGGCGCATACAAGTTTGATGCCCTGATCACTACTTTTGAGATGATCCTGTCGGACTGCCCCGAGCTGAGGGAGATAGAGTGGCGTTGCGTCATCATTGACGAAGCCCATCGCCTTAAGAACCGCAACTGCAAACTGCTGGACAGTCTTAAGCACATGGACCTGGTAAGGGAACCCTATTTTTTGCTTTCCTGCCTTCCCCGGTGTCAGGAGTCAAACCTTGCTTCTAGCTTACAAGGGTTAGACGAAGTACACAACTTTGGGAAAATGAGTTTCTAGCCCTTAAGATTGTCAAGCAGGAGTGGGAAGCCTTTTTGGGCTCTGCAGACCACCCACCTGTCTCAGTGATGTCAGGTGCAAGATGCTTTGAAAAGCAATGGGGGTTCCCCCACCCCTTCATTTTAGCAAGGGAATGGGATGCAGGCCCCTTTCTGAAGCAGGGAGGGGGTTGCAACAGAATCCCCTGCTAAAACAAAGGAGAGGTTTTGGGGGAAAGGGATTCATGAGTCAAATTAGACGCCCCACTAGAAGTGCATAGGCCAAACCACATGATGTCTCCAGTGTTGAAGGGTTCAGCATAGCCCCATAGAGCTTTGCCTTTTCTCTCCTCCCCACATCTAACAGAAATGATATCAAAGTTTTTTGGACATATATGTGCAGTTGTTTGATTTGCCACTTGCAGATGGGGGTTGGTAAGCAAGGCTCAACTTCCCTATCCTCAAACCTCGGATAGACCTGCAAGCGAGTCTGTTGGCATACGTGCCAGTCTCTCTGTTCTCCTGTTACCTAAAACCTTGAGGCTTATTGGAGGGCCTGACTTATTTTGCAGTTGCTCACATACATGCACACGCACACATTTCATCTATGGGGCAGGCCTGAGCTTGTGCATTGACACCTCCCTTTGCCTTCCCCCTTCTAGGAGCACAAAGTGTTACTGACCGGCACCCCCCTCCAGAACACAGTGGAGGAACTCTTCAGCCTCCTGCATTTCCTCGAGCCCTCCCAGTTCCCCTCAGAATCAGAGTTCCTCAAGGACTTTGGTGACCTCAAAACTGAGGAGCAGGTAAGCAGCGGCACTTGGCCCTCGTCCTTCCTCCACTGGCTTCTCCCTCAGGTTCACTTCCCATGAAGGGAATTTCAGAGACTGCACAGTGTAGCTCTGGATCCACGGAGGGCCTTTTCAAGGGGGTGGGTGGGCTTCACCACTGTGCTTCTTTCAAGGCAGTGGGCATAACTCCCTCTTGTAATTGGGTATTATCCGCTCCCGGGACCCAACCAGCCAGTCCCTTCCTACTAGATTTTAAAAGCCATGGTGGGCAGGAGTCAGATAATTGCCCTCACCACATGAGTGTCTACATCATCTGCCTGCAGCAATTGAAACTGATCCCAGTGTGGCGACTTCCACCAATTTTTCTTCCAGGGCAGTCAGATTCCCCATTACTCTCCCAATTTAATATACTCTACCCATCCGTTTTTCTCTCTCTCTCTTTCTTTCTTTCTTTCTTTCTTTTTGTAGAGGGCGGGTCTCCTTTCTCTTTAATGCCTTGTATCCCGTTGTCCCTCGCCCAGCAGACATAGAACCCAGGAGTCCTGGTTCCAGTGTCCTGACCATCTCACCTACTATACCACTTCTTGCTCTCAAACCATTCCAATAAACACTACTTGGTTAATTCTCTGTGTGTCTGTCTCTCTCCACCTCCTTACACACACACACACACACACACACACACACACACACACACACACAAAACTGCTGCCTCTCTCCACTCACCAACCCACCAACTCCTTTTCCAACCTCCCTTCCCTCCTCTCTTTTCACCTCACCCACCTCCTCAAAGCTTGCCCCAGCCCTTTTTAAGGAGGATGGGAGGCAGCTTGGCAGACCATTTTCTTCAGCAGCACCCCTGCTTTAAACACCACTCCTGCTTTGTTTAATACAGAGGGGGAGGCGCTTCCCACTCTCTTTAAACAGCTCACCTGGGCTGCTTGTCACCCGAACTGCTTGCTTGCTAGCCTGCCTGCCTGCTGGTCCATCGTCATGTTGGGGTTGCCATGGCTGCCATGAACTGCAGCATGACAACGGCATGGCAATCTTATTATATAGTAAGATATACACGCACAACCCAAGGAGATGAGAAGAACCACATGGGAAGCTTTTCTCAGGCACTGACCTTGAGTTCCTCCTCCATCTTGGCCCTGCCTCCCAGATAGGCCCAGCCGTTAAAAGAATCTCTTCTCCGTCCACCCTCCTAGGTGCAGAAACTGCAGGCCATCCTGAAGCCCATGATGCTTCGGCGGCTGAAGGAGGACGTGGAGAAGAACTTGGCCCCCAAGCAGGAAACCATCATTGAGGTGGAGCTCACCAACATCCAGAAGAAGTACTACCGGGCCATCCTGGAGAAGAACTTCAACTTCCTGTCCAAAGGGGCAGGGCACAGCAACATGCCCAACCTCCTCAACACCATGATGGAGCTACGCAAGTGTTGCAACCATCCCTACCTCATCAACGGCAAGTGTTTTTTTTCAATGTATATATTAATATATCTATATAGGTTTTTCAAGTTACAGTTGTACCTCAGCTCCTAAACGCCTTGGGAGTCGAACGTTCCAGCTCCTGAACAATCAAAAACCAGACGTGACTGTTCCAGTTTTCGAACCTCCAATGGGGCTTCCAATTGGCTGCAGGAGCTTCCTGCAGCCAATCAGAAGCCGCGCTTTGGAAGTCGAACGTTTCAGAAGTGGAAGGGACTTCCGGAACAGATTCTGTTCGACTTCCGAGGTACGACTGTACAGTTTTACAATGACATATCCAACATACAATGTAAAGACAAGACTCCAAAGAATCTCCTGGACTTCCCTCCTCCCCTTTGTGGGACCTATTGTTAGTCATTTCCTCCTGCATCTTTTATAATAATCCAAATCTTTTACATCTCCGTTATATCCAAAATTCACCATTAAACTACAGGTGTTATTCCAATCCTACTAACCATTTTAACTGTTTACAATGGTTTTTAAGATAAATTATAAATTTCCCCCATTCTTTATTAGAATTTGGGTCTTCCTGATTTCTGATTCTTCCGATCGTTTTTGCTGTTTTGGCATAATCCATCAACTTAATCTGCCATTATTCTCTGGTCTGGACTTTATCTTCTTTCCATCTCTGGTCCAATAACATCCGAGCAGCTGTGGTCGCATACATAAATGATGTATTCATCAACGGCAAGTTAGCCGGGTGGGCAGGAGGGGGGTGGAGATCATTTCAGAGACAGAATTTCTGATACGTTGGATCAGTAGAAATAGGGCAGGGCTGGTTTTTAAAAGCAGGTCTCTAGTTCTCATTACTTTGGGGGGGACATTGCGGTATAGTTTCAGTGCTTTCAGGCTCTTTGCCTTTTGGCTTCAGGGACCCTGTGAGTCTATTCTGACATGCCCTCTCTCTCTTGCTCTGCCCCCTTCGCCGAATCAGGTGCCGAGGAGAAGATCCTGACCGAGTTCCGGGATTCCTGCCACCACCACCTGCCCCATGATTTCCCCTTGCAGGCCATGGTGCGCTCCTCTGGGAAACTGGTGCTGATTGATAAGCTGCTCCCCAAGTTGAAGGCCGGCGGGCACAAGGTGCTGATCTTCTCCCAAATGGTCCGTTGCCTCGACATCCTGGAGGACTACCTAATCCAGAAGAGGTGAGGGCTTGTGCCGAGAAGAGACCCGGTGTTGGACTTGGGAAACCAGGGTTCAAATCTAAGTACAGTGGTACCTCAGGTTACATACGCTTCAGGTTACATACGACTCCACTAACCCAGAAATAGTGCTTCAGGTTAAGAACTTTGCTTCAGGATGAGAACAGAAATCGTGCTCTGGCGGCACGGCAGCAGCAGGAGGCCCCATTAGCTAAAGTGGTGCTTCAGGTTAAGAACAGTTTCAGGTTAAGTACGGACCTCTGGAACGAATTAAGTACTTAACCTGAGGTACCACTGTACAATGATATTTGGAACACACTTTTTTAAAAAAATGTCGTTTATAAATAACCCTATATGTATTTGGATAACATTAACACACACGTATCTATATATTGTATAAGCATGTATGAAATGGTAGTTCTTTGCATGTGTAGTGATATATTATACTTTTCCCCCTTTTTCTTTTTAGGGACACTTTCTTTTTACATTATTTTGTTCAATTGAAATACTTTCTATAAAAAAATGAAAACAAACAAATCCCCACTTAGCCATGGAGCTCATTGGGTCACCTTGGGCCAGTTACTGACTCATAATCTTATCTGAAAGGGGAGCGGGGAAAATCATGTACAGTGGAACCTTGGTTGTCGAACCCTTCAGAATCCGAACAATTCGGAACTCAAACGCCAACAACCCAGAAGTGAATGCTTCTGTTTTTGAAGGATTTTTGGAAGCTGAACGGTTTCCGAGCCACGTTTTTCATTTTTTCCCATTGACTTTTCAGCCAGCCCATTGATCCTCAGTTTTCGAATATTTCGGAAGCCAAATAGTCTTCCGGAACGGATTAAGTTCAAAAACCAAGGTTCCACTGTATTTACACATTCTTGTCTTCAGCCTACTGGGGGTGGCAAATTCAAGACATGCACACCAGCCTGGCTTTGCGGCATGCCATGCCTAGGTCCATTAGCCTCTTGCTTTCCTGCCAGGGGGTTCTTAACTCTTATGACTCCCTGTGGCACCTGTATGGGGTGCCGCCTCTCGTTCAGGCTCTGTGTTCCCTAATTGCCTTGCCCCTCCACGCAGGTATCTCTACGAGCGCATTGATGGGCGAGTGCGGGGGAACTTGCGGCAGGCGGCGATTGATCGCTTCAGCAAGCCTGACTCGGACCGCTTCGTCTTCCTGCTCTGCACGCGGGCGGGAGGGCTGGGCATCAACCTGACTGCTGCCGACACTTGCATCATCTTTGATTCGGATTGGAACCCCCAGAACGACCTGCAGGTACAGCAAGCAGGGACACCTTCAGGGTGGGAAGAGGCAGTCTTCTGCCAAGGGGGGCGGGCTTGGAGGGCTGGGTGTTGTCCACAGACAAAGCTCTGAAGTCTGCTGAGTGAAAACATGTATTACCCATGCCCCCTTTGCCTACCAAGTAACTTCAGGCCCACCTTTTTCTCTCATGGCCTAACCTACCTTGCAAGTTTGTTGTGAGAATCAGATGGGATCACCTTATGCATGCCATCCTGGGCAAGACAGGACAGGCTACAACTGTGATGGATAGATCATAGAATTGTAGAGTTGGAAGGGACAACGAGGTTCATCTAGTCCAGGGGTCAGCAACCTTTTTCAGCTGTGAGCTGGTCCACTGTCCCTCAGACCATTTGGGGGGCCGGACTATATTTTGAAAAAAAATGTGAACGAATTCCTATGCCCCACAAATAACCCAGAGATTCATTTTAAATTAAAGCACACATTCTACTCATGTAAAAATACCAGGCAGGCCCCACAACTAACCCAGAAATGCGTTTTAAATAAAAGGACACATTCTACTCATGTAAAAACATGTTGATTCCCAGATCGTCCATGGGCTGGATTGAGAAGGCGATTGGGCCGCATCCAGCCCCCGGGCCTTAGGATGCCTACCTCTGATCTAGTCCAACCCCCTGCAATACATCAATCCGTTGCACCAACGTGGGGCTCAAACCCATGACTTTGAGATTAAGAGTTTCATACTCTGCCTATTGAGCAATACACAGATACTGAGCAGTACACAAACACACCCTTTCCTCCTTGTATCCAAGCATTGGGACGTGGGTGGCGCTGTGGTCTAAACCACTGAGCCCCCTGGGCTTGCCATTCGGAAGGTTGGCACTTTGAATCCCCACAATGGAGTGAGCTCCCATTGCTCTGTCCCAGCTCCTGCCAACCTTGCAGTTCAAAAGCATGCCAGTGCAAGCAGATAAATAGGTACTGCTGCGGTGGGAAGGTAAACAGCGTTTCCGTGTGCTCTGGTTTCCATCAAGGTGTTCCATTGCACCAGAAACGGTTTAGTCATGCTGTTCACATGACCTGGAAAGCTGTCTGTGGACAAACACCAGCTCCATTGGCCTGAAAGCGAGATGAGCACCGCAACCCCAAAGTTGCCTTTGACTGGGCTTAAATGTCCAGGGGTCCTTTACCTGTATCCAACCTCTTTGTGTCATAATTTGGCACCTATCCCCTTTCCCCAAGAATCCCTTCCATTTGCCTCCCATCCAGACGTGGTTTTAGAAATGGGAGGTCTTTGGGCATTCTAGGACCTTTCTGTTACCGGATGGTAGTACTAGCGTAAAACGGAATGTTATTCCAGGGCGGGTTGCAAAGGCAGTAGCATTGTAGTAATTTGTTTTATGATGTGTTATGATGTTACATTATGACTTGCAATTTTACTTTTTATTAAAAGAGGTCAGAAATGGAATTATGAAAATAACGCTATATATGTATGTATGCCTACTTTTTCCATAAATGTAAAATCAATCTTTATAATTGCAGTGAATATTACTTACTGCCTCCCAAGGGCCTAAACTTTAACTCTCCTTGCTCCTGTTTCTGGCCACTAAGAGGAGCGTTCTTTTGAAGTAAACCACAATTTTCTCTGTCCCAAGAGGGGTCTGTGCAGTGGGTGTATCTCTCACATGCTCAATTGCCTTCTTCTGCTCTTGTCTCCTCTTCCTTCCAGGCCCAGGCACGCTGCCACCGTATTGGGCAGAGCAAGGCAGTGAAGGTCTACCGCCTCATCACCCGCAACTCCTATGAGCGAGAGATGTTTGACAAAGCCAGCCTCAAGCTGGGGCTGGACAAGGCCGTCCTGCAGTCCATGAGCGGGAGAGAGGGCAGCATTGCCGGGGTAAATAATGTTGGTGACAATTGGTGGAGAGGCAGCCCTGGGTGAACTTGCAAATGTGGGGATTTGCAGATCTAGGCTGAAGTTTCTCTAGGAATGTGTGTCCAATTGGGAGCCTTCCCCCTGCCCATCTTCCTCCCTTCCCACCCCGAAGAAGCATCTATTCTAGCTAGTTGCATCACACTGCTTTTTTCCAATATAGTTTTTATTGAATTTCCTGTTTTTTTACAAACTGACTTAGTTGCATTGTTTCATGTACCGACTTCCCACCTCCACAGTGTTTTTATTCAAACTCTTTTCTTCTGCATTATATATCAGATTCTCGTCTATTACCAAAATCCCCCCACTCATCCTCTTTATCATTTTTATCCTGCTGCTGCTATCTCAAATTCTGCCTGCGATTTCATTTGTTCCAGGTGCTTTTCCAAATAGTCCAAAAAAGGCCTCCGTTCATTGTATAAAAAGTTTGTCATTTTGATCTCTTAATATTGCTGTCAGCTTTTCCATTTCCGCGTAGTCCGTAACTTTTTAAAGCCATTCCTCCTTCATTGGAAACTTAATTTCCATTTCTGTGCATCATCCCACTCTGCTTTTTAGACTGGATGATGGGTAATGATGGTGAAGAGTCGAGTATCAAAATTGTCCATATTCTGCTCTGGTGGCTTTGCATAATATTGTATATTTCTTCATTCAGTCATAAACATTTATGTACACCATATCCTCTGATTTAAAAAAGAAAAACCTACTGCACATTTGCAAGTACAGCAATATAAGAAAATATCAAAAGCAGTACAAAGTTTAGAGCATTTGCATCCCATGCTTCAGCCAGGAAGGCTTTCAGAGCACTCTGCGTACAATAAAGCAAAACCTTCGCTACCTGTAGGCTTATTGTCTAAAAGGCACGACACACAGGGAAAAGGGGAGAGGAAACGAAGGGAGGGCTCAGCCTCAGACTCCAATTCTTGAAGTTACATAGTGGTTCTTAATCTTAACCAGCTGGAACAGAAATTTTTCAGATGAAGGTGGCTTCTCCTGATTTGAGTTGAGCTTTTCAGCAGAGCCTGATAGAATGATTCCTGCTTCCGTTCCAAGGCAGGTCAGAGAAGATGGTCTTCTAATCTCCCCGCCCCCCTTGTCGTTGCCTCCTGTTCCCCTCTCAGATCCAGCAGTTTTCAAAGAAGGAGATCGAAGACCTGCTGCGGAAGGGAGCCTATGCTGCCATCATGGAAGAGGACGACGAGGGCTCCAAGTTCTGCGAAGAGGACATTGACCAGATTCTGCTGCGGCGGACGACCACTATCACCATTGAGAGCGAAGGGAAGGGCTCCACCTTCGCCAAGGTAATTGCTCTTTAGCTTCCTCCTCCTCCTCCTTTTTCATTTAGGGGAATTGGAGATTGATGGAGGGGAGGCTTTGCTGAAGAAGTGAAAAGGAAAGCGTCTTCCAGTTGCTGGAAACCACTGGAGGGGAAAGGGCACATCATCATCATCATAATTTGCTTGTTTGTACTCAGATTCTTCTTGCTTGTGGGTTTTCTTCGGGTAACTGGCTGGCCACTTTTGAGAACAGGGTGCTGAACTTAATAATCTGATCCAGGAGGCTCTTAATTTTTTACATTGTGTGTTCCTGGCTGACTCACTCCCACCCAAGCCATGAAGCATAGAAACCCATTTGTTTTGTTTTAAAACTAAACCAAGCCTACCAGGTTCCATAGTAGAGATGTTATGCTCACTAAGGGTGCATGTCATGTTACAGTAGGATAGCCAACCCTACCCCCATAAATCCTTAAAAAAAATTATTCTCCTCTCAACTGGAATATAATTGTTGACTTAACAAATGTGTAACTTTCTGTATGGAAGAAATAAAAAAAATATTATTCTTGTTTTTAAATATATATATATGTTCTCTCCCAGGCGAGCTTTGTGGCCTCAGAGAACAGGACGGACATCGCCTTGGACGACCCCAACTTCTGGCAGAAGTGGGCCAAGAAGGCAGACTTGGACCTGGATATGCTCAATAGCAAGGTGTGTTGAGGAATGGGCTTGGCAGGGGAAAGAGCCTGCCCCCATTGTTAATTCAGGCTTTGATTGGCTGCATTAGTAACATGAGGACTTCACAACACACTTCACATTCTGAGGCATGGTGTACTTTTTTTAAAAAAAAAAGTGAGTTGTATTTCCTTCCCCAACCCTCAGCCTGTCTTAAATTATTATTATTATTATTATTATTATTATTATTTATTAGTTAATATAACACCCAAACCTGAAAGTCTCAGGGCAGTTCACAGAATAAAATCAAAATATAAAACCATAAAATGCATAATCAAAATAAAAACAACCCAATAACCCACCACCCCCAAAAACCCACATTTTAAAGGGCGTAGGATCCTCACAACATTTAAAGGAAGACAATTTACAAACCTGGACCGGAGCCACTCATTGGAAAGACCATGATCTCTCAAAGGTCTGCAGCAATATTTATCAGCAACCAAATTGTGCCTTTTTGATAAAAAGGCAAAAATAGCTTTGAAATAAGAGTAGGAGAAATTAGCATTGGTTGTTGAGCAGATGTAATGAAATAAATGCTCCCTGCCTCCACAATAAAAGAAGGCGGTCCAGCCTTCACATATCTTGATGAAGGCAGGGGATGGTTTTACATTTGGGCATTTACCCGTGGGAGGGGTTGGTGCTTTGGTAGACCAACCTAAGGCCTTGTCTGTCCTGACATTGTCCTCTCTCCCCTCCGCAGAACAACCTGGTGATTGACACCCCCCGCGTGCGCAAGCAGACGCGCCACTTCAGCACCCTGAAGGACGACGACCTGGTGGAGTTCTCCGACCTGGAGAGCGACGATGACGACCGGCCGCGCTCGCGACGCCATGACCGCCACCACCACCCGCTCCACCACTCCTACGGGCGCACAGACTGCTTCCAGGTGGAGAAACAACTGCTAGTCTATGGGTATGTGGCGCGGGGAAGATTTTGTTGGTTGTGGGTGCAAACTCGCCAGCGTACGGGCAGTGTGTTTCTGGGGTTTACGGGGCAGGTGGACTCTTTTATAAATCCATTTTAGAAGCAGCGATCAGCTTACAACACAGGGCAGTTCTCTGCGTGCTTACTCAGGAGTAAGTGCAGCTGTGTTCTACAGGACTTAATCTCAGGTGAGCATGCATAGGTCTGCAGTTCCTGGCGAGCAAGGGAACTCTTCCTTCCTTCCTTCCTTCCTTCCTCTCTCTCTCCCCACCTCCAGTTTTTCAAATTTTATTTATACTTTTCAAGTTCATACATTTCACTAGTTCTGTACATTTCACTACTTTTACAATCATTTTAACATTTCAAAACTTGACTTCCTTCTCCCTCTTTCTGCGGTTCCTTAAATTCATTTTTAATATCCTCTGCATATCCAAATTAACTTAATTTGCTCATTTATTCATCTATTTTAAATATATACTCTTATAAAACTGCAGGTTATTACAATAATCCTGCCAGTGATCTTATCTGTTTACAATTTATCTGTAAATATTCAATAAACCATTTCCATTCTTTTATAAAAAGTTCATTATCTTGATTTCTTTTTCTTCTGGTAAGTTTCTTTATTTCTGTCTATTCCATAAGTTTTTGTATCCATTCTTCCTTTGCTGGGACTTCTGCTTCTTTCCATTTTGGGGCAAGTAACATTCTTGCCTCTGTAGGTAGCATACACGAATAAGTTTCTATACATTTTAGGTAGTTCTATCCCTATAATTCCCAAAAGAAAAGCTTCTGGGTTGTTGTTTTTTTACAAAGGTTATTTTAAACACCCTTTTCATTTATTACACTGGTCAACAACAAATTTGTTGTCTGTGCTTTTTCAGCTGATTTAGGATGAATCTGATGCGCTGAATCCAAAAATCACATTGGTTTTGCTCAATCAGGTCAAGTTTTTGAGCTATGGCCACGTCTTTTTTTCCGTTTTTGTTCACATGTACGCTTGTGTGGAGCATTTTAGAAGAAGTTGGTGGGGGTAAAATGCCTTGTCAAATAATTGTTTTGATTGGAAATGATTATTTTAATAACAAGAAGTATTCAGGTCCGATAGTTCTGGGTGATTATGTCGAAAAGGGATCAGTTTGAAGTCATAAAACCTCGAAATCTTCCATAAATTGGTCCAGCAAAGCATAAAGTTGGGGGATCAAAACTAAGTTAATGGGGCAGCCGCCCCATGAAGTATCCTGATCTTCAATCAGCACGTCGTCCTGTAGCTCATTGGGATGAAATTCCAGTGCCTATCTTCGGAGAACTTCCTGACATTAGTGACGAAGATGCCTCCAGTGTTGAAGGACATGAAGAAGAAGAAGTGGTTCTTGAAGATGATGCTCCACATCCATTTTCCCAAAAGGAGTTGAATGATCTAGTTCGCGACCACAGCTTGTCGAAGGACTCTGCCGAACTGTTGGCATCCAGATTGAAGGAAAAAAAACCTCTCTGACAGTGCTTGCATCAGCTTCTTGCGCAACAGGCATCAAGAGTACCTCCGTTTTTTCTCGGAAGAGAAGGACTTGGTGTACTGTGCAGATATTGCACAGCTTTTGTTCAAGCTTGGAGTGCCACAGTACGAACCCAAAGATTGGAGACTGTTCATTGACAGCAGCAAGCGATCACTGAAATGTGTTCTGCTACACAACAGCAACCAGTTTGCCTCTATACCCCTGGCTCACTCGACTACACTGAAGGAGAACTATGAAGCGGTGAAGTATGTGCTGGAGAAAATTGGTTATGATCAGCATAAGTGGTTTATTTGTGTTGACCTGAAGATGGTGAACTTTTTGTTGGGACAACAGTCTGGCTTCACCAAGTACCCATGTTTTCTGTGCATGTGGGATAGTAGGGACTGTGCTCAGCATTACACGAAGAAGGACTGGCCTGTGCGGGAGGAATTGGTGCCTTGCAAAGGAAGGAACGTCATCAACGACCCTCTGGTGGACAGAGACAGAATACTCTTCCCACCGCTGCACATCAAGCTCGGCTTAATCAAGCAGTTCACCAAGGCTCTGGACAAGGATGGTGACTGCTTCATTTACTTGTGCCAGGCTTTTCCAGGATTGACCATGGAGAAGTTGAAAGCTGGCATCTTTGACGGTCCTCAGATCCGTCAGTTCATCAGAGATCCAGAGTTCGGAAACTCAATGAACGAAGTGGAACTGGAAGCGTGGAAGGCATTTGTTCTGGTAGTGAAGAACTTTCTTGGCAAGAATAAGTCCAAAAACTACGCAGAACTTGTCAACAACATGCTGACTGCTTTCAGAAACCTGGGCTGCAACACGAGCGTCAAGATGCACTACCTATTTTCACATATGGACTGACTTCCTGAGAACCTGGGTTCAATGAGTGACGAGCAGGGGGAGAGATTCCATCAGGACATGAAAGAGATGGAGACCAGGTATCAGGGTCGCTGGGATGCAGTCATGATGGCTGACTACTGTTGGACTCTGAAGAGAGACCTCCGTGCTGCTGAGCATTCCAGGAGTTCCAAGAAACGGAAGTTCAAGCCCTGAAGTTTGAAAAATGGTGAAGCAACATGCAATTTATGTGTACTTACCTTTATCAATGCCCACCATTCAGTTTACAGAAAACCTGACCTGATGGAGAGAAACGGATGCCATTTCCTGATTCAGCAGTGCAAAAATACCCTAAATCAGCTGTAGAAATCTAGACAACATTCAAAAAGTAAAAAATTGTTGCCCAGTGTTATGTATCATTTCCCAGTAAGCTTTAACCTTACTACAAGACCACCACATATGATAAAAAGAGCCTTCTTTCTCTTTACATTTCCAACACTTAACGTGATTTAGATTTATACATTTTTGCCAATTTACTTGGTGTTAGATATCAAGATAACATTTTCATATAATTTTCTCTCAGACTGTAACATGCTGTAAATTTTATATCCATATTCCACAATTGTTCCCATGCTTCCCATGTGTATATTATGACCAGTATCTATTGCCCAACGTATCATTGAGGATTTTACTTGCTCATCCTTAGTCATGACAAAAGACAAAGCAAGGGAACGGCTCTGACTTTGCCAATTTTTCCTGACAGCTGGGGCCGCTGGCGGGAAATCCTGTCGCATGGACGGTTCAAGAGACGCATGTCTGAACGGGACGTGGAGACCATCTGCCGGGCCATCCTCGTCTACTGCCTGATGCACTACCGGGGCGATGAGAACATCAAGGGGTTCATCTGGGATCTCATCAGCCCGGTTGAGAACGGCAAAGCCAAGGAACTTCAGAACCACTCCGGTAAGCCTCCCTTAATTTCTCTCTCCGTTGTCGTGAAGGGCTTGGTCTAGCTGGGCCTGCCATTTTACATTGCCACTGTCTTGGGATATCGCAAGATGTGGGTTGTTCAGGCGAGGGGGGAAGCAAATTCAAGGATGCTGGCAAATTCAAGATGGCGGGACTCTTGGGGAAGGGGGATATGGATGGCTTTGCGGGAGTCGGGGAGGTTCTTTCTGTCTCTTAAACTTCTGCTTGGGTGGCAGTGTGCATGGGTTCTTTTTTGAAATGTGTTTGAGCTCGAGATACGATGGAAAATCTGGGGTGACCCTAATCCCTATTGCACTGGTTCCATGTTATACCTAGAGAGCCATGCCCCTGCTCTGAGCTCACTTCCTGTTCCTCGGGCAGGCCTGTCCATCCCAGTCCCACGAGGCCGCAAAGGGAAGAAGGTCAAGTCCCAGACCACTTTTGACGTCCAGAAAGCTGAATGGATCCGCAAGTACAACCCCGACACCCTCTTCCAGGATGAGGGCTACAAGAAGCACCTCAAGCACCAATGCAACAAGTAAGGATGGGATGGGATGCAAAGGGATCCTGTTTTGACACACCAGTGCAGCTAGAGAGAGCAGGTCCCTTCCCCCACTTTAACTCTCAAACCCATTCCAACTGTTCGTTCGGAATAGAGAGAAGCCCCATCACAGCACCACTGTAGTAGAGAAATAGTTGCAGGTGCTTTGCTCCCATCCCCAAAGCTATAGCTTTGCAAACTGCTTGGTTTCTCAGGGCGTGGCCGGCTGCAGTCCATCCAAAAAACCACAATTGCATACAGTCGTATCTTGGAAATCGAACGGAATCCGTTCCAGAAGTCTGTTCGACTTCCAAAACGTTTGAAAACCAAATCGCAGCTTCTGATTGGCTGCAGGAAGCTCCTGCAGCCAATCTGAAGCCACAGAAGCCCCATCGGACGTTCGGCTTCCAAAAGAACGTTCGCAAACCAGAACACTCACTTCTGGGGTTGCGGCGTTCGGCAGCCAAAACGTCCGAGTTCCAGGGCGTTCGGGATCCAAGGTACAACTGTAGATTTAAGTTGGTGTGGAGAGCGGTAACATGACATGATTTCTCAGGGGTTGCTCCCCTCTAGGGAAAATGCACCTGGTGCCTTTGCAATCAGCTTTTAGGTGGCAGCCTAATACATTCCTGTTTCCCCAGACTTTTGGTGGTTAATTTCCACCCTGTTGGCAGTGTCCATCTTTTAATCGGGTGTGTGTAGGATTTGCCCTTTTTATAGCATTGGTTTGATGAGCGCTTTTAGTAAATACTTCCGCTATATTGTATTTCTTCCTTGCTTTCCTTTTTGAATGTGAGTTAGGTATACTTTTATGGCTCTGCTAGGCACTTTCAGACTTTTTTTTCTGAGGAAGACGATGAATAAATCTAATGAGTATTAGTGGTAGTGCTGTCCCCATTGCCCTTTCTCTTCTGATTTTTTTTTCTGCCTGCAGAAAGAAAAATGTCAAATGAGATAGCTTACGGGTTTTCTCCAATCTTTAGCATGTGTATTCCTCCTCCTGCCACCAGACTGCAATCCATATGTGTTCAGACTGGAACAACAACAAAAAAGATTATCACTGTCCTCTTCCAGTTCCCTAGGAGAGAGATAACAAGGGCAGAGTCTTTGATATTGTCAGGTTTAGCTAGCAAAGGGGGCACAGTTCTTTCCTCCATCTTTCCCCACTTAAAGTCCTTGTTCTCTCCCCAGAGTTCTCCTACGTGTCCGTATGCTGTATTACCTGCGCCAGGAGGTGATAGGGGACCAAGCCGAGAAAGTTTTGGCAGGCACTATTTCCAGGTAATATTTCATTTACTTATAAGTTGCATTGGGCTGTTTTTTTTTTTTTAACCCTGCCTTCTTAAGCAGCTTTTAGAGTAGCCTGCATGTGTCTTCCGCAACTGTGCTTATCCTCACACAACAGCTCTGCGAGGCAGGTCAGGCTGAAAGATGATCCCCTAGTGAGTTTCATGGCTGAAACTCATCCCTGGAATGAGAGCTGTAGCTTCCTAGCATCCTTCTTTACAGATCGGAGTGTAAGCAGATAAGAAGAAGAATAGAATTGTAGAGCTGGAAGAGGGACCCCAAGGGTCATCTAGTCCAACCCCCTGCAATGCAGGAATCTTTTGCCCAACTTGAGGCTTGAACCCATGACTATCTAGTACAGCATCTCATTCTCCCAGTCACCAACCATAGGAAGCCTACAAGCAACAAACTGAGTGCAACAGCACACTCTCTTGTGATTCTCATTGTGGTAGCTATTGATAGCCTTACCCTCCATGAATTTACCTGTAAAAACAAAATGTGACATCCCTCTTAAAGCCAATGCTTTTATGTTCACTATTCCAGGACTGATCATATCCACCCCACTTCCTGTTCTCTATGAACTTCTAATTGCATCTGTTCCCATAGAACATTATACTTCCGTGAACTCGGCTGCCTCTGACGCTTTGTTTTTTCTCTCTCGTGTTTTTTCTCTTCCTCTTCCCTCCTGCCTTTGCTGCACCCCCTTCCCAAATGTCATTCGATCCTGCAGTGAAATTGACATGTGGTTCCCACTGGTGGACCAAGCAGAGGTCCCCACAGCCTGGTGGGATACAGAAGCTGACAAGTCTTTGCTCCTTGGGGTCTTCAAACATGGTAGGTGTTGCTGCAGTACCATTCTGGGGAAGGAATCTGAGGTCACATCCTGTTTTGAGCTGCGCTCACAGTAGCATATGAAGGCTGCCTTGTCAAGACGATAGGTTCATTTAGATCAGTATAGTTGAAACAGCCCTACCTGGAGATGCCAGGAATTGAACAGGTGCTCTACCACTAAACTATAGCCCTCATTTATTTAGATGTTCGGGTTAGGATTGTGCTCTACAGTTCTGCTACAGCCCTTCCTGTTCAGTGTCTTGCCTGATAGCAGGTTAATTCCCAGCATTCTCACCCCCTCCATTAAAATTCTGTAGGCCACATCCTTCCTTTCAAAGTTGGCGTGTGGCATTTGTTTTTCATTTTTATTAATTTTCAAAAAAGAAAAGGTTATGCAAGATTCTGCAAAACCAAACAAGATCTGGTGACAGTAAACATAGTCCATATGCAATGATATATCACTGTCAAACAGAGACATAAAATAACACCGAAATAAACAAACCACAGGTATGTGAACACATGGAAGGTAGCGACTGGAACTATTCATAACATAGACATGACGGTTAAACAAGACAAGGTTACAAAACATGAACCCTATTATACCAAGGGAAAGTAATTCAATGTTTATGGAGTGATGAGCAAGTGCTGTACGACTTGAGAACCAATAGGTTGGGTAGGGAGTTGTACGTTTGGTTCCATTCCAACTCTTCGATTCTATGATCATACGCAATATACGGGTAACTCTCAACATTAGTGATACTTGGAGGAGATCCATCAAAATAATAGCACGTTTCAGGTATTTTTCTGTTTATAAGATGCCCCCATGTGTAAGACACCCCCTCATTTTTGACATTATTTTTTAGGAAAAAAGCCTAGTCTTATACACGGAAAAATGCTTTATTTAATATGATTAAATAAAGATGACAGTATTGAATCTAAGGTCCGTGGATCTTCTCTGAGATTGGGTGCAGGCAAACCCCGAAATCTCTCATCCCTCTGGCACCCCTTTCAGGCTACGAGAAGTACAACACCATGCGAGCGGATCCTGCGCTCTGCTTCCTGGAGAAGGCTGGTCGCCCTGACGAAAAGGCCATCGCCGCCGAGCACCGCCTGGATGTGGGAGAGGGGTGAGTAGCTGGTGCGGGGGGAGGGGGGGCCTGAAGAAGCACGCACCTATGATGACTTGCCATGCTAATACCGAGGCACCGGGTGTCAGTGAGTTCAGCTTGCTTCTCGCAGGAAGACCTGAGGTGCGTCTGTATGCAAGGGATTGGGGGAGAGCTGAGATTGAAGCGGAAATGACGAACCAGTTCTCTCCCCTCTTTTGCTGGCAGGGTCGATTTCGACAAGGACTGCGAGGACCCGGAGTACAAACCAGTGGGAGGCCCTGCCAAGGAGCCGGATGATGAGGTGAGATCCTGAGCCAGCGCAGTATGGGAGCCACAAATGTTGCTCCATGTCGCCCCCTTCATCTAGTTCCCAGCTTCTCGCAAAGGCTCTGAGCTCTACAGCCCCGTTAGCCTTAAACTGGTGGTGGTGGCTACCTTTTTCTCCCAGAGGGGAAGTGGGAAGAGTGACACTCTGCCCCACTTCCTCTTTCAGCTCTATGTGCTTTTCAAGGCTCAAATTAACTCTACTGGGTCCTTTTGAAAAAGGAAGTGCATTTCTGGGTTCACTTTCTTCTCCTTCGGGGAGGAGAGGAAGGACCAGTGGTGTTGGTGTTCAAAAATCTCGATGTGCCCACAGACTTTCTTTAAAAAAAGTAAAAAGAAATCTATTCTCCCCCCCACCCTCGTGTATATTCTATAGATATTAAGCTAACATGAAGTTATTGGTTACATGTATTATACACCCAAACAAGTAAGCAACACGACAACAAAATCAGATAAGAGCAGGTAAAAATTGCAGCAAAATTAAATTGGAAATACTGTTTCGAATGCAGAATAGCACATACCAAACAAATCAGCCCAGCAGGCCAGACATTAAAATGAAACAGATTTTGCCTGTTGATGGAAGGCCACCAATAATTTGTATTAGGAGCTTGATTTTTAAAAAGGGATATATATTTTTAAGGAGGGGTGGGTCTCTTTTTCATTTTGGTGGTATGTTCTGGGTGTGGCCCCTCTCTGGTTGGAGTATCTAGTCAGAATAATTGCCCTTATTTCTGACACCAGTCTCTCTGCCGCAGGGTGACCCACTGATGATGATGGATGAGGAAATATCTGTGGTGGACGGTGAAGAAGGTAAATACTTGCTGGCTGAAAGTGCTTGTCAAAGGAGGCGATGGAGACAGTGCTTTGGAGGGGGGTAGGTGGGGTACTAGCTGTGTGTCAGCTGTGGTGCCAAGGGGGACAGGAATTTCTGTGACGCAGCTTGCGCCTTCCCTTCAGGTCAGCCGGGGAACCTGTTCTGGCCCCCAGCCTCGGCCATCACGGCTCGCTTGCGAAGGCTGATCACCGCCTTCCAGAGGAGCTACAAACGCGAGCAGCTCAAGATGGAGGCGGCGGAACGAGGGGACCGGCGGCGGCGGCGCTGTGAGGCCGCATTCAAGCTGAAGGAGATGGTGCGGCGAGAGAAGCAACAGAGGTAAAAGCTCTGGGCTTGGCTGCGAGGCCACCGAGGGCCACGTCTTCACAGTAGCCTGGGCTGAGGTGACCCCCAGTTCCAGAGCCAGAAATGCTCAGGGCCCCTGAAACAGGCGTAGCGTTACTTCATGAAGACGATGAGGACATTCTGTTTAGTAGGACTGCCACACCCAGTTAAGTAAATCTTAAGGTTCAGTGCTAAGCACATATACTAAGGAGTAGGTTCCATTGAGTTGGTTGGGACTTGCTTCTGAATAATCATGTTTCGGGTTACCCCGCTAGAGTGTCGGTAGGTTGGTTGATTGGATGGATTCGCATATAAGCAAAAAAATAAAAATCAGAATTAGGTGGTATACCTTTGGGTTATATTCTTGGCCAGGGAAAGCCTACTCATGAGTAGACCTATTGAACATCCATTAATTTTAATGGGTCAGCTCTGAGTAAAATTAACCTTGGCTATAACCCTTTACTTTCTACCCTACTTTTTAGGGTGCCAATCCTTCCAAGGCAACAAGAAAAGACATAAAACAATAAAAAAGTTTTAAAAATACCAAATCCACCCATTGTTATTTTTATTTTTTAAAAAGCCTCAAGCGTGCACTAGATGAACTGTTGAAAACCATCAGGGATTATCCATAAAAAGAATATTCAGTAAAAATACTAGAAGAGAGAGATATTTTCAGTGGCCTTTGTCAAAATGGGGAAAGCATGAGGGCAGAATGGAACTCACAGGATGGGAGTTCTAAAAGTGTGGGATCACCAATGGGCATTGGGGGGGGGGGGCGGGAACACCTGTCCCTGGTACCTGCCAGTGTGGTCTGATCTTCCTGATTGGTGAACCAGGAAGTGGTTGCTTAGCCCCGCCCCTGCATCAGCCAGCCATTGGCTTAGGAGAGGGATGGAGACTTGGGATCGATTTGGTTAGAGGTTCTCCTATGAAGACATCTAGCGGGTTTGCTCTTCCCCAACCCTGCCTCTCCTCCAAAGGTGGACACGCCGAGAGCAATCCGACTTCTACCGTGTCGTCTCCACGTTCGGGGTGGAGTACGACCCAGACACCATGCGCTTCCACTGGGGCCGCTTCCGGGCCATGGCCCGGCTGGAGAAGAAGACGGATGAGAGCCTTGCCAAGTATTTCCACGGCTTCGTGGCCATGTGCCGGCAAGTGTGCCGGCTGCCTCCCGCAGCAAGCGATGGTTAGTACCTGGGGGCCACAGTGGGTGGGAAGTGTCCAACCCTCCGCATTGGCCATTGATCAGGCTGGCCAAGCCTGATGGGAGTTGGAGTTCCAAAGACAGCCAGAGGGCACAAGGTTGAGATGTAAACTATAGAGTGGCTGGTCCAATCAGCGTTCATCTGCCTTCCTTGCCACCTCTTGGCCTACAGGAATGTGCAGTTGTTTCTGTGAATGGTGAGTGGGAGGTCAGCTGTGGGTATAGTCTCTTCTTCCTTCCAGCTCCTTCAAATCATAGTCCTTGCCCGTTTGTGTTGTCTACCCACCTCCATCCCCAACCAGGGCTTCCATAGCAACATTGGAAACTGTCTTACACCGAGTCAGATCAGTATTGTTGGTACTGTATATATCAGTATATACCGTATTTTTTGCCCCATAGGACGCACCGGCCCATAGGACGCACCTAGTTTTTTGGGGGGGAAATAAAGAAAAAAAATTATTTCCCCCCCAGGTGCGGGGCTGGGGCGGGGGAAGCCCGAGCTTCCCCCGACCCCACCCCCCAGAACAGGCTGCTATCCACAAGCCGTGGGAGAGCTGCGCGACTTCGCACAGCTCTCCCACGGCTAGCGGAGGACTGCGCGAAACCCGAAGCTTGGGGCGTGCTGAATAAAATGAAGTCATGTAATCCCTACTTTAGCATGAGCTGGAGGGAGCATCCGTCCATGTGCCTCCCTCTTGTTAATTAATGCATCCTTCCCCCTTCTCCCTCCCAGAGTCTCCAGACCCGACACTGTTCATTGAGCCCATCACGGAGGAGAGGGCCTCGCGCACCCTGTATCGCATTGACCTCCTGCGGCGCCTGCGGGAGCAAGTCCTGTGCCACCCGCTCTTGGAAGAGCGCCTCGCCCTCTGCCAGCCCCCGGGCCCCGAGATGCCTCCCTGGTGGCAATGCGGGCGCCACGACGGAGAGTTGCTGCGTGGCGTTGCCCGCCATGGCCTCAGCCAGACCGATGCCACCATCATGCAGGACCCGGACTTCTCCTTCTTGGCCGCTCGACTCAACCACATGCACAGTCGGGCGGGGAGCACAGGGACGCTGCCGCCGCCACCCCCGCCGCCTCCCCCGCCACAGCCTTTGGGGCTGCCTCTTTCTGGGGCTGCCGTGGTGACAGCGGCCGCTCCTCCTGCCCCCCTGCTCTTGCCACCGCCCTTGCATGAGCTCCCCACTCCGCGACAGCAGCCCACAGCCCTCCCCATTAAAGTTGAATCGGTGGACGACTCGGACTCTGAGCTGGACCTCAGCAAGATCTCTGCTTCTTCGTCTTGCTCTTCTACTTCGGGGTGCTCAGATGATAGCGATGGTGAGGAATTTTCCCAAGGGGTTTTCTGCCCCCCTTTTCTCCTCTGACTTCTCCACTGGAATATGTGAATCCCCACCTGTTCTTCTATTGTGGAAATCAAGATGGGTGTACAGAAGGGTCCCCAGTGGTCTTCTGTTTAGGCACAGACTCAGACCAGCGAAGGTGGCTTCTTATTTGCGCTCAGACCCTTTCAGAAATGATTGCATGCCACAGTCGCCCTGCATGCGTCCTTCCTGGGGCGTTACGGCGTGTCAGATTTTTCTACTCTCAAATTTCCAAAACGAGGGGTGCTAAAAATCGGGAAGCACAACTTGGGTATTCAAAATATATTTTGGCTAAATGAGGGTAATTTAGTTTTGTTTGGCATGTAAAATGTGTGTGAATCATTACAAATGATTGCCAAGTACTTGCAGTTTACAATATTAAAATTATTTTTATTATCACTTGAGATCTTCAGAAGGTCAAATTAACATTTTTTGGTTTTCCAAAAGCAGTTTTATGTGCTTCTTCATCAAATGCAGGCATACCAAGCTAAACGTTGTCCGGTCACAAAAATAATAGCAGATTTGAATTCCCCACACCCCAAAACATATTTGAAAGACCGCTCGCTGAGGAAATGTGCAAAGGTTAACGTTTATCCCCCTAAAATGGCATGCCTTGCTAGGGGGTAGCCCCATGCTTTTTCATTCCAGCTATCGCACCGTCTCCTCTAGGTAAAGAGCGTTCCCATCTTCAGGCAGCACAAAAAAAAGCCCCTCAACCAGGCTTTGTGTAGGTTGACATCTCTGCCTGTTTTCACTATGTGTTTCTCCACGGCGGCACCTCTCAGGCTCTTTCTCCCCCTCTCCCCCCCACCCCCGGTCTTCTTCCCTGCCAGGCGAAGAGGCCTCTTGTGGCGGGAAGCTGTTTGAGGAGGAAGAGTCGTCGCTTCTCTCTCTGCCCACCTCCCACGAGGGCAACTCCCCACAGCCCAGCGCCTCTGACCTGCTGTTGCAGGAGCGCCAGCGGGCCCACGAGTGGCCAAAGGTAACAGGTTGAGCAGAGGGAGGTGGTTTGTGGCTCTGTAAGTTGTGCTGCAGTGGGGGACAAGCTCCATCTAAGTGCATCCCGAATTGGATCGCCAGGGGTCCAGGGCACGGATGAGGGAATCTCAGGCCGAAGAGCCAAACTGTACAGCACTCCAGGCCCCTCTTCTCTGGCCCATAGGGACTCTTCCCCAGCTCACATCCTCTTTCAAGTGTCTTTTCCCTGGCTGGAATGCGTCTTTGGACTCTAGCATTGTTTTCCTGCTTGCCTGGCTGAAAAAATCAGAGTGTGGGGGGGAGGTGAGGGGGTGTAGGAACTAGCATAGGCTAGTCCAACCCCCTGAAATGCAAGAATATGCCGCTGTCCCTTGTGGGGATTGAACCTGCAACCTTGGTGTTACCAGCACCACACACTAACCAACTGAACTATCCGGTCATGGCCGTTCCCGTGTCGTTTTTTAAGCTGTTGGAAGTGGACCAGTCAGTGGGAAAGTATCTAACTGAATGCTCGCACATCTTTTTCAGTGGTTCCCAGTTCAAAGCACTGGCATTTGTCTTTTTAAAACCTTATGCCAAGGAGTGGGGAACCTTCCGTCCTCCCAGATGTTGCTAAACTACAACTCCCCTCAGCCCCAAGAAGCATGGTCAGTGGCCCAGAGAGTGTAGTTCAGCAACATCTGGCAGGCTAAAGGTTCCCCACATTTGTCCTACACGACTTAGGGTCAGGGTACCAAAAGGAACACAGTGTCCCAGCTTGTCCATGTGAATGAAGGAGAAAACTCAAAAGCCGCATTTTCTCAAAGACTCCATTTTCTTGGTAGTTTTTATCTTAGCATAACTGTGTGAACTTGCACTAACCCTTCCCCGTGGGGAGGGGGGACTCAGTTTAAAGATAATAACCATAGCAACCAGTACTCTGGCGCCCTGGAGGAATGCAAGAACTCAGCTAGGCATTGCAGTTACATTTAATCTTAAACTATTGAATAAGGGTGGACTGAACAATGTAGACAGCTAATGAATGAAGATGTTGATGAATGCATGCTTACTAAAGAGTTATTCTTCATTGTTCTTAAGTTCAGTAATACATTATTAAAATGTGAAAGTTGGGGAGCGCGATTCAGAGGAGCGAAAAGATTGCCGATTGTCTTAGATTTGTTGAAATGGGTTATAACTGCTATAGAATGCATTCTTGTGACCAGACTTGTACAAGAGTGCTGCTTATTTGTACGCCGTTGCAGTTGTCTTCTCATTTTTCAGGAAACTGTCCCTGTGTCCGCTTGTAGCAACAAAGGCCTAGTTTTCACTTAAAGCCCGTGTTTGTTTGGCATTCTGTTGGGGACCCCCAGTCAGCAGACCTCTCTTTTTAAAACCTTTGTTTTGTGAACCTGAGTCTGAGATGCAGCAACCGGTTATGAGAGAGAGGGCCTTTTTAGTGGTGGCACCCCAGTTTCACAAATTCTATCCCCTGCCAAGCAGATTTGGGTTCCTTTCAGCACAGCTTGTACACAGCCCTCCCAAGTCTGCCAGTGCCGAATAATCTGCCATTCTCCGGAAGCTGTTCTAAGGTTGTGAAAGAAACCGATATTTTCATAGTTCCTATAAGAAATAATTATCCACAGACTGATCCCAGAGCGGCTTGTGAAGATCAGCAATGAGGCATGATAAGAAAATATAGCTCAGTAATAAGAAATGGGCTTTTTTTACTTTTAAAAAAATACTTTTATTTTTCTTTAAACAAATACAGTTAAATATAAACAACCAAAATTACAAAAGAAAAATCTTTAAGAATAATAATGGAAAAAGCTAAAAAAACTACAAAAAATAGCAAAGTACATGGCATAGAATATAAGCCATTATGGGGAAGAAAAAAGAAAAAGGAAAGGGGAGGGGGGAGAACAAGAGAAAAGAAAGGGAAAAAAGAGGAAAATGAGCCAAAACACAAGAAGGCTTGTCTATTGTACTCTTCCATCAAAGTCAGAACAGATCATTATTCTTATCAATTCTCTATCTGCATTCCATAGAATCTCTCATCTTGGTATCAGGGAACATTTCCCTATGCAGTATCATTCTAAACATAACCTGGTCTTTATTGATGAACCCTTATCCCCTAGATAATTATTTAAATGGGCTTCTGTCCCTAAAAGGGGAAGGGAGGGGGTTTGGAATGACCCAGTTTCCCGATGGAGGAGTGCCAAAGTGAACCTGGAGGATGTGCTCTGCCTGTGGTCAGTCCTGACGGCCTCTTGTTCTCTTCCTTCTGCCAGGACCGAGTGCTCATCAACCGCATTGACTTGGTATGTCAAGCCGTGCTCTCTGGGAAATGGCCAACAGCGCAGCAGGGCCAGGTGGGATCCTGCCTCATGCAGGGAGAAGGCCTCCCCCGCCTGCACGGGGAGTACACCAGCTCTCCCATCCCCCACATCTGCCCCCTGGCGTCGCAAGAAGAAGGGGCCGCCTCCTTCACCCGCCTCCGGCACAGTGGGCAAGAGAAGGAGTTTACCGTGCAGATCAAAGATGTGAGTGACAGCTGGGCTGACGGTGGCAGAGCAGCCAATGTCCATCCGCCTGATGTTCAGGCTGGTGACATACGCCAGGGAGATTTGCCTGTGATGACTTGCCATGCTAATACCGAATCTCCCCTGATCAGAGCCGAGGCTTTGGTCCGGAGATGGATGAAGCAATTTCACTTTTTTGCACTGAGGCACCTCCGTTGTACGGCCTTTTTTAAAAAAACAACAACTGTTGGTTAAGGATCAGTGGAATGAAAGAGAAGTGAAATATTGAAGTCAGATTTTTTTTAAAAATAAAATACAGTAAACAGATGCTTTGCCAGCCTAGTGCTCTCCAGATGTTGGTCTACGGCAGTGTTTCCCAAACTGGTCTCCAGCTGTTTTCGGACTACAATTCCCATCATCCTTGACCACTTGTCTTGCTAGCTAGGGATGATGGGAGTTGTAGTCCAACAACAGCTGGAGATGCACGTTTGGGAAACACTGGTCTACAATAACTCCCATTCTCCGTGACCTGGTGGGAGATGCTGTTCAGCAGCATCTGGGAGGGCACCAGGTTGGGGAAGCTCCTTTAGGGAAGCAGGCCTTGCTTTTGCCCTGGTCTCTGCCTTGGGCCTCAGACTATTTTGGCCTCGCTTTCCCACTTGAAAAAGGAGCCATTATCAGTCTCTTCCCAGGGGGTTTGCCAAGGGTGAAGATGTAGCCAAGCCCTCCTTTGCAGTCCAGATATGTCAAACGCAGGAGAGGTTTTCTTGGTTGATTTCACAACATACGAAACTGAAGTGGCCGGTTTTCTTCATACTTAATATTTTGGGGGAGGTGTGTCAATTCCCTCTGATCTAATGCTCAAAGGTACTCCATTTTAGGGAAGCATCAGTGGAGGAAGCGTCAGAGAAATAGCCTTGCTTTCTGTTGACGCTCAGTATAGATGGGAATTTCGAGTGGAGGGTGGAAGTACTTCCTGTAATCAAAGAATTAAAGAGTTGGAAGGGACCCTGGGGCTCATCTAGTCCATCCCCTGCAATGCAGGAATATACTGCTGTCTCATACAGGGATCCCAATTCTTACAAGGTTGCTTACAGGCTATGTTGAAACGCATTCGTAAGATTACAGTCGCAAAGTGTAAGAAGCATCAGGATCCTTCCCACAGTTGGCCAGGAGATAGGGATGGAGGAGACAGTTTTACTGCAGAGTGAGCTGTGAGGTTGTCTTTGCCTACCTCCCTTTTCATTAAAGCAGATTTAATCCCATACCTGGCCCCATCCTAAGTGCCGTCCTTGGGTCAAAAGCATTCCCCCATCCTTTTTTTATATATACATTTTTATTAATTTTTTAACATATTAATTCCTGTGTTCATACAACATAACTTCTCATCTTATACAATATTTTTGGACTTCCGTCAATGCCTCTGATGATTTCCCGTACTTTATCACTTATTATGCATTTCTTAATTTCATATTACCTTTAATTATCCTTAACTAATAATTCTCATTGTCTTCTTTGCAATATTTCAAATAATTCACCTTACCAAACTTCTTGCGAACCTACTAGCGTGATCTGTTCATCGCAATTACTTTTCAAATAGTCCGTAAATTTACTCCCGTCTTCTGAGAATCTCTGGTCCCGCAGGTTTCGAATCCTTCTTGTTAGTTTATCTAATTCTGCATAGTCCATCAGTTTCATCCTCCATTCAGCATTTCCCCATCCTTGGCCTAACCTCTCGTGCTGTCCCTAGGAAGAGGGAATCAAGCTGACCTTCCAGAAGCACAAGCTGGTCCCGAACGGCACTATGCGCGACCGCCCTGCTCTCACTCAAAAGAAGAGCAGCAAAAAGATGGTGGAGGTAAGAGATGGGAGCCTCCAGAGGACGGGGAGTGGAGGGAAATGTTTTGGTGGGGCACCCTCCCTTTTTCTTTCCCAACTTACCATCTCTCTCGGGTCTCAGCTGGAGCTGCAGTGTCTGGAGGCGCTGAGAGGCCCCGATATCGACCTCGAGGCCCGTATCCCAGTGGTGAACAAGACTGACGGGACACTTTTGGTGGGTGACGCAGCCCCCCGGCGAGCCGACCTTGAGGTGTGGCTGCAGGCCCACCCAGAGTACGCTGTCGACCCTCGCTTCTTGGCGGTGAGTGTTTGCAGACCCACCTCCTCCTCCTCTCCTGCTTCCGGGTTTTTCAGACCTTCATGTTCCCTGCCCCAGTGAACACTGGTAGGGCATCTGCCTTGCATACAGAAGTCACAGCTTCAGTCCCCATCATTTACAGGTAGAGATCTCCCCTGTCTTGAATTCCTGGGCAGCCGCTGCCAATTAGTATGGGTAGTACTGAACTGGAGGAACCCAGTGGTCCCTGGTCAAAGGCAGCTTCCTATGTTCCCATTTGTTCCACGCTCAGCATAGTTTTCTGTCCCCAAGAGTGGCATGGCAGTAGTAAGAAACAAAAAGGACCATTGATAAAAACAACAATGCATGCGAATTCAACAGCAGCGGGTATTTTGTATACATGGTAAAATCAAAAAGGATTTTCATCAATGAAAGAATGCTTTCATTCACAGTTCTTAAAAGCCGGGGGAAATTGTCTATCTGGTGCCCAAATGATAGTACTAAGAACTCCAGGAACATAGCAAGCTTCCGCCTTTTATCGAGTCCAGACCCCTGCTCCATCTCATTCAGCTTTGTCCACACTGACTGGCAAGAGCTCTCCAGGGCTTCAGACAGGAGTTTCTCCCAGCCAACCTGGGGATACTGAGGATTGAACCTGGCACCTTTTGCTTTGCAGCTGAACTATGGCCCTAGGTAGGGCTCCTTGGATGTTAAGCCTCTCAAACACCTTTTCATTCCAACTTCGGGTGCCAGGCCCCCAAGTCAACATTCGGCATGTCCATTTCTGGTTTCCTTGACTGGGATATTTACTCACTTATTACAGTTGTACCTTGGAAGCCAAACGGAATCCGTTCCGGAAGTCCGTTCGACTTCCCAAACGTTAGATAACCAAGGCGAGACTTCCGATTGGCTGCAGGAGCTTCCTGCACGCAATCGGAAGCCGCATCGGATGTTCGGCTTCCAAAGAACATTCGCAAACCAGAGCATTCACTTGCGGGTTTGTGGCGTTTGGGAGCCAAAACGTTCGACTCGCAAGGCATTTGGCTTCCAAGGTACGACTGTATTATCATTTATATCTTCTAATAATCTCAGGGTAGCACAAGTGGCTGTTCTCTCCTTTGCTCCCATTTATCCTCACGGTGACCTGAGATGTTAAGACTGTCCCGATGCTCATGGATTTGAACTCCTTGAGATTTCCCTGTTTGTGCTCTCTCTGCCTATGGATTATTGCTTCCCGTCAGCATATGGGATCCTAGTACAGATTACAATGCCCTCTTTCTGATAGCAATCTGTAGACGAGAGCCTGATTTTGTACAAAACAACCGAAACAAACCTTTTCTGGATCTCTAGGGTTCAGAGACACGTGGCCCACCCTTGCTCCACGGGACAGCGACTAACTCTTATCTCTTTTTTCCTCTCGCCAGTACATGGAGGAGCGGCGGAAGCACAGGTGGCCTCGCTTTCCCAAGCCTGTTCCGATAGAGCCGGCCTGCCTGATGGGTCTGGAGCGGATGCAGGCAGCCAGCATCTCTGCTAACGGCAAGAAGGTGATTAAACCACAGGTGTTCCCTCTTGCTCTTTGCAGTGGCCCAGTCAGCTTCTCGAGCCAAGCAAAACAAGTTGCTGATTTGCGAAGCTTTCAGCATATGCAGTGCAATTGCAACTTGGGCGTGCTTACACGGCTGAAATCACACAAATGCACAGAAGGCGGCGAGCTTAAAAGCACTTTTTGCGCAGGCGTGGAAGTAGCTTTTAATCTCTCCACCTCGCTTAACAGAGATACTCTGGGATACTTGCCGGGCAATGCCCGCTCAGCACAGAACTCAGGAAGGCAAGGTTGCTTATACAGTGGTGCCTCGCAAGACGAAATTAATTCGTTCCGCGAGTTTTGTCCTCTTGCAATTTTTTTCGTCTTGCGAAGCACGGTGTTGGGAAAGTTTTGGAAAAGCTTCAAAAATCACCAAAGTCTTTAAAAACCTCAAAAAAAAGGCTACCACACCGCGTTCTATGAGTTGCTCCTCGAAGTCAAGTCGCAACTGTATTAACGGTGTTAAGAAAAAGGAAACAAACTTGCAAGACGTTTCCGTCTTGCCAAGCAAGCCCATAGGGAAAATCGTCTTGCGAAGCAGCTCAAAAAACCCTTTCGTCTAGCGAGTTTTTCGTCTTGCGAGGCATTCATCTTGCGGGGCACCACTGTATAGGTGTGAGTATACGCAGTTTTGTGTATATGTGCTACCCCCAGAACCTGACCCTCATGCAAGACACTCATGCTGCGCTTACAAGAGCCAAAAACAAATGTGTATGGGTGCATTAAACTTCTTTCTATATTATTTATGCATGCATGCAGTTTTTGATCACATTTGATTAGATTTGTTTTCATACATTCATCCTCTCCTCTCTGACTATTCATGGACTTCCCATCCTATCTTGGCATCCTATCTTACCCTCTTTGGTTTGCTACAACTCCTTGGAATTCCCCCTCTTTCCCCCTCTATTCTTAACTCTGTTTTGTTTGCTGGTGCTCATAAATCAATCCCTGCTTGTAGATTTATATTTATACCACTCCGTTTTAAATACCTTTCTAGTTGTTCCCACTCACTTATCACTGTCTTTCTGTATTTCTTTGGCCATCATAATGGCAAGTTCAGCATACTCTATTAATTTAAACAACCACTGGTTTCTTTATTGCATTATCTGGAATTTCCTGTCCTATTATATCTAGCAAAAAAGGCTTCTGGTTTCTTTCTATAGCCGTTCGGTAATAATGTGAGGCCAACATATAGTCCAAACAGATAACGATTGACCTCTTGAAACACTGGTCACTTAAAATTGAGCTTCTCTATACTCTCTGTTTTGAGTCTTGATTTTATTTGCTGTTAAAAATGGCAGCTGAAAAAACTCATGCCCTTCACAGTTTTCCTTTATGCTTTTTTTAAAAAATAAAAATAAATACCAGTATGAGGAAGTTTTGCATTCTCCCTGGTGATCTGTATAGAGACATGCCCTACAAATGGCACGCGTGAAGACAGTTTGAGGCAGGCAATAAAGATGGAAGGGAAGGGAATAGCCTACTAGATTTTGCTTCATCCAAGTGTTAGAATCATAGAACTGTGGAGTTGGAAGGGATGCAAAGGGCCCCCTAGTTCCACCCCCTGCAACGCAATGTTGTATTTTCTTTCTCCCTAGAGCTTCCTGCCTGATCCCACCATGAACCGCCTCCTTCCCGGACCAGTTGGGGCCGAGAGTGCCCAGAAGCGGGGCCGCCAGACCCCCATGGAGTTTTCCAACATGATGGCTCTGATGGGTGCCGGGCGGGTCCAGCTGGGCGCCGCGGGGCCCCTCTCCTTGCACCATGCCCACTTCCAGGCCAGCACGGCCCACGGCTCTCCCTTACAGTACATGCCCTTTTCGACTGCCGCTGCTGCCGCCTCAGCCTCCGCCGCCTCGTCCTCCGCTGCCGCAGCCCTGCTCCACCCTGGCCTGGGCCACCCCGGCTACGCCACGGGTGCCTTGCACCTAGGCCACCCACAGGCCGTGGACGAGGACGACGAGGAAGACGAGATGGACGACTTGTCTCAGGGCTACGCCAGCTCGGAGCGGGACTTCTCCTTGCTCGACGACGACCCCATGATGCCGGCCAACTCCGATTCCAGCGAGGAGGGCGATGAGGAGGGCGACGACTGAGCATTTTTCGCGCCCGCAAATGGGCAGGACGCAAAACAGGGTCCAGTTGGCTGGGACTTAGCTGTCTCCTCATTGTTGAATTTGACAGGCCCAGGGACAGGCCAGTTGGGTTCTCCCTCGTTCCGACACACATGTGGCTTGCAGGAAGGGCAAAAAGCAAAGAGGTTCCTTCCAGCCCGGGAAGGCCCGGTTAGGCAACCGCTCTCTTTGCGTGGCTTACTGTTTTTCTTTTTTTAACAAAATATGGCTGTTGGTTTGGTTGGTAAGCCCTGCCGGCATTTGGTATCCATTGTGAAACTGTTCTTGTGAGCTGCAGTCTTGATCTGCCTGGGCAGAAGGACCACAGCGGGGGCCCTGTCTAGTCGAGATGATCTGGGTATAGTTAGCAGCTCCTCTTATCCCCTTGCCCCACTCCCCTTTTGGCTCTCCCCCCACAGCCTGTTCCATTTCTCTCCTGCCCTTCCCTCTCTCCCTGCCCCTCCCCCTCCCCCCACCCCAGGTTCATGTGCTGTAACATAAATGCGAAAAGAGGGTGGGGCCTCCCCCTTTCCTCCGTCCCCCTGTCTCCATGTGGGTGGGGTTTATATTTATAAATATGTAATATGTCTTGTGTAATATGGCCGAGGCTGTGGGGTTGAACTTGTGGGGGAGTCAAGTCACGGAGGGTGGGTTTTTGGGGGGTGGGGTGGCAAGGGGCTGTGGGGGGAAGAGAAGGTAGAGCTTCCTGTAGCTGGATTTCTCCTTTTTTTCTTTCATTTTTTAATAAAAGGAACAAAATGCACACACACACACGGGAGAGAAAAAACCAATTCCACCCCCCATCCTACTCCTCCATGCTGTTGTATCAATTGCATAAAAATCTTCCTGAGAATTGGGACGTGCATCTGTGTTGTCTGGTGTGTGTTTCTCTCTCTCTTCATCCTTGCAAATAAAGAGTCATGCAAAGTCCAAGTAAAGCAGGCATGTCCAAAGTCCGTTTTGGGGGCCTATTCCGGCCCGCCAGTCGGTTTAATCCGACCTCTGTAGCAGTTTATTTCCTGGGGTAAAATCCCACCAAAAAATCTCTACAACTTCAATCCTTAAAAAAGAAAAGGTCAACAACTTTGGTTGGCCCTTTGGTCAGCCCACACGGCCCTTCATTTCATCAAACCTGGCCCTCTTTGAAAAAAGTTTGGACACCACTGAAGTAAAGACTTAGGATCTAGACAGCGCCCCCGCTTCCTAAGAGATAGTACAGTGGTACCTCAGGTTAAGAACCTAATTCGTTCTGGAGGTCTGTTCTTAACCTGAAACTGTTCTTAACCTGAGGTACCACTTTAGCTAATGGGGCCTCCTGCTGCTGCCACACAATTTCTGTTCTCATCCTGAAGCAAAGTTCTTAACCCGAGGTACTATTTCTGGGTTAGTGGAGTCTGTAACCTGAAGCGCCTGTAACCCGAGGTACCACTGTATATCTGTTTGGGACAACTCATACCTGTTTTAGTAGCAGAACTCATGCTTTGCACACGAAAGGTCCCAATTTCAGTCAAAGGCTCGGAGAAGGAAGATCCACTTTCAAACCCAGGGAAAGTGGTGCCAGGCAGTATACAATACAGAGCTAGACTGTCCAGCAGTCTGATTTGGTGTAAGTTAGCCTCCTGTGTTGTAACAACCTTTTTTTAATTATTATTTCGTACCCTCAAACTCTCCCTACCAATTTTTTGGCATACTTTCCAGGCAATAATGTCCACTGTGTCCTTCAGCACATGTGCCTAGGAGCATACTTCACAGTGCCCTGTTTTTGCTCTGATCCTGAAATGCCTACCCTCCATCAGAAGGGCCACAGCTCAGCAGAGGAGCATCTGCTTTGTGTGTAGAATGTCCCAGGTTCAATTGCCTACATTTCCAACTGGGGTTGGCAGAGATGTCTGCTGGGAACCTTGAAGACCCATTGCCAGCCAGTGTCAACAATATCGAGTTTGATGGGCCAGTGGTCTGACTCAGTATGACTTCCTGTGTTTCAATAGATGGATTGTAGCTCTCCCACTGAGAATTGGAATTATAAAGGTGAGGGGGGCCCTGAGGGTCATCTAGTTCAACCCCCTGCAATTCAAGAACATGCAGCTGTCCCATACGGCGATCGAACCTGCAGCCGTGGTGTTAGCAGCAGCATACTCTAAGCAACTGAGCTATCCAGGCTGCTTCTCCCTTTAGAAAACAAACAAGCTGCAAGGATGATTTCTCAGCCAAGCAATTTTCCCATGCTGCCTCTTTTTTGCAAGTTACTGTAAGGCCCTGTGGCATCAGGCCAAAGCACCTTGTTCTCACAGTGGCCAAGCAGTTGCCTATAGGAGCACAATGGCATTCTCGGCTCTTGTGATTCTCTGCAGCTGGCATTCAGAGGCACGCTGCCTCTTGACAGCTGTGGTGAAACACAGCTATTGTGGGCAAAAGTGTGAGTCTTCCATAGATTTATCTGATCCTCTTCGAAACTTTAGCTGTCAAATATGATGGTTTGTTTGGAACAATGGCTTGGATTCAAAACAGAATATTTATCCATCCCTCCTTTTGCTGGCTACCTGCACCAGTTCAGGCATAAAGCACCTTGAAAGAAGGGACCCTGAGCCAAAACGTGTGATCAGCTATTTGAGCCCAGGATCTCGCATGCAGAGTCCAAATATTATGGCTTATAGTTGTTGCTCATTACTGGTTCAATCCCTGGCATCTCCATGTAGGGCTGGGGGAAAGACCCCCATCTGAAATTGTGGAGAGAAACTGACAGTCGCTATAGGCAGTGGTGGAGAACCGCCTTACTAGGGCAGCTAGCTTTGAGCTTAACACTTCCCCCCCCCCCAGCCCTGATCTGCCTTTAGGAGCTAGCATAACACTTCTACCGGAATGAGCTAGACCCTAGTGGTGCTTCAAAGTTCAAGCAGCAAATACATTGGTGATTTCGTTTGGTTAAAAATGAGGTGCCGGCATTCATCGCTTGATAAAAGAGCTGTGGGTGCCAGAACACAACAGGTACCGTGGACTAAAAATAAAAATTATGGCACTTTGTACAATTGTACACTTTGTACACACACTAAGCACTGGCTTTTAACGGACAAAGGAGTGTTATAAGAATTCTAAGGTCTCAAATATAGAATAAATATTCATAAATGCACACAGATCTAAATATATAAATCACGTGTCTGAAATAGTACAGGAGAGCAATCCTCAAGCCATTTTGACTCTCCCAATGACCCCAAATATTCCTCTGCAGTAAGGGAGGCAATGGGGAAAGCCTTCCCATTGTCTTTTCACTTACAAATCCTGTTTTAACGGCATATTTGTGTATGAATAGGGTGAGCCTGTGACCTGGATTCAGGAACTAAAGTATTAACCACAAAAGAATGGCCAGGTGATGCAATCAGCGACCATTTTTAGGTATCCTAGCAGACAGGATTTCTGCTGTAGACCAGCTTCCTATGATAGATGGATGATTTTGGGCTGTTCTTTGGCTAAGGGGGTTGGACAATGTCCAAAATCTTTAAAGGTTCCTGCACACTTTCGTTCATGGTCTCTCCCTCCTTGGATGGAGGGGAGGGAACTCTGAGGCAACAGAAAAATATCTGCCTTGTTTTCCACTGGATCCTGCCTCCATCCATTCTTCTCTGACCGATCACGGACTTAAGGGACTCAAGGGTCCCATGAGGAATTGGGCAGCAAAAGCCAAACCCCCAGTTTTTACATCAGGAGCATTATTATTGCCTTGGGTGTGCTTGTAGCCAATTTTTATCTAGGCTAGGAGCCTAATCATCTGCCAAAACCAGACCACAGCCTCCTTTTTTCTTTCACTACACATGCTTACTGAGATGGAACATGGCAAGCTTTTCGTCAAGCGGCCATATGCTCTTGTGCATAGACTTCATTTTATTTCTGTTTTGTCATACTTGCTCTTATTTTGAGGGCAAATTTTGTTTTGAAGAACTCTGCTGTGGGTGTCTTGACCATCAGCTCTGTCAACTGCAGCCAACAGCTTGAGCTTTTCCTGGGCTAGTGCTGGCAGCTTTTTGGACACCATTGACAGAATTTTCATGAAGAGAAGTTATAGGCTAAAGTTTTCCAGTGGTAGAAACTTTGGCCCAGATTTCATTTGGGTACCATTGGTATTGGCAGAGATGGTTTAGCAGGATATCTAGCAGTTCCTGCAAAGCAGGTTTGGAGAAATGGCTGGCCTTCTCCATCAGTCCCAAGTAGCCTGGTCAAATGATGGGAGCTGTAATTCAGCAACAGCTGGAAGGTCAGAAGTTCCCTACACCTGATGTAAAGTGAGCAATGAGTCTCTCCCCACCACCCAATCTACCTCTTCTGCCCTACTTTACTCAGATGTTTGCTTCTTCCTTTACATTTGCAGATCAAAACAAAACATCAGTATTTTAAGACAATCTCGTAGCCAAACGATTAAGAGGTGGTAGAAGTTTATAAAATTTGTGCATGCCATGTTGAAAGTGGATAGAGACCTTTTTCTCCCTCATATAATACTAGAACTTGACATTCGATGACACTAAATGTTGGAAGATTCAACACGGGCAAAAGAAAGGACATCGCTGCGCATAGAAACTATAGAACTCACTTCCACAGAAGGCAGTGATGGCCACCAATTTGCACAGCTTTAAAAGAAGGCTAGATGAATTCACGGAGGAGAGGGCTACGCTCTGTGTTAAGTTGTGGGTGAACCTATCAGGCGACACAGCGATTCTTCAGACAGCTCTTATTTATTCACAGGCCAGAACAGAACTGGGCTGAAGCCAACCTACTTATATAGAGCTCAACTACAAGGCAACAGTAACAACTTTCTGTAACTATCCATTCACTGAACGTCACTTTCAATTCCTTATTTGCATATGTGGACCTGAGTGAAAACTATCTACAGTATCCCCCTGCTGGCCCAGGGTGAGAACTTCAGTACATAACAATGGGCCTTTCCCCTTTCATGCTTTTAGCTACTTTTTTAAAATAAAAAAAATCAAGATCTCTGTGGCATCATTCCACAATGCACCTGTAGGTAGCAAGGAAGGTTGGGGAAGTCATATCGAGCTCGGAAGTTAAAGCAGATGTGTCACTTTACATCCTTATCTCTAAGGGATCGAGAGGAGCAACGTAGGCGGGGCTTGGGAAAGGCTGACGCGACCGCCGCTACTAAGATAGAGGGGCGGAGGGAGGGAGCGAGCAGCTCCCTTGGTCACGTGCCCGGTTGGCGCCGGAGGGCGCGAAATCTGCGAAGAACGCAGCCAGAGCTCCCTGAGTCGAGGCAGGCGGGCCCTGCTCACGTGACGGCGTAAAGACTCGCGCGCTTCTTTGAGGCAGGCGCGCGACGTTGGGTGGGGGGGCGGGGCTGAAGCGAGGCGCATGCGCGGCTGCCCCACTTTAAAGTGTGTGGGGGAGGAGCGGGGAGGAAACCCTGTGACGGAGCAATTAGGTCAACATTGCTGCTGTTACATAGTTTATAGATATAATTTATTTAATTTTTATTTTTTTTTAAATGCAAAGCTATTATTAGGTGTAAAACCAATATTGCTCATATTTAGATATGAGCACACAGGTTTTATTTACGACGCCCTCTGTTGTTGTTTTTTAATAAATAAATAAACAATAAACATAAATAAATATTAACATTAAACGATACGATAAATAAGCAACAACAGGAAGTTGCGTCCTGGGTCAAAGGTCCGCGGGAGGGAAGGGTCCGCGGGGGTTGGCCGAGGGAAGCGTTCACTTCCGGGGTCGGGGAGGTCGCGGCGGCGGCGGCGGGGCGCGAGCGTGCGAGGAGGCGCGAGAGGAGGCGGGGCTTGCGGAGGGCGCGGAGGAGCCGCTTCCATGGCGCTGAGTCTGGACCGCGAGGCCTACTACCGCCGCGTCAAGCGCCTCTACAGCAACTGGCAGGTGAGGGCAGAGGGAGAGAGCGAGGGGGGCGGGAGGCTGGGCCGACTGAGGGACCCCCTTCTTCTCCCCACCACCACATATCTCGGGTGGGGTGGGGGGGATGAAAGGGGGACCGGACCCTCCCCTTGTGCCCCATGGACGCCAAGGAAGCAGGAGGGATGGATTCCTATCTTGCACGCGCTTTTAAGCTGAATAAATAAATAAATAAATAAAGGCGCCGGTATTCCACCTTTGCAAAAGTTCCAAGGTGCCCGGTAAAGAAAGGGGGCGGGGAGCGAGAAAAAGCTTAAAAATACATATTTGCATTTCCGTTGCCTTCCTTGCCCCGCTTCTTTGGCATCTCATGGTGTGTCCCCCTCCCTCCTTTCCCCTCTACGGTTTGTCAAATGCCATTTCTCTTTAATATTCTCTCACGAGTGGCTCCCCTCCCACCCCCGGTTTGGTCAGGGATAGTGCTCAGAAACGTTGCTTTTGTCCAAATGTGGCTGCTGTCTTTAACTGAGGGAGTGATTTGCCTAGAGACACTAGTAGTGTCTATCTTACTAATAATCCTCTCAATGTTGCCATAAAACCATTTTTTTTTTAAAAAAAAGTCCACTTCCTTCTGCTCTGTTGTCACATTTTTGCATTTCTTTTGCAGTCTCCCCTCTCTGTCATGTTAACATATCCAGTAATTCCAATTTGTTTGTACATAATGTAAGATTTCTTGTTCTGCATTGTAAAAGCAGCTTTCATTGTAACGGATAATCCTGTATAGCAGGAGGAGTGGAAACTTGTAGCCATCCAAATGTTGGTTCCTAGATCAGCCTCAACTAGTATGGCCAATCATCAAGGATGATGACAGTTGTTGTCCAACAGCATCTGAAGGGTTGCCACTTCCCCATCCCAATGTATGGCTTTAGTTGAATGTGCAATGATCTTCCTCAGATTTACGTGCTTGGCAAACCAAATAAAAAAGTTAGAAAGGGGGCAGCTGTCCAAAGGGAGAAAAAACTGGCAATCCCATCTGTCATTGCACCAAATATACAGTGACTATGTGCATTTTTGGCTTTAGGCGGCATTTCCTGATCATAACTACCCCCCTGTGCATGTGTGTAATGTGAGGGCTTACTATACACGTTTTGCTACTTTTCCAATATGCCATTCTATTGCTGCGTTGCCTGTTAACTCACCATGTGATTGTGTCCTTGTATATGACCGTGCAGATTGCAGCTGTTGTTTTGCTCATCGCCTTCTGCTATCCTGATTGTGAGTGTGGTTGGGCAGTGCATGTTAATGGGCCGCTAATCAGCATTAAGCGACTCCATTGAAAATACATTAGTTGCAGGAGGTAGCAGTGTGCGTATTTTCTATCTAGCTCCATGTGACTAGCATGTAACTTGCAAATCGTTTTTGTAACACTGGCAGAAGATACCAAGCTAGTGTTGGAGAATCTCTTGCAGCTGTTCTGGACAAAAATGCAAGAGTGCCCAGGGTGGAGATGCTGCATTTTGACGCAGAATTTGCAACGATAACAGTGTTGAATTTCTTCCTATCCCCCAGTTCCTGTTATTTTACCACTCTCACCATCCTAAAATGAAAAGTAGGATTCGTTGCTTCCAGGACATAGAAATGCCAAACGGGTCCATGTGGGTCAATTTATAGAGTCCCCGGAAGAGCACTTCTAGGCTGTTTTGGAGAAATTGCCTGTGCAGCAGGTGAAACCCAATCACAGCGATTGGAAGCTTCACAGGAGAAACACCTTGCAAGCTATCATGTAGGACACAGGTAGCCAAAATTTATGAGCCAGATTTCCTAGTATCCTCACTATTTGTATGCTGTCTTTCCCAAAAATTGTGCCCAAAGTTGCTTAGCAAGAAGAACAGCAGTACACATCAAGATCAATCATCACAAGAACAATTTCATAGTAACAGGAATAATAAAACAATAGCATAATATCAAATGTAACAACAGTATGGTGCCGGGGCTGTTCTAGAAAGGGGCAGCAAAATATAAGATTGCCCTCCCAACCTGCCATTGGGGCAACTCAGAAAAGTTGGTAGCAATAATCAATACTGGGGCCAAGGCAGGGGTTAGTTAATAATCATAGGATACATTTGGGGAGAAAGCAGGAACTTTTGGAGGAAAGGCAATAAGCAGCAGATCAAACAGTGGACGTGGCTTTCAGCTGTACAAAATTCTTTATATGTAGCTCTTATGTGTAGTTTGTTGGACTGGCCAAATTTGGTATGATGCCAAATTACAGAGAGTGATGGAATCTTTCCAGCTTAAGGGAGAAAGTCTTGACAGAGAGCACTATTCCTGCTTGCCTGTTGACGTGGAATTCTTTTATGAGCTGGGAGTAGTTGGACATTCCAGCTTTAGATTGCAGATTGTTCCCAGGGATGTTGATCCAAAATACTAGTGGCAAGCTTCTCCATTCACTTCCTGTCTTCACCTCCCTCCTGGATGCTGTGTTGTATCTTGGTAGTGGGATTTCTCCTGCATTTGATAATACTCTCTGTCTTTTTGAGACAGCGTGCCTAGCTGTTGAAAGCTTTCCTTTTGGTGCTGGGACAAGGAAATTTGGTTCACGGTGCATTTCTTTACCTTTCTCAGAAGAACATTGAGGACCCAAACAGCAAAATGGTGTTACCCCTTATAACAACCCTCCTCAGCCTGGTTCCCTCCAGATGTTTGGAGGTTAGGCTCCCATTATCCTTGACCATTGAGCATGATGACTGAGGGTGATTGGAGTTGCTGTCTTAAGCATCTGGAGAGCAACAGGTTAGGGAATATTGTGTTATAATTCAATATGTAGTTATCATTGGTTCTCCCATTTCTCATGTGCATGCTCTTGCTTATGTGGCCAAAAAGAACTACCCACACACAAGTCTGAGGCTTGTGCTGGCTTGGGCAGCCCTAATGGTTTTCAGAAGTACGAAAAGTGGGAGCAGGGGTAGGAGGAGGGGACAAGAATGGCTGGAATCCTGAATGACAGCACTCAATACTACAATACTTTGTTGCAGGTCCCATTCTCCGAGTTCAGGCTGTAGTCCTTCAGGAAGTGTTCTACAGTGGTGCCTCGCAAGACGAAATTAATTCGTTCCGCGAGTTTTGTCGCCTTGCGATTTTTTTCGTCTTGCGAAGCACGGTGTCGGGAAAGTTTTGGAAAAGCTTCAAAAATCACCAAAGTCTTTAAAAACCTCAAAAGGCTACCACACCGCGTTCTATGAGTTGCTCCTCGAAGTCAAGTCGCAACTGTATTAACGGTGTTAAGAAAAGGAACCAAACTTGCAAGACGTTTCCGTCTTGCGAAGCAAGCCCATAGGGAAAATCGTCTTGCGAAGCAGCTCAAAAAACAAAAAACCCTTTCGTCTAGTGAGTTTTTTGTCTTGCGAGGCATTCGTCTTGCGAGGTACCACTGTACTGTGATAAGGCATATGCTTTATTTGGTGTAGCTTCTTTAAGAGATTCACATACGTAATGAAATGACAAAAGCAGAATTACTGGTGACATTTTCCTCAGAGTAGCTGTGGGGATAGAAAAGGCTGTGCCGAAGAAGTAATGGTGTTTGGTGACTGTTGGGGGAAGGATCTAGGGAAATAACAAGGTGCTAAAGCTGGAAACTGCTCCATTGTCAGAAGACAATGGTCAGCTGTTTCCCATTTTTCTGTCCTGTTTCTTCTTAGGAATTGTAATCTACTACTGTTGTTGGGAGGAGATCAGATCCTTCTCATGTGACAACAGCTGAGAGGCGAAATTCACTTGGGCTGGGTTTAGTACAAATTCGTATGCACAGCACTATATGAGGCTTTGTTCTCTTGCAGAAAGGAGAAGACGAATATGCCACCATTGATGCTATTGTGGTCTCAGTTGGAGTAGATGAAGAGATTGTCTATGCCAAGTCCACTGCCTTGCAGGTGAGCGGGGGTGAGGCGTGCTCCTGCCTCAAAGTGACGTAACTATTAGGCAGAAAAGAAAAGAGTATCTTTGCTCCTCTTGGAATCCCCTTTCCCTTGCAGACATGGCTGTTTGGCTACGAACTCACCGACACGATCATGGTTTTCTGCGAGGACAAGATCCTCTTCATGGCCAGCAAGAAGAAAGTGGAGTTTCTCAAGCAGATTGCAAACAGCAAGAGCAACGAAAGCACCAACGGGGTGCCGGCTATCACATTGCTTGTGCGGGAGAAGGTGAGTGGGCCTCTGTTTAGCCCTGTCCAGAGTTGCAGGTGATATGGAAGGAGAGAGCTTTGGGGCTGAAACGTGTAGAAACTGCTAACACTCCCCCCTGTTTCCTCTTTGTTCTCCCGACTCCAGAATGAAAGCAACAAGGGGAACTTTGACAAGATGATAGAAGCCCTAAAGGGCAGCAAGAATGGCAAACGCATTGGGATCTTTAGCAAGGACAAGTTCCCCGGGGACTTCATGAACAGCTGGAATGATGCTCTCAGCAAGGAAGGCTTTGAGAAGGTGAGGAGCACCAGCTCCGGCGTGTGGGTTTAGGAAGGTGGGTTGAATGCTGCTCTTGCTGAACCTCCTCTGACCTGGTGCAGGTGGACATCAGTGCGGTGGTGGCCTACACGATTGCCGTCAAAGAGGACGGGGAGCTCGCCCTGATGCGCAAAGCAGCCGCCATCACTTCAGAGGTCTTCACCAAGTTCTTGAAGGAGCGTGTCATGGAGATAGTAGATGCTGATGAGGTGAGGAAGGAGTCTGTCCGTGAGTTTGAAATCTTAGCTTGGATATAAGGATAATGCTCTCTAGGCTGGCATTACATAGAGGCCCTGAGTAAAGTGGGGCAGGTGGGCTATTTTACCTAGGCTGGGGATGAGAAACCTGTTGGGAATCCAGAGGTTGTGAACTCCTCAGTTCGCATCAATTCCACCCAGCATGGTCAGGGTGATGGGAGGTGTAGTCCAATAACGACTGAAGGGCCACAGGGCCACCACCTCTGACTTTGGCCCATCTTCTCTCTTGGATCAGTGGGTTTTCACAAGCAGTTTGGCCTCTGGCTGCCAGGCCTATTTGCTGCTTCCTCCTACTGCATACTGGGCATTTTGACACCAGCACATTCTCCCTGTCTCTCCTGGTCCATTTAAGATGGGACTCATTCCTAGGATAGCCATGCTGCCTTGGGAGAAGAGAGAGGGTTGAGGTATACAGGCTGTGTATGCATGCTCTCTTTTTGTCTTAATGGTCAGTGGAAATACATCTTTAAGAGTCAGAGAAGAGAAATCCACTAGAGAAACCACATTGCTGTAGTGCCCTAGGCGCATGCCCCTCTTCAGCAAAAGAATTGGGAAATCTGGAGTGTTGGTCTTGTGATGGCTTTGTATGTGTGTCAACCCTCTGGGATTATAATTCTCCTTTAGGCACTTGAGCCCCTACCCCCCCCCCCCAAAAAAAATCCTCAAGTCTCTACTGACCTCTGAATCCTCTCTGTCCTCCGGCAGAAAGTGCGGCACAGCAAGTTGGCAGAGTCTGTAGAGAAGGCCATCGAGGAGAAAAAATACCTGTCCGGAGCTGATCCCTCCACTGTGGAAATGTGCTACCCTCCCATTATCCAGAGTGGAGGAAATTACAACCTCAAGTTTAGCGTTGTCAGGTAGGCAAATCTCCATGGGTGTAGTGCAAACTGTTTTCAGATCGCCAAGGAAAAATGTTTCCCGGTTTGTAATCCATGCACTTCCTGAATGAGCGGGCACTCTTAGTTGGTTAGCAATGGTTTGATTTTATTGTACTGGTTTCCATTCAAATGCAGCTTACTTAGGATTGTATCCTAAAACCTCTGGTCATGCAGCCTCCTTTCCTTTGGCATTTTTATGATAATGTATATTAAGAAACAGGACAGTAGAGAATGCTGAAACTTAATAGATTCCAGTTTGCCACTCTTCTATATCTCTTTCAGTACATTTTTATCCCATCATCCTCCAGGAAGCTCAGAGCAGCATATGTGGATCTTTTTTCCTAATTAAATAAAGGATGAGATTTGTTGGAGGCAAAAGTTCTGCATGGGAGTGCCAATTGTTTGTGTTTGAAGCTGCCTGTGTGTGGCTTGCCAGTTGGCCTCTCCATATAGCTATCTGCTCTTTGTCCCCAGTGAGAAGGGCTACATGCATTTTGGTACCGTCACTTGTGCCATGGGCATCCGCTACAAATCCTACTGCTCCAACCTGGTACGCACGCTCATGGTTGACCCGCCCCAGGACACCCAGGACAACTACACCTTCCTGCTGCAGTTGCAGGAGGAGATGCTCAAAGAACTGCGGCATGGTGAGTGGCAGAAATGGGGTGCTTGGGCGTGAAGGGATGCGGGTGGCACTGTGGTCTAAACCACTGAGCCTCTTGGGCTTGCCGATAAGAAGGTCGGTGCTTCGAATCCCCGAGAAGGAGTGAGCTCCTGTTGCTCTGTCCCAGCTTGTGCATGTCAGTTTAAAAGCATGTCAGTGCAAGTAGATAAACCGGTACCGCTGCAGCGGGAAGGTAAAAGTAAACGGTGTTTCCATGTGCTCTGGTTTCCATCACTGTGTTCCATTGTGCCAGAAGCGGTTTAGTCATGCTGGCCACATGAACCAAAAGCTGTCTGTGGACAAACGCTGGCTCCCTCGGCCTGAAAGCGAGATGAGCGCCACAACCCCATAGTTGCCTTTGACTAGACTTAACCATCCAGGGGTCCTTTACCTTTTTACTGTTTGGGAGTGATGGTTGGAGTAGGCTGGGGCAGGGCAGGGGGCAAAACCTGTTGAAGCATTTATTTTTCAAGTAGGACCCAGCTTGCTCTTTCCCTCCTTAACTTCCTCCTCCCTCTCTGCTTATCCTAGGTGTAAAGCTGTGTGAGGTCTACGCTGCTGTCATGGATATGGTGAAGAAGCAAAAGCCAGAGCTCTTGAGCAAAATCACCAAGAACTTGGGGTAAAAAAAGGCTCTCCGTTGGAACAGAGGCATCCTTCCTGCCAGTTTACAGGCTCATGAGTGGTTTGGTTGGAGGGTTCAGTGTTTTCCCTGCTCTTCTTTCCCAGGTTTGCCATGGGCATCGAGTTCAGAGAGAGTTCGCTCGTGATCAATAGCAAAAACCAGTATCGGCTCAAAAAAGGTGAGAACGTCCCTCCTCCCGACTTAAAAAGAAAGGATTGTAGAGCAGGAACACAGCGGCAAGGATGTCCTGCTTAATTAGTTCATTCGTATATATACCACCCAAAGTTCATTTACGTTTTGGAAGTGAGTAGCTCAGTTCTGCTCGTGAAAAGATTTGCGGAGGCTCGCTCTCCTCTGAAGCTGTGTTCTGTCTGATGCAGGAATGGTTTTCAGCCTCAACGTAGGGTTCTCAGACCTCACCAACAAAGAAGGAAAGAAGCCGGAGGAGAAAACGTACGCATTGTTCATCGGGGACACGGTGCTGGTGGAAGAGGTACGAGGGGCACAAAGAAGGATGGGGAGGTGGGAAGAATGTGAGTCATGGTGGAGAGACCACAGTGGACAAGAGGGAGCAAGACCTTCAGAAAGTGTGACGTCTCATCCAGGGAGAAGACGCCTCCTACATTCAGTTCTGTTTCTGCCTTTGAAAAGAAGGCTTTGTCTCTTCAGTGCTCTCAGTAAGCCTGCACTGTGAGAGCATTATCAGCAACCCCACCCAACCCCCTTTCTGTTCATTCTTCTCCCAGACTTTGCTCTTTGCCAGTTCCCTGCACTCTTACTTAGCTGAGAAAGGAAGTTGCATAGGGGTTGGGCACACCTTTCTCAGCTACAAACAAAGAGTCCATGGAGTCCTACCAGACGTACATAGCTTGGGACATCCCGTTTCATTTGCCCCCTGTTCATTCCCAGAGTTCCAGCTGACTTGCTCTGTTTCTCCTTGCACTCTGCGCCCCATCTGCAGGTGACCAATATTTAGATTCTAAGCCCTCCCTCACCTAAACATCCAGGATGGGAGTACACCTCCCTCACCTAAACATCCAGGATGGCGGGGAGCTCTATGCTCACATCGTCTGTGATGATACTGTTGTTGTTCCTCCTCCAGGATGGTCCAGCTACTCTCCTGACTTCTGTCAAGAAGAAGGTCAAGAATGTCAGTATTTTGCTCAAGGTAAGTCCAGGGGCAAGTCTTAGGCACTTGACGTGTGCTTTTCTCTGTGGTATGGTCAGGAAAAAGCATGATACTTTTGAAAAACTTGTGATGAGAGCAGGAGCAGAGTTGTTACCTATTGGTATTTTGAAGTCCTGATAAGTTCTCTTAAGCTTCTAACCCTCATTGTTGAGGACGTGGTTTTGTTTTGAGCATGAAAATAACATGTAGGCAATTTAGAACAAAAAGAGGCGTCCAGTGTTGTAATTTCTTCTTGTTTTTAACTGCTAAATAAAACATTTTGAAGGAAATTTATGAACAAGGATATTGTGGATTAAGTTTGGGAACGAAAGCCTAGCTTGAGGAAGGCAAAACAAGTGTATGTGTTTATGTGGGTATAGTTTCTAAGTTCTGCTTTTTTATTTTAGAAAGAGGATGAAGAGGAGGAGGAGGAAGAAGACGATACGGAGGGAATACTGCTTGGCCGTGGTTCCAGGGCAGCTCTGCTGCCAGAAAGAACTCGGGTATAGAAGGCTTGAGTGGACGGGTGGGGAGTGGGGTTAAGTATTCAAGGGCTGAGAAAAGGTCTTCAGGGTGCCTTAAGGAGGGAAGCTGCCTGTGTTCAGCTTGAAGAGGGGGGTGTCTGGCAAATGGTATGTGGGCAAATAATAGACTTGCTGTCTTCCTTCCTCCGGTCCAGAATGAACTGACAGCTGAGGAGAAGCGTCGGGCACACCAGAAGGAGCTGGCTGCCCAGCTAAACGAAGAAGCCCGGAGGAGGCTGACGGAACAAAAGGGGGAGCAGCAGATCCAGAAGTGAGTAGAAGCGATGCGGGCTTCTGTTGCTTGTAAAGTGGCTACCTTCTGGCAAGGTCAGGAGTAGCTGCCTAAAAGCCCCCGCTGCTTGGGTCAGGTTTCTTCACCTTTCTGGTCCCTTGCAGGGCTCGTAAGTCGAACGTCTCCTACAAAAACCCGTCTCTGATGCCAAAGGAGCCTCACATCCGGGAGATGAAGATCTACATTGACAAGAAGTACGAGACGGTCATCATGCCTGTCTTTGGCATCGCCACCCCTTTCCACATTGCCACCATCAAGGTACGGCAGCTGCAGCAACTGGGGGCCTCGATGCCTGCTGCATCTTGGGATAAATGCCGGTCGCCAGCTCAGCAGTTGAGTTGGGTGACGAAATGGCTTTGAAATGGGGATTAGCAGCCAACAGAACCTTCCCCAAAGAAAATGCACTGGCACTCTTCTCAAAGTTGTCGTCGCAACTCTGATTTGTGTGTAGAAAAGGCGCTCGGGGCAGGGACAGGAGTGGGCTTTGCATGACGGGGGTATATATATATATATATATATATATATGTGAAAGGTGATTCTCAAATCAATAAACAATTAAACCCCCTCCCCTTCTTTACAGAACATCAGTATGTCAGTGGAGGGCGACTACACCTACCTGAGAATCAACTTCTACTGCCCGGGAAGTGCTTTGGGTCGCAACGAAGGCAACATCTTCCCCAACCCGGAAGCCACCTTTGTTAAAGAAATGTGAGTCGCTCTTGCATAGTCTGCACCAACTGCAGGGTCTGGTCAAGAAGCCTCATTGCCCTGCGAGCCCCACACCTCTTTATGAGTCACCTCTTGCATTTTTGCGGGGCTTGTGATTTGGTGTCTGTACGTCTTGCTCTGCAGATTCATCGCTGTGAGTCTTGGGAGCATGCCCAGTGGCTTATCCCATTCATGTAATGGAGGTCAATGACCTTCCTTTTCCTTTAGCTTTGCCTGATGAGCATGCTGCATTTCAGCTGTCAGAGCGCCTGATTTGCCTACACAAGGTCCTAGGCTCGATCCTGGTATATCTAGGTAGGGTCTGAAACGGCTGCTTGTCAGTGGGCTAGGTGGGCCTGTGGTCTGATTCTGTATAAGGCTGCCTCCTAAGCCGCATCTAAAAGGCCTCAGTAGAGTTTTGTATTATTCAGTCATTCTTTCTGCCCTTCCAGTAGCAGGTTCTGGGTGAGTCTTCTCAAAGCTCCCCCTCTATCCAAAAGGAACTGGGCCTGCGTGTTGTAGCCACACAACCCTGCTCTTCTTCCCCCTCCCAGAACATATCGGGCATCCAATATAAAAACACCTGGGGAGCAGATGGTGCCAGCTCTCAACCTCCAGAACGCCTTCCGCATCATCAAGGAGGTTCAGAAGCGCTACAAAACCCGTGAGGCTGAGGAGAAGGAGAAGGAGGTGAGGCACAGAGGAGCTTCCTTGCACACCTTTCCGAAGAATTGCTGAGAAACTGCAGTGATGGAAAGGACCCCTTGGGTTGGGGAGATGGCTCTTGGGGAGGGCGAGGGTGGAGTTGGTGGAGCTCTGTGGGAATTCCGCCCTGACATGGCTGTTTGTTTTCTGTTTCCCCAGGGAATTGTCAAGCAAGACTCTCTAGTGATCAACCTAAACCGCAGCAATCCCAAGCTGAAGGACCTTTACATCCGCCCCAACATCGCTCAGAAAAGGATGCAGGGGTCTCTGGAGGCCCACGTAAATGGTACAGAAGTCTGTGGGATGCCTAGAACTGCCTTTGGGAGGCAGACAAGTGTTCATACCCTTGAGGCCAGGAGGAGTTCATTGAGAGGACCTCTTTTGTAAGGGATTTTGGCCAAACTCTCACAAATGATCCCATACCTAGGTTCATTCCAGCTCTACCCATCGGCTTCTTTCGCATCCTCTTGTGCTGGGGGTGGGCAGGCGGTAATTAGCACCCACCATGCCAGCAACTCCGGCCCAACCATCAGCTGGGAGCAGGCGGCTTCCTTCTCTGACACGCCTTCTTTGCAGGTTTCCGCTTCACCTCGGTGCGTGGGGACAAAGTGGACATTCTGTACAACAACATCAAGCATGCCGTGTTTCAGCCCTGCGATGGGGAGATGATCATTGTGCTACACTTTCACCTCAAGGTACCTATCCAGCTTAAAAGGGACGCGGGTGGTGCTGTGGTCTAAACCACAGAGCCTCTTGGGCTCACCGATCAGAAGGTTGGCGGTTTGAATCCCTGTGACGGGGTGAGCTCCCGTTGCTCTGTCCCAGCTCATGCCAACCTAACAGTTCGAAAGCACGCCACTGCAAGTAGATAAATAGGCACTGCTGCAGCGGGAAGGTAAACAGTGTTTCTGTCTCGGTGTTCCGTTGCACCAGAAGTGGTTTAGTCATGCTGGCCACATGACCCAGAAAGCTGTCTGTGGACAAACGCCGGCTCCCTTGGCCTGAAAGCAAGATGAGTGCCGCAACCCCATAGTCGCCTTTGACTGGACCTAACCGTCCAGGGGTCCTTTACCTTTACCTGCTATCCAGCTTAAGTTAGGAGGACTTAAGAGGCGTTATTATACCAGGCTGTTGTGGATCATCCCCCATCAATGTCTTACTCGAAGCAAAGGTGCAGGTCTCCTTCCTTGCTCCTAGAATTTGGATTCGCTGCAGAATTGCTTTCCCCCAGAAAACCTGTGTCCTTGTAAAAAGAAGCTTAGAAATAAGCTTGTAGTAGGTGTCGCTTGCTTTGATGAAGTCATAGCTAATTAAAACTTCTGTTATTTGGGATGGGGGTGTAAGAAGGAAGAGAGAAGAGCGACTGCTTTTGACATAGCTCAGTCGGTAGAGCACGAGACTCTCAGGGTCATGGATTCAAGCCCTGTGTTGGACAAAAAAATCCTGCATTGCAGGGGGTTGGACTTAGATGACCCTTGTGGTCCCTTTCAACTCTGCAATTCTTTAATTTTCTGATTTTTAAAATTCTTCCTCCCAAGCCAGTATAAGCATAATAAAGTGTGAAAAATAACTGCCCCAGAAGTGCAAACTTATCCCTTATGCTGGCTTTAGCTTTTAATTGATGCAAAACCTATGTGGCCCTTGCAACAGCATTCCGCTTATTCGCTGGTGGCGCGCACAAATGTGCCAGCCCTGCTTAACTCCGTTCTCTCTCCCTGCACCCTAGAATGCCATCATGTTTGGCAAGAAGCGCCACACCGATGTGCAGTTTTATACGGAGGTGGGCGAGATCACCACCGACCTGGGCAAGCACCAGCACATGCACGACCGCGACGACCTCTATGCCGAGCAGGTGAGAGAGGGGGCTGCTTGTGGCCCTGTTCCGGGGAAGGGGGGAGCAGGGGCGGAAATCAGATCCCGGCAGAGCTAACTCTGGGCTGCGTGGCCGATCCCGATTGATCCTGTTTGGCACAGATGGAGCGTGAGATGAGACACAAGCTGAAAACGGCATTCAAGAATTTCATTGAGAAGGTGGAGTCTCTGACCAAGGAGGAACTGGAATTTGAGGTGCCCTTCCGGGAGCTGGGGTAAGGACCCCTGTGACAGGGCAACTTCTGTTTTGCAGGACAATAAAACACGTATAGTTTGAGCCGAACTTCCAGGATTCTTCTGAGTAGGAGAGGGGATGGCTGGGGATCAGGGGACGAATTGCACGAGGAGAAAATACACAGGGGGCAAGGAATTGTGCCATTAGAATATCCAGCTTACGTAAATGGACTATAGAGTGCATACATACACACAGTCTATTTCCACCCTACCTTTTGCCTCAGGGAACCAGGAAAGCACTATGGCTAGGAATAGGATCTAGTGGTGGCGAGGAGGAAATGCACCACATTTGTGAATTTTCCTAACTTCTAAATCAGGCAGCAGAAGCTGCTGGGGGCATATTTTGTCCCTGAGGAACTCCACGCCCTCATATTCTGACTTCGCAGACACTCAAGGCCTTACTTGAACGGGCGGCTTGGTTGCAAACGTTGAGATAATTGGCTGTTTCTCCTGCACTAGCTGCTTCACACTCTTCTTCTCTCTCTCCCCCAATCCCCAATTCGTCACGGCAGGTTCAACGGCGCCCCCTACAGAAGCACCTGCCTGCTCCAACCAACCAGCAGCGCCCTGGTGAATTGCACTGAGTGGGTGAGTGTGAGCTTGTGTTTGACTGGGGAGAGCACAAGTTGAACACCTGGCGGAGGAATATCCTCAGCTTTCTCTCGACCACAGAGTCCTTTTAAACTGAAAACTCTTAATTACCAGAAATTGGCATGATTTTGACCCTCTTGCATGAGACTGAAACGGATCTAGGAAATCAAAATGGTTTCAGGCTCAGCTGTTTTTCATTTTTGTTGTCCAGGCATTTGGGTAGTACCTGTGACTGGGTGTTTGTATTCTGACTTTTTAAAAACAGGCTTAGATATCTTTATCATTTTAACTTTGGTTGTAAGTCACTTTGGGGCTTTTCATAGTCGGAAGCAATATATAAATGTAATAAACTTATGAAGAAACCATGAGCCTTAAGATTGGTCTTCGTTGGAGGGTATGTTGGCCTACTAACGAAAGTCTGGCAAGGAGATCCCTCTTTTACGCAGACATTATTTTGTGCTCTCAGTACAGTGGTACCTCTAGCTGCACACACCTCTGGATACATATCCTTCAGGCTACGCATGCGGCAAACCCGGAAGTAATGGAAAGGTTTCCGCTGCGCGCGCATGCGCAAAACAGGCGCCTCTGGATGTGAATGTTTCTGGGTAAGAACGGACCCCCGGAATTAAATTTGTATCCAGAGGTACCACTGTAGTGATATTTGCTTACTGTTCTTCATGGTCTGTTGAGATCAGAACAGCACTGGAGGTTCAAGAACAGAAATTTAAGGTGGTTGTGGATTGAGCTGCCTCACCCCAGCCTAAACATTAGGAAGAACTTCCTGACAGTAAGAGCTGTTTGACAGTGGAATTTGCTGCCAAGGAGTGTGGTGGAGTCTCCTTCTTTGGAGGTCTTTAAGCAGAGGCTTGACAACCATATGTCAGGAGTGCTCTGATGGTGTTTCCTGCTTGGCAGGGGGTTGGACTCGATGGCCCTTGTGGTCTCTTCCAACTCTATGATTCTATGATTCAGCCCATTTCTGTCCCTCTGAATTATTTGGAGATTTTAGACAGCTAATACTTCCTCTCTGTTCTGCCTCCAGCCTCCATTTGTGGTGACACTGGATGAGGTGGAGCTGATACATTTTGAGCGTGTGCAGTTCCACCTGAAGAACTTTGACATGGTCATCGTCTACAAAGACTACAGCAAAAAGGTCACAATGATCAACGCTATTCCTGTGGCTTCACTCGACCCCATCAAGGAGTGGCTCAAGTGAGTGGCCCGGGGGTAGGGTTAGGGGTTGGGAATGTTCTTGGATCACCCTGCTGGCAGCATTCCTGTGTTAGGTTATTGCTGGAAGGCCCCTCGGAATTGCCTTCTGCTCCCTCCTGTCTCATCACACCCCCAAAAAGTGCTCGAAAGAGACAGTGCTAGCAGCTGCAGATTAGAATATGTCCATTTTTTACCTCTGCAAAAGTAGTTGGGTCAGGAGTCCTCTCTGAAGACTGCATTGCCTCTTCAAGCAATGCAGAATGGAACTGCAGCTATCCTCTCCCCCTCCCTCCCCACTTGCCATAAGTGAAAAGCTATGGGAGAATATTTACTCCACCCTCATATGAACTAGTTTTGGAAGCAGGTTAGTAGCTACAGGAGTGAGTTAGTGCTATTTTGAAAGGTGGATGTGAGCCCACCTTTCTGTTGACTCTGTGCATTCATCTCTTCCCTCCCTCTCCACCCACATCAGCTCTTGTGACATTAAGTACACAGAAGGAGTACAATCCCTTAACTGGACCAAAATCATGAAAACTATTGTGGACGACCCAGAAGGCTTCTTTGAGCAAGGGGGCTGGTCATTCCTCGAGCCCGAAGGAGAGGTATGTTGGGGCAGCCAGAAAACAGGGAACAAGACCTCACCTTTAGCTGTTAGGTTGTTACCTTTTCTCGAAAGGTTGAGTGGGTTTGTACGGGAGTTGGGGATTTTTGGGAATCCTGCTCAGAAGCTGGTGCAACAGGAAACGGGTGTCGGGATAAAGAATCCTGCATTAGCCCAACTTTTGCATCCCCACAAAAAACAAAAGCAACCCTAATGCAGGGGAAGGACCATAGCTCCATGGTAGAACATCTGCTGTTCAGGTAGAAGGTCCCTGTTTTGATCCCTGGAATCTCCAGGTAGGGCTGAAACACCTCTGATACCTGGGAGACCCACAGCCGGTCAGGGTGGACAGTGCTAAGTTGGATGGACCAACAAACTTGACTTCATATTCCTATCCAGAACTTTCTGTTAGCGGAATGGAACTCATGGGATTCCAGCAACATTGTTAAGACTCTTCTTCCTTCTCCCGCAGGGAAGTGATGCTGAGGCCGGGGAGTCGGAATCTGAGATCGAGGATGAGACCTTCAACCCTTCTGAGGAAGAGTATGAAGATGAGGAGGAGGACAGCGATGAGGACTATTCTTCTGAGGCAGAGGACTCTGGTGAGGGGAAACAGCCAGCCACAGGCCCAATGAGAGCTGCCCTCGCTTCCCCTTGGGTCTTGGTTTTTCAGCACACCCAGTACACACACACACAAGCACCCTGTACTCAGGATGTTCCTGGGCTGCTTTCCTCCAGCACTTCGACTCCCTACCTGTGTGTGGATGCACATTTCACTGTTCCTCTTGCTCTTTAAACACGTTCTGCTCAAGCACCCATATCCAGTAACCTTTTCTGCACAGCCAGTTTTCCTGAGCCACATTGTGTGGGCCATCCTTCCTTTCCAAGGGAAGTCATTCATCTTTGCTTTCTTTATTTTTATAAAAGCAGTAGCATCACCATTTCCTTTTAAAACCTTGGGCTCTGTGCCCTGCCTTGCCTGCCTCCCTTTCCCTGCATTGTTCATGGTGTTGTAGCATAACAAAAGCTTCACGTTATTGCTCAGAAAGTTGACGCAGGGCGTGAAAACATTTTGATCAGTGATGTGCTGAAACAGGGGCACCGACTGCAGATCCAGCTTAAGAAATCTCATGGGAGAGCTATTTAGTGCTTCCCTTGTGAAATGTCTTGAAATAGTAGCTCTGTTCTTTGACTCTTATGCAACACGCGCCAACACAAAGTCTTTGGAAACTCATAGAACCGGAGGTGTTTTAAGGCTGCAAACCTAACCGCAGGTACACAGAGCCAATCCTATTGATCCCAGTGAGTCTTACATCTGAGTAAACAGGCATCCTACTATACTGTAAATTAGTCGAACACTCATGCCTGACCTGGTACCCAAAGTCCCCGTTGATCTTTAAGTGGGCGCTAAGTGACGCTAACTTGGTCTGCTTGCATCCTATTATCACTGGAGAACCTGAAATCAAAGACAGAGCCTGGCAAAACCTGGGGGACTGCAGGTTGCTCCTTTATCAGGGTCTCCATCGTCACCCCACTTCCTCCTTGGTTGCATGGCAACTAATTCTGAGCCTCTCCCACTTTCAGCAGATTACTCCAAGGAGTCCATGGGCAGCGAGGAGGAGAGCGGGAAAGATTGGGACGAGCTGGAGGAAGAAGCACGGAAAGGTGAGAGAACCGTTGCCCAGCCCAACTTGGTGCAGAGGCGGGCAGCTTCTGGGCTCACTGCTTTGAGCGTTTGTAAGGCCGTTTGCAGCAGCAACAATGGGTCCCAGGGTAGGACCTGGAGGCGCATGAGGGCTGCTTCCTTGGTTCTGGCCAATGTCTGAATGGCTGCCTGCTTGAGAGGAGTATGTATGCCACCTTTGGTTCCACAAAGGAAGAAAAAAAGGCAGGATATGTCCCCAGTTTGTGGGGAATCTGCCACAAGGGAGGCTGCTGTTGCACCCAGGACCTGAATGCAGGCTTCTCGCCAGCACCTGCTTGACCACTGCGACAGCAGGACGCTGATATGGAATGGGCCTTTGACCTGATACGGCAAGGCTCTTCTTAAGTTCTAAAAAATACTTTGGGGAGCTGTATCAGGGATTGGAAGCCAGTGCTTCTCTAGATGTGTTGAACTCCCACAGCCACGATGGCCAATGTTCAGGGCTGATGAGAGTTGTAGTAGGACTGTAAGGGTGTAGTCCTCTAAAGGTCCAACTGCGCTGGCTGCCAGTTAGTTTCTGGGCCCAATTCACAATGCTTGTTTTGACCTATAAACACCTCAGAAATGCTTCTCTCCATATGAACCAACCCTGACCCCGAGATCATCCCCTGAAGCCCTTCTTCATGCGCCTCCGTCATGAAAGGTCCAGAGGATGGCAACACAAGAACAGGCCTTTTCTGCAACAGCTCCCCATTTGTGGAATGTTCTCCCTGGACAGATTCGCCTGCCACCTTCGCTATATACCTTTAGGTGCCTGGTGAAAACGTTCCTCTTTAACCATACCTTTGGCTGATTGACATCCGATGCCCTTTTAAATGTGTTGTGTGGGTTATTGGCTTGTTGCTTTTACTGTGCATTTTGTGATTCATTAATATGTTGTGATCTGCAGATGAAGGGCAGCATACAGATTCAATAAATTAGTAAAGGTGCTTAGCCTCGCACAGCAAGTATCTCATAATATATGTGCCCAGCTGTGAGAAATAGCCATGAGTTGACTACAGGAATGTAGGTATCTTCTTTTCCCACCACCACCAAGTCCTGTCCTTTGTGTCTCTCTGCAGCTGACCGCGAGAGCCGATATGAGGAGGAAGAGGAGCGAAGCCGCACCATCAGCCGGAAGAGGAAGGTCCCGTCATCGTCGTCCCAGAGTTCGAGGCACCACCGCAGCTCCCACAGTCGCAGCCCCGGCCGAAGCTCGGGCCCCTCCAAGAAGAAGAGGAAGTAAACCGCGAGCCCTTCCCACCCGCCAATCTTTAGGGGGTTTGGGCTTTCAAGGCCTCATCCAGCAGCCAACGTTTAGGGCACGAGGGGCGGCCAGCCAGCCCCTCCCCACAAACTTCTCCCCTCTTTCCCTCACGCACCCTCACCCCTTTTTTCTGTTTCTCTGGGGAGTATTTTGCTTTTGTTCCTTGAGTCTCTCTTTTTTCTCTCTGACCATTTGTACGGACCAATCAGCTGCGAGAGAATGCCAGGCCCTGCGGTTACGTCAACCACAAACGCAAACTCTGCTAAGGAGGAAAGGGGGGGGGGGAGGCTCAGGAATCTGGTGTCCGTGATCTGCTGTTCCCACCTACCCTTTTCTGTCACCTAACCTTGGCCTCTCCATTCCCGCTTACATCTCTTCCCCGACTCTCGGTGTCTTTGTTCTCGGACGGATTGGGGGCAGGGAGGCGCAGGTTGCCCTGAGATCTACTCCAGAACCAGAGCATGTACTTCAGCAAAATGAACTGTGCAACTTTTTGTGGTATTTTGTGCTGGGGCAAGGGTGGTTGCGTTCCATGTTTTTGAAGCAGACCCCCCCGGGTGGTAGAGGAATCCCACCTTGGAACAGTGACACAGAAGAGGGCAAGAGTTTTTGAACAGGTGGGAGACCAGGGGAACGCAACTGAATGACAAGGGTTCTTGCTTTCTCTTCTCTTTTTTAAAAAAGACAAACACGTCAGGCACTGTCTGTATTTATCTGTTTCCTTGGCTGCAGAGTCTGGTCTCCAGTGAGCAAGTGTTTTAGGGACAAGGGGTAGGGGGTTGAATGCTTTGTCTGCCCTCTGCCTCCCTTCTCTCCTGTGGGGAAGGGAGGGAGTCAATGATCCACCCATGGGAGGGCAGGGAAAGGCTTTTTCAAAATTCCTTTCTCCCCAACCCCCTCCATCCCGTAGCAGTTAGCACTCTCGGTATTTTTGACTTTGGAAAAAAACTGATCAATAAAAATGTTTTTTTAAGTATTTGGAAAGTTTATTTGTTGGCTTCGTCCTTGTCTTCTGTCAAACGCCCCAAAGCATCTTTTCGGTCATGGAATCCTGTTAAGTTTCTGTAGTCTTCACCCGTTCAGCTTATCATTCCTCACTGCTCTTCCTTTTGCCTGCCCAGTAAATGGCTCTCAGGGCAGAAGCTGCTTCCATGGACACTTTCAGCTTCCCAATGTTGGCATCGGGATCAAAAGGACTGATAACTAGAATGACAAGGTTAAAATAGTTTTTTTTGTGCAAGAGATGTGGAACCAAGTCTGTTATTACTGAAGAAAGCACGAGAATCTCAGTCTTCATTTACAAGGACTAGGATTCTAGCACCCACTCCTATTATGGGTGCATGAGGGAACCTGCAAATGCTGGTGAATTTGAATTTTATTATTACGGTCACAGACCTGTTCCGGCTCACTTACAATATCAGGAAAATCATAAAACACAACAGGAATACATTGAATTGCAATTGGGTATAACAGAGATAATACAGATATAGCGGCAGTTAAAAATATACAGTGATACCTCGGGTTACAGACGCTTCAGGTTACAGACTCCGCTAACCCAGAAATAGTACCTTGGGTAAAGAACTTTGCTTCAGGAGGAGAACAGAAATCGTGCTCTGGCAGTGCGGCAGCAGCGGGAGGCCCCATTAGCTAAAGTGGTGCTTCAGGTTAAGAACAGTTTTAGGTTAAGAACGGACCTCTGGAACGAATTAAGTACTTAACCCGAGGTACCACTGTATATTAAATCTTGATCACTTTAAATTGTCGTTTAAAACCTTAATAATTTTGGTAGAACAGCTTGTTCCCTAAGTTTTATGGCAGTCGCACAGAATTTGGCCACCCTTAGCGTGATCTCTAGATCCTTGTCCTCTACCAGGAGTTTTAGACATTGAAGTTCGGACCCATTTGGAGATTTGCAAATGCTGGTTTTTAAATATTGCACAATCCACTGTCGATAAAATGCAGCAACCAAAGGAGATTGTCATTACAGCTATTAGGGCTGGTTTGAAATGGTGGGTCCAGAACAAGTGGCATAGCAAGCTGGCATAGCTGTAGACCAGCCTTCCCCAAACCTGGTGCCCTCCAGATGTCGGGATGCAACTCCCAGCATCCGTGGCTAGTGCTGATGGGAGTTGTAGTCAGACATCACTTGGAAGGGCTCTGAAGGCTACTTCTGACACGGCTTCAGTTTTGTCACGAGTCGCCAGCTTCTTACCGTCAAGTTCTCGCTCCAGCAAATCGCTACCTGTCAGAAGAATCTCCCGCAAGTCCAAGTAGGCAAAGCCGACGTCTTCGCATTCTCCTCCGGTCCCTGGCAGTGGTTCGCTCACCACTGCAAATTGCAGCCTATGTCAAGGAAGAGGGCTCCATGAATACAGGCACTGGGATCATTCATTCTTTTTTCGCCTGGGGTTTCAGGGGAAGGGAAACACGATACTCACCAATTATGCTGGGGCTCCTCTGCCTCCAGCATAGAAAAGAGCAGCTGCCTCTGAAGGCTCTCTGGGTCTGGGTCCACTTTGATCACTGCAGTAGAATATTCAAGAAGACATTTACTGGAGCCGCTGCTGCTCTCTGTGATACAGCACTTGGCATGTTGAGTGCAAGGAGACAGATAAAAGCAGACGCGTTCGACAAAAACCATGCTGTCGATACTAAAATACACCTTCTCCAGAACGAGAGGTCCACAGTGGAATTAGTCCTTTGCTATAAAGGACCACTGACCATTAGGTCCAGTCGTGGCCGACTCTGGGGTTGCGGCGCTCATCTCGCTTTCTTGGCCGAGGGAGACGGCATACAGCTTCCGGGTCATGTGGCCAGCATGACTAAGCCGCTTCTGGAGAACCAGAGCAGCGCACGGAAACGCCATTTACCTTCCCGCCAGAGCGGTACCTATTTATCTACTTGCACTTTGATGTGCTTTCAAACTGCTAGGTTGGCAGGAGCAGGGACCGAGCAATGGGACCTCACCCCATTGCGGGGATTCGAACCGCCGACCTTCTGATTGGCAAGTCCTAGGCTCTGTGGCTTAAAATTCTTCATCCTGTGGTCTCAATCCTGCCTTATGCCTGGAAAACAGGCCTTGTGGAACATGGGTTCCTCAAACTGGTCCAGGGGGAGAAATTTAGGAGGGCGGCCAGTGGCTTATAACACATTCTAGCTGACTCTTGCCCCATCCCCGTAAGTTGTGCAATGGTGTAACCATCTGCAAGAATGGAAATGAAGATTGGAGATGCTGGCCTTTGAATCTGGGGAGGCAGCTTAGAGTGGTTTTGTTGGTGAGACCTGGCATGGGATAATGGCTGCATCTGGGGTGGGCTGGGAGGCGAGTTCTAAAACGGCCACAGAAAAGTAGCCTTCTGCAGGTCTCTTTTGCAGTCTAACACACCTCACGGGGTCATTTTTACGGTGGGATAAAATTGGGTAGGTTTTGGTGGTGGAAGGGAATTGTGCACCCCACTCTTGGGAGTAAGGGTAGTGCATAAATTCAGATGCACACTAGATGGTGCTATTGAGCATTGTATCCGAAAGCAGTAGAGGGAACTAGGTTCTGATATAAACAGGTGGTAGGACCTAGAGAAGGATTGGGCAGCTGAATTTCATGTGGTGGGGGTGGGAGAAGAAATGGGGGCTGCTGTGCGTTGTGAACCCCCCTAAGATCTATGGGTATAGGGTGGAATACAAATTTAATAATAATAATGTGGCCCCCAAGAGTTCATCTAGGATGGAGTGTGGCCCTCAATGGTCTTTTGTAAAATGTTCCACGCTACTAGATGAGTGTTTCCCAAACTTGGGTCTACAGCTGTGTTTGGACTACAATCCCCATCTTCCCTGACCACTGGTCCTGCTGGCTAGGGATGATGGGAGTTGTAGTCCAAAAACAGCTGGAGGCCCAGGTTTGGGAAACACTGGTATAGACCCTTTCTCTGCCCGAGGGCAACATCCACTCCTGGGCGGGGCTACATACAAAAGTGGGTGGAGCAAGAGGTGTGATTTTTTTTTTTTACATTTGCTACAGGAGTTGCACACTTCTCTCTCAACTCCAGCCCGGCAGATAAGAAGCCTGGGAGTTCAAGGGCATATTCCAGCCAGGCAAAAATACTCAAGGAGAATTGCGAAGTCAGAGGCAGCAAGGGGTGTGGCTTGGAGGGGGGGTTTACATTTGGCCCCCAGGCTTGAAATTCCTCACCCTGGCCTAGAGGCATGTAAGTTTGGCAATATAGCAGGAAGCCTTGTAGACCATACCAACTCTTACAAGTTTATGGGTTTCCTTCTGCATCAAGGGAACCAGACACACGCCTCCTCACCTTTGCTGAAGTGGAAGTAGATTTCCTGGTTTCCTTGGGGCTTCCGCAAAGAGAAGGGGGTCTCGGTTTCCTCCAGCAGCAGGCCAGGGAAGCGATACTCCACGTACAGCTGCTGGATGTTCTCATCAGCAATGGGTGGGCTGTCTGGGTGGAGGCTCAGGGAGATGACCTCCACGCGGATCCTGTCTGAAGGCTGCCGGGTAAGTTGGGAGAGGAATAGGAATGAAATAAAACCTTTGCAAAAACCTTTGCTTACCAAGAGGCAAATCAGTTGAGTAGAATGATGCTCACTGAGAAGAGAGAGATGGGGAACTGGATCAGGAAGGCGGGTGGGTCAGATCCATATCTTTACATCCACATGGCTATGTTTATCAGATGTGTGACTCCACCTACCTATCACCCGATGTCAAAATGCAATCGTTCCCGCACTGTAATTAAGGTGTAAAAAATGTATTATCTATTGGCGAAATAAGACTTCTGTCATGCCTCATTCCAGCAGTTGGCATGAGACCCTGTGGGGCCCAGGGACGACCCCCTTGGCACATCATGACCCATGTACTACATACAGCATTGAATAGGTAAAGGGACCCCTGACCATTAGGTCCAGTCGTGGCCGACTCTGGGGTTGCGGCGCTCATCTCGCTTTCTTGGCTGAGGGAGCCAGCATGACTAAGCCACTTCTGGTGAACCAGAGCAGCGCATGGAAATGCCGTTTACCTTCCCGCCGGAGCAGTACCTATTTATCTACTTGCACTTTGACATGTTTTCGAACTGCTAGGTTGGCAGGAGCAGGGATCGAGCAACGGGAGCTCACCCCATTGCGGGGATTCGAACCACTGACCTTCTGATCGGCAAGTCCTAGGGTCTGTGGTTTAACCCACAGCGCCATGTACTACATACAGCATTGAATAAGCCCACCACAAATTGTATTTGGTCAATGTTTTCAACACGCGCCCTACTAGCTTAGAAAATGCAGTACCCACCGGTCCCAGAGACTCCTGGAGCCCGGAAGATTGCACCACCACTTCATCGCTCTCTGTGGTCTGGGCTTCACTGGAAGTATCTGGTCTCTCTGAGGCTAGAGGCAAGATTCAAGAGACAGCTACGTAAGAGACAGCCTCCTTATTTATTCCCCACTCCTGTTACAATCTCACTGCCCTGCTATGTGGCAAAACGAGACCTAGTCCAGGAAAGCTTATGCCACAACTGATCTTAGACTTGGTTCTAATATTTACAAGGTGTGACTGGAAACTTCAGTTGAATGGTCACAGAAATCAGACAGCGAGAAATATTCTAACATACATGCCTTGCAGGCCTTCAAAGTAGGCCCCCTCTGATACAAGGCACTGTTGACAATATTCAGAGAACTGTTGGAAACTTCTGAAGAAGTCCTCTTTTCGGACTGCTTTCAGTTCCCTCGTCACAGCAGCTTGGACGTGTGAAATGTTGGAAAATCTATGCCCTTTCAGTGCAGATTTCAGTTTTGGAAAAAGAAAGAAATCCGGTGGGGCCAGATTGGGACAATATTTCACACGGAATATGCAATTCTTCCACCATCATTCAGACAGACAAACGGCGATTCCACATCAATAACTCACAAACTCTGCCGACATTTGCTGCCATTCTCGACGGTCTGCCAGATTGAGGGCCATCACTGACGGTTTGCTACCCTTCGCAGAAACACTTAAACCAGTCATACATTGTCTGTCAAGTTGCAGCTTCATCTCCGTACACAACTGTGAGCATTTTGTGGGTTACCAGTGCCGATTGTATGTTCCAATATTTCTTGCTGTCTGATTTCTGTGACCATTCACTGAACTTTCTGGTCGCACCTCGTATTTTGTTTCATTGCTCCAGGGGCAACAGTAGCCTGACATCACCGATAACAGAAAGAGCCAATGTTGCATCTTCCAGCTGTTACTAGACTCCATCTCCCATCATCCCTGACCATTGGCCATGCTGGCTGGGGCTGATGGGAGTTGGAGTCCAGCAGCAAGTGGAGAGCTACTGATTGTAAGCTTTCCGTGAAAGTACCATTGTCACTCAGCATGGCTGCTTCAGCCGGTGGGCTTGATTTCCCTTCCGATTCCTGGCGACTTGCGGTTGTCATCTCTTCTTCCGCTGCCGCCGCCTTGTGCTCCTCTTCCTCTCGTACTCCTTCCAGGGCCACCTGCGCAGACACAAGCCCCACCGAGGTCAGGGTCTGGGAAGAGCACAGCAACCGGGCTTCTCCTCTGACTTCTAACAGAAACACTGGTGTTAAATAAGCAAGTATACAAATCTGCTTTCATATGGAGGGTCTGAACATTCTCCATAATTTAGCTTCTTCTAAATGTGGAAGTGTGTATGAGACCTTATGGATTGCAAGGGCAAGGAACTTGTTCTCTTGCACTTTAAGCACCATGCACATCAAAAAACTATAAAAACAACAAAGCTATACACGTGACCATCAGCAAAGGGAAGGGGGATTGATTTTTAAAACCACTCTGGGCATTGTAGTGCCCCAAGAGGAAGAGGGGAAGGGCAGTGCCAAAGAATGCTCCAACTACTGCACAATTGCGCTCATTTCACACGCTAGCAAGGTTATACTTAAAATTCTACAAGGCAGGTTTAAGCAGTATGTGGACCGAGAACTCCCAGAAGTGCAAGCTGGATTTAGAAGAGGCAGAGGAACCAGAGACCAAATTGCAGACATGCACTGGATTATGGAAAAAGCTGGAGAGTTCCAGAAAAACATCTACTTCTGTTTCATTGACTACGCAAAAGCCTTTGATTGTGTCGACCACAGCAAACTATGGCAAGTTCTTAAAGAAATGGGAGTGCCTGATCATCTCATCTGTATCCTGAGAAATCTCTATGTGGGACAAGAAGCTACAGTTAGAACTGGATATGGAACAACTAATTGGTTCGAAAAGAGTACGACAAGGCTGTACATTGTCTCCCTGTTTATTTAACTTATATGCAGAATTCATCATACAAAAGGCTGGACTGGATGAATCCCAAGCCGGAATTAAGATTGCTGGAAGAAATATCAACAACCTCAGATATGCAGATGACACAACTTTGATGGCAGAAAGTGAGAAGGAATTAAAGAACCTCTTAATGAGGGTGAAAGAGGAGAGCGCAAAATATGGTCTGAAGCTCAACATCAAAAAAACCAAGATCATGGCCACTGGTCCCATCACCTCCTGGTAAATAGAAGGGGAAGAAATGGAGGCAGTGAGAGATTTTACTTTCTTGGGCTCCATGATCACTGCAGATGGTGACAGCAGTCACAAAATTAAACGACACCTGCCTCTTGGGAGAAAAGTGATGACAAACCTGGACAGCATCTTAAAAAGCAGAGACATCACATTGCCGACAAAGGTCCGTATAGTTAAAGCTATGGTTTTCCCAGTAGTGATGTATGGAAGTGAGAGCTGAACCATAAAGAAGGCTGATCGCCGAAGAATTGATGCTTTTGAATTATGGTGCTGGAGGAGACTCTTGAGAGTCCCATGGACTGCAAGAAGATCAAACCGATCCATTCTTAAGGAAATCAGCCCTGAGCGATCACTGGAAAGACAGATCGTGAAGCTGAGGCTCCAATACTTTGGCCACCTCATGAGAAGAGGAGACTCCCTGGAAAAGACCCTGATGTTGGGAAAGATGGAGGGCACAAGGAGAAGGGGATGACAGAGGATGAGGTGGTTCGACAGTGTTCTCGAAGCTACCAGCATGAGTCTGACCAAACTGCGGGAGGCAGTGGAAGACAGGAGTGCCTGGCATGCTCTGGTCCATGGGGTCACGAAGAGTTGGACACGACTAAACGACTAAACAACAACAAGAATTTTCAGTACCTTTAGCAAACAACAGCTCCCAGAATCCTTTGGGAGAAAGCCATGGCTGTTTGAAGTGGTATAAGAGTGCTTTAAATGTATAGTGTACTCGGGGCCAAAGTCTTCATCTCTCACCTGCTGGATGGCTCCATTTTCTGGCCTGGCATGTTTCCGAATGCGTTTCTCCGCCTCGGACGTACAGAGACGTGGCTTTTTCCTTTGGAGACTGGAAGGCAGACGCTCACTACCACTTTCTCGGGAGACCTGAACGGGCATAAGAGAAGCCAGAAGTAAGTGAGGGACCAGCCTATAACTAAGTCATCTGGTACCCTCTGGTTTCCATTCTTAACTTTCATAAATAGTTATCTCGAAGAGTTCATGATCTCCAACTGCCCATCCTGGGTTTTGTGGAGGGGCCGTATCAGAAAGTTAGAATCATAGAATAGAATCATAGAATCATAGAGTTGGAAGAGACCACAAGGGCCATCGAGTCCAACCCCCTGCCAAGCAGGAAACACCATCAGAGCACTCCTGACATATGGTTGTCAAGCCTCTGCTTAAAGACCTCCAAAGAAGGAGACTCCACCACACTCCTTGGCAGCAAATTCCACTGTCAAACAGCTCTTACTGTCAGGAAGTTCTTCCTAATGTTTAGGTGGATCCATTGCTCCGTGTCCGCTTCTCTGGAGCAGCAGAAAACAACCTTTCTCCCTCCTCTATGTGACATCCTTTTATATATTTGAACATGGCTATCATATCACCCCTTAACCTCCTCTTCTCCAGGCTAAACATGCCCAGCTTCCTTAGCCGTTCCTCATAAGGCATCGTTTCCAGGCCTTTGACCATTTTGGTTGCCCTCCTCCGGACACGTTCCAGTTTGTCAGTGTCCTTCTTGAACTGTGGTGCCCAGAACTGGACACAGTACTCCAGGTGAGGTCTGACCAGAGCAGAATACAGTGGCACTATTACTTCCCTTGATCTAGATGCTATACTCCTATTGATGCAGCTCAGAATTGCATTGGCTTTTTAAGCTGCCGCGTCACATTGTTGGCTCATGTCAAGTTTGTGGTCAACCAAGACTCCTAGATCCTTTTCACATGTACTGCTCTCAAGCCAGGTGTCACCCATCTTGTATTTGTGCCTCTCATTTTTTTGCCCAAGTGCAATACTTTACATTTCTCCCTGTTAAAATTCATCTTGTTTGTTTTGGCCCAGTTCTCTAATCTGTCAAGGTCGTTTTGAAGTGTGATCCTGTCCTCTGGGGTGTTAGCCACCCCTCCCAGTTTGGTGTCATCTGCAAATTTGATCAGGATGCCCTCCATCATCCAAGTTGTTGTTTTACTTAAAATGTTTGTCTGATTTTAACGCTTACTGCTCCTTTCCACTCATCTACTGCAACAACGACACACAAGAGATCTGTAATTATTGTCTGGGTTTTTTTGTTAAAAAAAGAGAGAAAAGCCAGTGGTCAGCTTGGCGTTCTCTCTCCACTGCCAGGGCAGGCCCTACCATTAGGGAAGGAAGTGCAATGGATCCACTCAGGTGGTAGATTTTGAGGTTGCAGGAAAGGGAGCAGGTTTGACTGTTTAACGACTATGGGTATTGCAGCTCTGTGAGGGGACTGGTGGTGGGGGTGTCCTAACATCTATTGGCACCCTTAAACTACAGCTCCCAGAATCCTTTGAGGGAAGCCAGGAGCATTGAAAGTGGCAAAAGAGGGCTTTAAATGTATAGTGCCAATGAGTACACAGTTTTCCCAGCACTCGTCTTGCAGGGTTTTATTTAATTTTTAAAAAACCAAAACACTGTTGGCAGGAGATGGGTGTCGCCAGCTGTAATCCCCAGCAATTAGGGCTATGAAAAGGTTTCGTTTGAAGCTCTGGAGAGTCACTGCCAGTCCGTGGTCCTCTCCAGGCATCCTTTTCATTGTGCATTCGCGATTATTTCTGCACATGATGGTATCAGGTTTCCACTCAAAAGTACTGTTCCTACCTGCAAACGGTTCAAGGTGGACGTACTGCTTCGTTTCTAATCAGTGCATGCCCTGTAGGTTCCTGCAGGGAAACCCTGTAACTTTTCATGCCACTGTTTTATGTTCCACTTTATTTTTTGGCTTGGCAGTGAAGACATATGCTTTGGGAGTCTTTTCCAAATACCGAGGGCTCTGCCACTGAGCTGAAGGCCTGTGCAGGGAGACGAGACCCCAGTAGATTTCTAGCCCTCTTATTTTTTAATAGTTTTTTGGTTTTACTGTTTTCTTTTTTTCCTTTCTTTTCTCTTTCTCTTTTTTCCTTTCATCTTTTCTTTCTCTCCCTATCATTTTCGTTTATGCTTGGTAACGTTATCATATTTACATATTTGTATTTATATAGTTATCTTAGATTTCACAACAATTTTATTATGTACACTGTAATAATTATGCCAGTCTAAGAATATACAATGTTAGATAAGCTCATCTTTTATTTTTGATGTTTTTCCTTTCTTCTTGTATGTGTGGAAAATTTGAAAACAAACAATTATTTGCCAGGAGTGGGATTCGAACCCACGCCTCCAGAGGAGACTGCGGCTTGAATGCAGCGCCTTAGACCGCTCGGCCATCCTGACACAATAAATGACTTGCAAAGCCTGAATGGCAGAAGTAGAAAGGACAGTGGGAAGCCTTTTCATAAGTTTGTTTTGTTAAAAGGAACTGAGATTGTAAGGGTATTTCCACTTGGCTGGTGCAGCCTCAAGCCTTGACACAGCCTCTTCCTTGCTGTATCAGGCATAGGCAAACTCATGCCCTTCAGATGTTTGGGACTACAATTCCCATCATCCCTAGCTAACAGGACCAGTGGTCAGGGATGATGGGAACTGTAGTCCCAAACATCTGGAGGGCTGGAGTTTGCCTACGCCTGAAGATGAACACTTATGGCCCAACCAGGGTGAGACCGCTACAAAGATCCTTAAGCAGCAGAATCTTATCCATTAGGGTGCTGGCCCATCAACCTTAGTCTGCCCTCAGCCAGATCCCTCTGCCTGCCTTATAACCAGCTATTTATGGCCCTGGCTATAAAGCCTACTCTTCCTTAGTCTCAGTGCTGCCCTTGTGGAACTCAGCAGGGAGGCAGGTGAGGACAAAATTAGAAGTAGTTGGGTCCACCTATCTGCTGTAGTTGGACGCAGAGGAACGCTGGGAGGAACCAGCTGATGAACCCCCAAGGGAAGACGGCTCAGACCCAGGGGATTGGTGGTAGGACGACAAAGAGTGGTCAAAGAGAAAAAGCTGGGAAGAAGCATCAGAAGCTGAAGAGATAACAGGGCGTAGTGAGTTCTGGGGAGAGTCTATGTCAGAGGGAAGTTCAAAATCAGAGGCAAAAGCTAAAGTAGGGAAGGAGGGAGGCCAAGAAGCAGGGATGAGCCTGGCTGGTGAAGAGGCATGGGTGTCTCCCCTTCCTTCTGCAACAAGCTCCCCTTTTCCAATTTCCTAGAACCAGGAGAGGCATGAAGAGAGCGGAGGGGAGACTGGCTGCATACAGACACCGTCTCCGATTGCTTAGGACAGGGGTGCCCAAACTTTTTTCAAAGAGGGCCAGATTTGATGAAGTGAACTTTCATGAGGGCCAGCCAAAGTGGTTGAGCTTTCTTTAGGATTTCTTGACCCCAAGAAATAAACTGCCACAGGGGACGGATTAAACCAGCCGGGAGGCCAGATTAGGCCACCAAAACAGACTTTAGACAGGAAAAGCCCTACAGTGGAGAAGACGTAGACAGCTGTGGGGACCTTTATTGTCCTCAACTGATCTCACTAGGCCTGACACTCAGCCACGTCGGTGGAGACCGGGTTTTTGCTAATCGAGAGTTAACTCTATTTTCGGACTGTGTGGTTTACTGGCCCGCTTGCTCTGCGACAGCCAAGGGGGCTGCAAAGCGTGGCAGCCAAGTCCGACCCTTGACACTGACTTTACATACCCGGCTTCGCAGCTCGGCTTTCTCTTCCTCAATCTGCAGCTCTAAAGACCGCCGCTGTTGCTCCCAGTCGGCGGACGCCTGATGGCGGAAGTCCTCCGGGGGCATGTAAAGGAGCTTCCACTCCAGACGTAGACAGATGGAGCCATTGGGTTTCCCTGCTGGATCCATAAGGACAAAATCTCCTGCAGGAGGGAGGATGAGTCGACACAGGTGGTTTGTGTTTGGGTCTCAGCTGAAATGATTTTGTCACACTGAACGATGATGCAACGCAGGTTTGACACCGATGACTTTAAAATGTGCAGTTTCCACAATACAGCCGATTTATTTATTTACCTACTGAAAACCCCCTCCCACCTTTCCTTTAAGGAGCTGAGGGTGGCATACATGATTTCCCTTCCTCCTTGTTTTATCCTCCCAGCAACCCTGTGAGGTCGATTAGGCTGAGAGATAGAGACTGGCTGAAGTCACACAGTGAGCTTCATGGCTGAGTGTAGATTTGAACACAGGTCTTCCAAGTCCTAATTCAACACTCTAAAACCACTACAGCAGCCAAAAAAAAAATGTGTAGAAAGATGCTCATCGTAGTGAAAATGACATACAGAAATGCATTATATCGGGGGGAATTCCTTGCAAAAATGTAAACAGATAAAAACATTAGCAGGATTATTGTAATAACCTGCCGTTTCAAAAGAGTATATATTTACAGTAGATAATTAAATGAGCAAGTTAAATGAATTTGGATATGCAGAAGATATCTTTTTTAAAAAAAATTAAGGAACTGCAGAAAGAGGGGGAAGTCAAATTTTGAAATGTTAAATTGATTGTAAAGCTAATGAAATGTATAAACTTGAAAAGCATAAATAAAATCTTTTGAAAAGTATGAGTTGAGCCCCACTTTTATTTATTTATTTATTTATATAATATTTTTGTGAAATGAGAAACTGTGGCTGCATCCACATCATACACAGAAAGTTCATTTAAAGCACACAACTTTCCCCCAAAGAATCATGTGAACTGCAGTTTGCTAAGGGTGTTAGGGATTGCAGCTCTGTGAAGGGAAAACTACAGTTTCAATACTTCTTTGTGAGGAAGTCACATGCTTGAAACAGGCCTTAAATGTATTGAGCGCCTGCAGCCCGAGATAAATCCCTCCACCCCGAGATATGCCCATCTCACCTGCGACGCTGCGCCCTTGTGCCAGGGGCACCAGTGGGATCTGGGCCTTTCCCAGGTAGCTGCCTGCTTCCTCGTCTTCGTCGTCGAACACATAAACCTGCAGGCTGTCTCGGAGCAAGTAATGGTGCAGCTCAGGACTGATGCGCAGAGCAAAGTTCTGGGCGTCCCCAAAGTGGGGGTTGTTGCTTGAAGGGATGGTGATGGTGTCGTGGTCCGGGAAGGTGAAGAAGCGGTACATGGCGTAGGGGCTGGGCTGAGAGCCCAACCAGCGACTGCGCAAGCTGGAGCAGCTTTCGATCTGCACACAAACCTCGTTCCAGCCTGCTCCCAGGGCCTGTTGGGGGGGGGGGAAGAGGGCAGGGTAATTAATTATTATTATTATTATTAAATAATTTATACATACATGCATACATACATACATACATACATACCCCACCCATCTGGCTGGGTTGTCCCCAGCCACTCTGGGCAGTTCCCAACAGAATATTAAAAACACGATAAAACACCAGACATTAACAATTTCCTGATACAGGACTGCCTTCAGGAGTCTTCTAAAAGTCAGATAGCTGTTCATTTCCTTGACATCTGGTGGGAGGGCGTTCCACAGGGCGGGTGCCACTACCGAGAAGGCCCTCTGCCTGGTTCCCTGCAACCTTACTTCTCGCATGGAAGGAACCGCCAGAAGGCCCTCGGTGCTGGACCTCAGTGTCCGGGCAGAACGATGGTGGTGGCAACGCTCCTTCAGGTTTCAGGGTGGTGATGGAAGAGTGAAAAAGCAAGGTAGGGAGTCTGGGGCTCTTCAGATGACTCCCACAATGTGTTTGGATCTACTTATTGTGGTTCATTTCTTCAGCGTCCCTACCCACCTTGAGCCTTTGGTGAGGATGGAGGAACAGATATTACAATCACAGAATTGTAGAGGTGGGTCATCCAGTCCAACCTCCTGCAATGCAGGAATCTCAACTAAAGCATCTGTAACAGACGGCCATCCAACCTCTGCTTAAAAACCTCCAAGGAAGGAGAGTCCACAACCTCCCCAGGGAGTCTGTTCCACTGTCAAACAGCTCACTGTCAGAAAGTTCTTCCTGATGTTTAGTCGGAATCTGCTTTCTTGTAACTTGAAGCCATTGGTTCAATCCTACCTTCCAGAGCAGGAGAAAGCAAGCTCACTCCATCCTCTCTGTGAGATACTTGAAGATGGCTACCATATCCCCTCTCAATCTCCTCTTTTCCAGGCTAAACATGCCCAGTTCCCTCAACCATTCCTCATGAAGCTTGGTTTCCAGTCCCTTGATCTTCGGTTTGGCCTGGGATTCTTGCAAAGAACTGGTAACAAGTTCATTAAAATGGCTTCCTTAGTCCCCTTTCCAAAGCTTAAGGTGCTGTTCAGTGATGGGTAGAAGAAAATAAACCTGATATTTAAAGATGGTTATCACTTCTCCTCTCAATCTCAGATTAATAAATATTTACATAACTGCCGTTTTGCCCATCATCATGAGGACTAGAACACTGGAGCTTTTTGGCAATGTACACACCAGCTCCCCCCGCTCTGCTGTCCTCACCTTCTCCTCTTCCTGCCTCCAGCCCTGATGGGCCACCATGGCGTGCTGGACCCCTGCAGACAGGTAGCCCAAGGCTTTGGTTCGCTGCCGGTGGAGTCTCAGGATCTGCTCGATCGGAAAGCGAAGCCTCGCCCAATATTCCAGGATGCCGAAATCTTCGCCGTTGGAACCTGGAGTTATGTGGTGCCAGGGTGTGGGCAGGAGGTTGCGGTAAGGATTGTGGGAATAACAAAAGAGAGGCGTCAGTCCCTCCTCCAGAAGCTTGCCGGAGTTGGGTAGGTAGGGAGCAGGGGTCTGTGGCCCCCAGCCCTAACAGACTCCCCACATCCCAAGAACTTAAGAGCAGTCTGCTGGATCAGGCTAATGGCCCATCTAGCCCAGCCTCCTGATCTCACAGTGGCTGCCCCGAACATGTGGGGAAACCATGAAGCAGGATTCAAGCCCAAGAGCCACTCTCCCTCGTTCGGAAGCAAAAGCACGATTACGTAGTCGGCAGGATTCGAACCTGCGCGGGAGACCCCAATGGATTTCTAGTCCATCGCCTTAACCACTCGGCCACGACTACCAGCTGCTCAAGCATGATGATTAAGTGATGTAGGGAAGGAGGTTCTCCATCCCTGTTCTGTAAGAACATAACCTGCTTTGGAAAACAAGAGAGGGATGTGTGCTGTCAAAGTCCGACAATAGAGCCATAGCTGCTGATAGCCTCATCCTCTATGAATTGGTGGCCATCATTGCATTCTGTTCCATCGTTTAACTTTGTGCTGAGAGAAAAAGTACTCTTAATTTATGTGATGGCCTGGGATTCCGATTCGGAGGATGAAACAGAGGAGTCCCTGCCTGCACAGGAGTCCCCGCCTCCAGGGCCGGCTGAACTGGGGCAAGGCCTTGATGCTGAAGAGCCTGCACCTGTGGCAGTGCATCAGGAGCTGGCCCCAGGTGAAGCCCTTCGGGCCCCAGAGGGGCTTGATGACTCAGTGGCCACAGGTGAGCCTCCTCCAGGGCCCAGTAACCCTTCGGCCTCTCCTGATCTGCAGAGGCTTAGGGCTGAGAGGCGAAGGGAACTGGTTGCCCCCAGGAGGAGTGCTCGCCTTAAGGCCAGAGGAGGCGGGGCTCCTGGGGACCGGGACCGCCCCTGGCCTTAGAAGAGGATAAAAGCCCAGTCAGCCCGGCCCCAGGTTGCGGGAGCAACGTCGTTGTTGGCTTCGGACCTTCCTGTGTTCCTGATCCCTGCTCGGCTTCCTGTTCCTGACTATCCGGTACTCCTGTTCCCTGCTCGGCCTCCTGTTCCCGACCATCCGGTGTTCCTGTTCCCTGCACAGCCTCCTGTTCCAGCATTCCTGTTCCCCGCCCGGCTCTCTGCCTCGGACCTTGCCCCTCTTCGTGTGGACTCTGCTACACCCAAGGTACCTCACCCCCGGGACCAGCACAATTTATCTGTCCTGAATCTTCCAATATTCAGCTTCATTGCAGAAGTGCTAGCGTTATGGCCGGGGTGTGTGTACTTTTCTCTATCCACTTAACCCATGCCATGCATAATTTTATAAAATTCTATCATGCCACCTCTTGCTTGCTTTTTCTCTGAACTAAAATCCCCCCTAAAGCTGCAACTTTAGAGGGGAATCGCTCCATCCCCTTATTCAAATTATTAGACCAATTCATGGAGGAGAGGGCTTTGCTGCCACAGTCAGAGGCAGCACTGCTTCTGAATACAGTGGTACCTTGGTTTTCGAACGTCTAGGAAGTTGAGCGTTTCAGTTTATGAATGCCGAAAACCCAGTAAATGCTTCCATTTTTGAATGCTCCTCGGAAGTCGAACGGTTTCTGCTGAGTCCCCCCCCCCCCCAATTTTCTCTATTGAATTTGCAGGCCGCCCTTTGCACCTCGGTTTTCAACTGTTTCAGAAGTTGAATGGTCTTCCAGAATGGATTACCTTTGAAAACAGAGGTACCACTGTACCAGTTGCTGGAAACCATGGGGGTGTGGGATGTGATACATAGGTAGCAGTCAAATACAACATTCCTTGTTTTCCTAGAGTGGACATACAAGGGGATGTTTGGTCCAGACAGTCAGAACTTCCTGTTTCCTCCTGGGCTGGGACATACTTCCTCTTGCATGTGACTAGAGGTGGGCATGACCTTACCTGTGCAGGTAACAAAACCACAAGGCACGCAGCCCTCTTCCCCCTACTTCCTTCTTTTCCATCTTCCTTTCGTTGTGTGAACTCCAGTGACTGCCAGTCTGCAGTCACTGGGATTAACCCCTCATATGGGATAGATCCACATTTATATATTTTGTAATTAAGTCTGCCTTCAGGGATCCAACTGTGAACTGATGATGTGAGTACAGTGGTACTTCTGGTTACGTACTTAATTCGTTCCAGAGGTCCGTTCTTAACCTGAAACTGTTCTTAACCTGAAGCACAATTTTAGCTAATGGGGCCTCCTGCTGCTGCCACGCCACCGGAGCACGATTTCTGTTCTCATCCTGAAGCAAAGTTCTTAACCCGAGGTACTATTTCTGGGTTAGCGGAGTCTGTAACCTGAAGCGTCTGTAACCTGAAGCGTCTGTAACCCGAGATACCTCTGTAAACTTCTTTTATATACTTTAAGCAAGATTGTGGCATGTCTATTCTTTTAAGGGGGATATAAGGGAACTTACCAGGAAGCTAATATTAAGAGGCTTAAGCAAGCCTGCAACCAGTTATCCGCTGTGTGTTTAGAAAGGGGAATGTAAAACTCTGCTAAATTATAGAACTTGCTAGCGCATGTTAGGAAGGATATTAACAAACAATATATCCTCTCCTGCCTCCCTGAACATTCCCACAGGGGGCAATTGCTTTCATGCTCAAATCCTGTTTGCAGGTTTCCCATGGGCATCTTGGTGGCCACACTGAGAACAGGGTGCCAGACTATATATATGGGCTACAGGGCTGATCTGGCAGGCTCTTATGCTCTTTATCATCTTGGTTGCCCTTCTTTGAGTCTTTTCCGACTCCAAAACATCTGCCACAGTTGGAATGGCGCAATCCTTACCGTGGAGCACCGCCGTGGCGTGCACCTTCTCCCCGCTGCCCAGCACCTCGCCAAAGCGCAGCCAGCAGGAGGCCAGGGTGGCGTGTTCGACGGCCGAGGCAAGGTGGAGGTCGAGGCGGGACGTGGCGCCTTGCAGGTATTGCAGGAAAAACGGCTCGGCCTGCACCACGTACTGAGAGGTAAAGCCGTAGCGGGCGCGGGAGCCACGCACCACTGGCGTGCAGTGGGTCTCGAAGTCGTAGAAGGAGTACGTGCAAAAGGTGAGAGGCTCCGGGTCCCCCAGCAGACGCAGCGCCTCGGCCGACAGCACCGCGCCCGAGATGTGCAGCTCGAAGAGGTTCTCTCCGCGACGCAGCTGTGGGGCCTGGTCAGGGACTGCTTCCACGGATGAGTCACCCTCTCTGGGAGGAAACGGGGCTGCCCTCGTTCCATAGGCCACGTCCTTCAACTGCGCTGGAGTGGGGTGGGAGGGTGGGGAAACAAGACAGAGCCACAAAGACCTGTTCACAGAACCACAGAATCGGAAGGGACCCCGAGGGTCATCTAGGCCAACCCCCTGCAATTGTCAGGCTTCAGGGAATCGGCTTCCTCCCCCGTGGCAGTAAATAAGCAGAACAAAGTAATAGGAGTCTTCTTACCAGTTAGAAACTTTAATAATCATAGCAAGAGAACAATGAACACATCTCCTAGAATGGCGGTGCTCCCAGTTAAGGACTGCACCCCCTTCTGTCCCTATTATAATCTACATCACACCTATGTTTTGTAATCTGAGCTTGTACCCTCTGTACTTTCTGTGCTGCCACTTTCTGAGCTCTCGTGACTTTGGAAAAGGGAGGTGAATGCTGTCTAGAGACTGTGAATCTGTTAACCCTCTCTCTTCCAGTCTCTCTTCTCCTAGCTGTTTCCCATCCAGTATTTCCCAGCTTCTGCCTTCTGAACTATGTCCCTCTGCAAACCACTGTTCCAAATCTATACTGTCCTCCTGCTCCTGGGAAGATTCAGGCTGTAGAGCAAGAGCAGGGGGAGGCTCCCACCATTCCTCCTCAGTGCAGCTCTCTTCAGCACGGTCCCTGACAGCAATGCAGGAATCTCAACTCAAGCATCCCTGACAGAGGACCATCCGTCCTCCACTGAATGTCCACCACCTCCCGAGGGAGTCCGCTCCACCACTGAACAGCTCTTTCAAATGTTTAGTTGGAATCTCCTTGTAATTTGAACTCATTGGTTGGATTCCTACACTCCGGAGCAGCAGAAAACAAGCTTGCTCCCTCTTCTGCAGCAGGTATTCGAAGGTGCCTCTCGTATCAACCCCCAGCTTTCTCTTCTCCAGGCTGAACATACCCAACTGCCTTTATAAGGCTTCCTTCCCACACCCTTGATCATCTTGTTCGCCCTCCTCTGCACATATTCCACCTTGTGCAGATCTAAAGAGTGCTTTCAATCTATGGTGTGGATAGGGAGCTAGAGATTGCATGGAGAGGAGGTATGCCTGTCCACATGCCTACCTTCAAGTTGGCGGATGCGGGCCCCACGCAGGTCCAGAAGGCGGGCCATCTGCTGCTCCTTCTCCTCATGCTCCTGCTTCTCTCTTGTCGTCTGCAGCAGCACCCCGTCCAGCTCTGCCTGGAACCAAGGCATGCCCGCCAAAGAGAGAACGGTACCTACAGTCAGCCTCAGGACTGAGCCGGGAGAGAGATGAGGAGGACTCTCGTTTCCCTGCTCCTCCACTTGCAGCTGCTTTAGGTTATTTATTTATATACCGCTTAGTCCCTTAAGCAGCTTAAAAAATAGCCAGTGAAACACATGTACCGAATGAACGAAACTGAGAAGCTGCAATAGAATACAGTGCGATGTAACAAAACAATATAACTCCACCCCAGAAAGCAAATTCACAGGAGGACATTTTGAAATGGCTTTAGTGAGGGATGTCTGCCTTCCTTCAGCCTCCTGCTTGGCAAAGCGCATCCCTGATTCACAAAATACCCTGCATCGTGCCCAAATGCTCTCTTAGAGCTACACAAATCATGCAAGAATCAGATCCAGAATTTCTGTCTGCCATGCAGCTGTTGAAAGGCAGGGGAGCATTCTTGGGCGGGTGGGAATAAGGTAGCAAAACTGCTTTGCTTGCCTGGCCCTACTAAGGCTTGTGTTTCTGCAGAAAATGTGTGAAGGCACCAATGTAAGCAAAGGAATTCTATTGATACATTTGTTAAAGACTGAAATTGGCCATGTCCCCAGAAAGTATCCATATTCGAACAGGTTAGGCCCAATAAAATGGAGTTCTCTATACCTAAAAATTGCATCTCCTCATTTTCCATTGGATGCTTTGTGAATTGTGCCCTTGCACATTTGGGCTGTTTTGAATTCCTTTCCCGTTAAATAAAAATGTAAAAGTTGCAAAATTATTCCACTGATGTGGGGTGGAGAGAAGTTTCTTGAGGACATTACAGGCGCTAGCCAATCAGCACTGTGCCCATTCAACTCAATGCAAACACACAGAACTAGCTTTCACTGAGCTTGACCCTGGTGAGGACACAGTGAATATGGAATATGCTTGTCTGCACACACCCCTAGTTCTCCAAAAAGACCCCCACTTTGTTCCATCTCCCAGGTGGGCAGCTCAGTCTCCTTGCTTCACCTGGTAGTCCCGGTTGATGCGGTGTTGTAAGATGAGCATGTCCCGGGTCTTCTCTAGCTCCAGCACGGTCTCAGCGTGGGCGGCCTCCGTCTCGTAGAGCCTTCGCTTTAGACTCCGTTGGGCAAACGTCTCTTCCTTCTCAGACTCTCTCTCGAGACCTTCCACATAGAGGGGCTGCAAGGAAAAAAAGTGGAGGGGGGAGAGAGATGGAAGGAAATGTGTGGGGCTTGACGTGCGTGCATGACTACCATGCCAAATCAGAAAATGGAGGAGAAGCAAATCCATTTCATGAAACTGTGCTGATCTATATCACTGATGACTTGCTAACTCTATTGCTTTGACATTTTAATCCGCTGGTATCTGCTTTACCTTGGATCAGGTCATTTTTACATAAAATGCCAATCTGTGCAGGGAGAGGTATTTTATCCCCCCCCCCAAAAAAGTTCTAAACTAAATGTCACTGGCAGTTAACACAAGCAAGATGAGCCTTGCAAGACCTCAGCTGCCTGTTCAGATTGGAACTCCTCGCAATTTAATTAAGACCGGGAAACAGCAGCCGAAGACTTGCAATGCTTATGATACCGGTAATTTGTGCGTGCGGATACTGGAGAATTCTGACAGAAACAAAAACGGGAATGGAAATTGCCAGTGTTTTGCTTATGCATCCCATATCCAGAATGGAAACCAATCCATCAAACACAACTGGTATTCACTGCTGCTGTTGTTCTCAGCCCGCAAATGATACATGACAGATTACTTTCCTGCCGTATTTGCATTGGGCTTTCTTTGCATCAAAACGAACAGGGTGGAATCACGTAATCGTAACATAATGAACCACGAGAGAAAAAACACAGTCTTTGTAGGAAGCCGAACAGCAGCAGGATGGAAACAGAGCTGCGTGTGACAAAGGTCAGCATAGAAATCGATGCCTACCTGCATATATGTGTGTATTTGTATGTACAGTGCTAGTATCTAAGGTCCAGTTGCTAAGTGTGTGGTTTTACCCAGTGCCTACCTCAACTACTAGACTGGATGGAAAGTCTTCCTCTCTAGTCTGGTTATCCAAGATGGCCGCCTTCTCCCGCAAGAAGCCGACTTCCTGTGGGCGTTCCTGAAGCAACTGGCTCACTTCCTGCTTCAGTTCCTCGTTCAGAGCTTATGAGGGGAAAGCAAGGATTTGGGATGAATTGCAAAGTTGCCACCTGTTCTCAATAGTCCTGACTGTTCCTTTCCTGTAACTTGCTAATTATTTTTACCCTCAATTCATCAGTTCACTTCCAAGCTTGGAACAGGGGGAGGGTATTTATAAAAGCCAATGAAACAACAGCAGCAAGAACAAGGGCCACATTCCCTCACAGGCAGCCTTCTGGGGGCCGCATGCCAGTGGTGGGTGGGGCCAGAGGCAAAAGTAGGCGGGGCAAGTGAGGCGACATTTCTGCAGTAGGCTGCAGTCCAACTTGACCAAAGCCCTGAGGGCCAGACAGAAAGGTGCAGAGGGCCGCATCTGCTCCCTGGGCTTGCGGTCCCCCAGCTCTTGTTTCAAACTTCACTGTTAGTGACCCGTGTGAGACGCAAGGGGTCGTGTTTAGGGTATTTTGCCTATTCAGTCATTTCCCTGCCAGCTCTCGTTGGCCTCCTCACCTCTTTCCTTCTCCAGCTGCTCCTGCAAGCTCTGCTTTTCTGCAATTGCTGAGATGAGTTGTTCTTCCAAGCAAGGGGCGTTGTCCTTCTGGGGAACCATGTCTAGGGGGTGCTGGGTATTGCTGAGGCAGCTAAAGAGACACATAGATTTGCCGCATATTAGAAAGGGCCACAAAATCCTTGCCTATGTTTCTCTAAATTCTAGTAGGGAGCCCTTTTTCCCATACCAAAAATGCCTGTCTATTTCTACACGCCTCCGTCTTTCATCCAGGTTTACCCAAAGATATTGGCCATATTCACACCGTACATTCAAGGCACTATGATATCATTTTAAGCAGTTATGGCTTCCCCCAAAGAATTCTGGGAGCTGTGGTTTGTTAAGGTTCTTGAGTGTTGTTAGGCGGCTCCTATCCCCCCATCACAGAGCTACAATTCCCAGAATTCCCTGCAAAGTGGGGTCTCCTAAGAACTCTCAGCGCCCTTAACAAACTACAGTTCCCAGAATTCTTATGGGGAAGCTATAAGTGCTTAAAATGATATCATAGTGCTTTGAATGGCATCCTAGTCAGTGCTTCGCTGTATAGGGAAGCCTTTTAATCTGTAATGCTTTTTAATGTTTTTATCTGTGTTGGAAGCCAACCAGAGTGGCTGGGGCAACCCAAGGCGGATCTACACAAGGGGGAGGGAATGCTATAAATGAGTCAGAAATATTATTATTATTATTATTATTATTATTATTATTACTACTACTACTACTATAGTGGTACCTCGGATTACATATGCTTCAGGTTACATATGCTTCAGGTTACAGACTCTGCTAACCCAGAAATAGTACCTCGGGTTAAGAACTTTGCTCCAGGATAAGAACAGAAATCGTGCTCCGGTGGCGCGGCAGCAGCGGGAGGCTCCATTAGCTAAAGTGGTGCTTCAGGTTATGAACAGTTTCAGGTTAAGAACGGACCTCCAGAACAAATTAAGTACTTAACCCGAGGTACCACTGTACTACTACTACTATTATGGTGTGAATGTGACCAATATCAGAGTTCACAGACACATTCCAAAACAGACAGGCCAAAACAAAAACACTCAAGAAGTGAGGAAAGTGGGCTTTGCTGAGGAAGGGGTTTGACCTGGAAAGTCCTTAGGCTCAAACAGAGAGACTTGAAGGGCCATATTCGGCCCTGTGTCTGAGGTTCCCAACTGCTGCACGAATGGCTTTTGTTGAGAGGGAACAAACTCCCGAGTTGCTTATCCTTTCCCGCCAACCCATCTCTCACCTCTCCAGCAGTTTGTCGTAATCTTCCTTCAGCAAATCTCGCTCCTTTTCCAGGTCCCGGACTCTCTCCTGAAACTGAAAAACGGTACAGAATACAGGGCCTTGTTGTGGAATCCAAGCTGCCAGCGGTAGCCCGGAGATTGGATGGGAAGCAAGATGGGCAAATAATCTGTTTTTATTTTTGACTCTGCCAATGGCTTGCATGACTTCAAAAGGGGTTTTAAAAAAATGCATAGAGGATACAACTCTACCAGTGGTTTCTAGCCATGACGGCTATATACCGTATTCTGTGTTGGAAGAGGTATGTCTCTGAATACCAGGATAATTCTGCCGGGCAAGAGGAGCAAAACCATGGGATGCAGAAGGGCTGTGGCTCAGTGGTAAACCATCTGTTTCACATGCTGAAGGTCCCAGGTTTGTCAAATGTAAAGGAAACATAAAATGCAGCTAAGAAGCTCAAATCATATATATGACTGACATCCTTCTTTGGAAACGATATAGAAAAATTGGGGTGTTTGGTTTTGCTGCTCAACTCCCCAAGGGACTGAGTCCGCCTAAGTCCATGATAGGTCAGAGATGAATGGATGGAGGCAGGATACAGTGATAGCCCCTTCATGGATCACTGCCTTGCCGTGGTGAAGCGGCTTGAATAACTCAGAGAAGCTATGAACTATGCCATCCAGGGCACCCAAGATGAACAGGTCATAGTGGAAAGTCCAATGCTGTAAAGAAAAATACTGCAAGATTGCCGGAAGAAATATCAACCACCTCAGATATGCAGATGACACAACCTTGATGGCAGAAAGTGAGGGGGAATTAAAGAACCTTTTAATGAGGGTGAAAGAGGAGAGCGCAAAATATGGTCTGAAGCTCAACATCAAAAAAACCCAAGATCATGGCCACTGGTCCCATCACCTCCTGGCAAATAGAAGGGGAAGAAATGGAGGCAGTGAGAGATTTTACTTTCTTGGGCTCCATGATCACTGCAGATGGTGACAGCAGTCACGGAATTAAAAGACGCCTGCTTCTTGGGAGAAAAGCAATGGCAAACCTGGACAGCATCTTAAAAAGCAGAGACATCACCTTCCCGACAAAGGTCCGTATAGTAAAAGCTATGGTTTTCCCAGTAGTGATGTATGGAAGTGAGAGCTGGACCATAAAGAAGGCTGATCGCCAAAGAATTGATGCTTTTGAATTATGGTGCTGGAGGAGACTCTTGAGAGTCCCATGGACTGCAAGAATATCAAACCTATCCATTCTTATGGAAATCAGCCCTGAGTGCTCACTGGAAGGACAGATCGTAAAACTGAGGCTCCAATACTTTGGCCACCTCATGAGAAGAGAAGACTCCCTGGGAAAGACCCTGATGTTGGGAAAGATGGAGGGCACAAGGAGAAGGGGACGGCAGAGGACGAGGTAGTTGGATAGTGTTCTTGAAGCTACCAGCATGAGTTTGACCAAACTGCGGGAGGCAGTGGAAGACAGGAGGGCCTGGTGTTCTCTGGTCCATGGGGTCACGAAGAGTCGGAGACGACTAAATGACTAAACAACAACAACAGTGATAGCAAGGCAGATCTTCATTTTTTATGTCGGAACAGAGTTCCCTCCCCTCCTAGCAAGGGGGCAAGAGAGAACCAGAACCAAGAAGAAACATCTCTTTTAAGGGTTTGCATTTTGGCATGGAGAAGAAGCACATCCCCTCTACAAACAGTCAGAAATGGCATCATAGGTTAGATGGGGTTGCTGTGGCTCAGGCAGGCCAAGGTGTGATATTCCTGAGAATTTAGCAAGTTTTTCCATAGTTCCAGACACAGTTTACACAAAGCATTAGCATTTGATACGACAATAAAGATGCCCGTCACACATCCCTCAATGCAGAGCATCTGGGCAAACAATGACAACTAATACGAAGGAGGTTTGTAGATATAGGAGAGGAATCCCTTCAGGAACATCCCCGGATTGCTATCTGCCTATGTGTTCTCAGGCAAGAGGGATTAAGGAGGCAGAGGAAATATTTAGAGTCTTTAAGAGAGCCAAGATGGTTTTTGGTTTGCTCTCCTGTACTGTTTAGACATGTGGTTTATATACTTATGCAATGCTTTTTTTCTGGGGGGACGCAGGGGTGCGCATACCCCTAAACGTTTTGTGAATCTAAGTTCGGCCTCATTGAGGGGCAGTATTTCAATACGAGAAGGAAAATGAGAGTACCCCCTAAACATTTTTTTTAAGAAAAAAAAGCACTGTATGTGTGTTTTCCTTGTGCAATTATCAACGTTTATTCTATATTTGAGATCTTAGAATTCCTACAACAGAAATTAAGCCAATGTCCAGACTTCAACATTCAAAAATGTACCACCTGACAGATATCTCAGAGGCATATCACACATGTCCCCAGTGTTGTTTTTTTCTGGAGGTACACAGGGGTACACATACCTGTAACTCTAAACATTTTGTGAATCTTTGTACTTTTGTCCATTTACTGTATTTATTTTCCCCAATTTGAACTATAAAATGGTGATTTTCTTGAGTAAAAATGAGAGTCCCCCCTTTTTAAAGAAAAAAAGCACTGTATATCTCAGCATAGAAATGGTTTCAATAAAAATAAAAGACTGAAGTTTGAGAAGTATGATAGAAGTATTTTCTTCTGGATTATTTCTGACACGACTTACATCTTCCAGCATTCCCTGCAGTGGAGAAAGGATTTCTACTTGGCTCTCCAGGGCTGCCACCTTCTGACTCTCCTCCCTGAGGTGGGCATTCAGCTTTTCGACCTGAGCTAGCAAGGCCTCACTGGCTGACCTCAATGCCTCTTGGTTCTGGAGAAGCAAAGAAGAAGGGAAAGATTCATGAGATCTAGAGCCTTGAGGGACCGTAGAGTCCCAATCCCCCATTGCTGCCACCACCAAAAAGAACTGGAGAAAGTTACCTGCTGGAGCTGAGTCTCGTAAGCCTGGAGGAATAGCAAGCAAAGGGCTGGATTATTGGGGTAGATGAAGAAAAAAACACCTTCCTTGTCGGAAGTCACATATAAGAAGGAAAACAGAGTCTCTATACCATGGGTAGGCAAACTAAGGCCCGGATCCGGCTCAATCGCCTTCGAAATCCGGCCCGTGGACAGTCTGGGAATCAGCGTGTTTTTACATTAGTAGAATGTGTCCTTTTATTTAAAATGCATCTCTGGGTTATTTGTGGGGCATAGGAATTCGTTATTCCCCCCCCACCCCCACCCCAAAAATAGTCCGGCCCCTCACAAGGACTGAGGGACAGTGGACCGGCCCCCTGCTAAAAAAGTTTGCTGACCCTTGCTCTATACTGTCAAATAATTGAATCATTGAATGCATTTTTCACTCCGCTGGAGCCCTCAGGTCCCCACTCTCCCGTGGAGTTTTTTTTGGGGGGTGCGCTGAGCTCTATTGCTGCCCTCAAAGCCTTTCTGCCGGCTCTGTGTCGCGGACGACACTTAGCACACCGCCATTCTCCTCTGCAGTGGACCGGAAATCCAACAGTTCCCAGGAATCTTATGGGGAAGTCATGTGGTGTGCGTGCAACAGTAGTTTGTGGGGATCAGGGTCCCTCACATTCCCTCACAATCTGTTTTTAAATAATTTTGGCTGGATCTAAACAGCTATTAAAAACGCTCTGAAAACGATCTGCAAAAAACACAAACCGTTGTAAAGCTCACAACTAAAAATATCGTTGAGATCACGGATGAGGAACCTTAGGTCTAGGGCTCAAATGTGGCCTTCAGTAGCACTGCTTCCTTCCCCAACCGCAAGTGTTTTTGCCTTGCTAGACTTTGCCCTAGAATTTTGATAATGCCGCTTCCTTGCTTGGATGGAGAAGAGAGCGAGGTGCCTTGTGAGTGTGTGTAAGAACTAGCCTACTGCACAAAGGCAAAATGTACATCCATTATCCCACCCACTTTTGCCTCTGACGGCCCCAAGTTGCCACTGGCCTGCATCCCTTGGGAGGGCTCAGAAGATAAGCAGTATGTCTGTGTGAAATGGCTTGGGGAGAAGCCCAGGGGCCAGAGAGTGAAACCCAGTGGGCTGCATTTGACTACGTGGCAGGACTCACTTCCTGTAAGCCAGCAAACTGGGCTTTGGTTACCACCAGTTCTGAATTCTTGGCTCTCAGAAGCTTCTGCAGACGAATCAGCTCCACGTTTTCCTGGATGGCGGCTCTGGAACAGCAAAACAGACAAATAGGTGTTGATTATTGACATTTATTAAGGACTGGAAACTTCTTGCAGACTTTTTGCCTAAGAGAGAAAATGAGCTTGTAATGTCTGGATTTGAAGATTGAAAAAAAATATTGGCTTATAGAAAATAGAATAGCTGGATGTCAATACTATATTTAGTTGACGGACAGAGAACCGGAAGTCTTTTTATCTTTTCCCATTTTCTTTACTTTTTCTCTCACTCTTTTTTCTCCCCCCCTTTTTTCCTTCTTCTTTCTGCCCCTGTTCCTCTTTAGATTACTGTAGTTTTTTTAAAAGTATTTCTTTTATTCTGGTGTGTTTTAAATAGGTACTTTGTACTGAACTTTTGGTATTAATAAAAATAGATTTTAAATAATCATCAAAAAGAAATAGATTGTCTTGTTAGGTCTGTGTTGGATAAAGAGACCAGCATTAAATTTGAAATCCACCAGCCAGCACTTATCTGTCCTTCCTTTCTCCTTCCCTCATGAGAAGAAAAGGGCTGGAAACTACTTTAGGTTAATAAATTGGGGGGTGGGGGTGGGGCGTGGTTGTAACAAAATACTTTCCAGCCATTTCTGCTATTGCATACAGATACAGTGGTACCTCGGGTTAAGTACTTAATTCGTTCCGGAGGTCTGTCCTTAACCTGAAACTGTTCTTGACCTGAAGCACTACTTTAGCCAATGGGGCCTCCTGCTGCTGCCGTGCTGCCACTGCACAATTTCTGTTCTCATCCTGAAGCAAAGTTCTTAACCCGAGGTAATATCTCTGGGTTAGCGGAGTCTGTAACCTGAAGTGTATGTAACCTGAAGCGTATATGGTATGAGGTACCACTGTATCTGAATTTTTATGTTCCTGATGAACCAAGAAGTTAAAATAAAGGTTTGTTTGATTTATTTTACAAAATTCATGTACCATGTAGGTACATGTACCATGTAGGAAAACAACCAATTTCAAAACTGTTTACAGTAAGTAAAACAATAAAATTATCAATAATAACCCATGAAAAACAACTATTTAAAACATTCAAAAAATAATTAAGATCAATGACAAGCCAAAACTCAGAGTGAAACACATGTCAACACTCCCAATTTACAAATCTCTATATCTTATCAATGAGTCATGTTTGGTTTTCCCCGTTTTAAACTTAAGCCCAAAAATATATACTTTGACATCCCAGAATCTGGCTCTCTCCGGAACGGATTAAGTTCGATTTAAGTGTTTTGGTGAGAAATGGAACAAGAGTTGAGAAGACCTTAAAACAAGAGCTAGAGAGACTGATTTAACATGGACCAAATAAGCATTGTGGATGAAGCATTGTGCAGGCATTGTACCGGCGTTCCCGGACCTCTAGGTGGCGCTGCAGGGAGCGGGCGCTTTCTGGGTCCGTATCTCTGCCATGTGTGGAACTCAGCGACTCAGGATCCAGTTCCAATGCTGCAAGGACCAGGCTCTGGGTACTGAAAGGAAGAAAACAAAAATAGCTGCTCCGTTTCCAGATCATTGTCCTTGGGAAAATGGGAAGAGGAGAGGATCCAGTTAACATTTGCATGCATTAACGTTATTTATTTATTTATTTATGTCATTCCTTCCCATCTCAAAGTGATTTACAATATAATGACATGTATATAAAACAGTGACATACTGTAAGCAGATGAAAACACTAGCAGGATTACAATAACACTTCTAATGTAGCAAGTATTATGGAGACAATGGAATTACAGTGGTACCTTGGGTTAAATACCATATTTTTTGCTCTTGAGGACGCACCAGACCACGAGACGCACCTAGTTTTTGGAGGAGGAAAACAAGAAAAAAAAATATTCTGAATCTCAGAAGCCAGAACAGCAAGCGGGATCGCTGCGCAGTGAAAGCAGCAATCCCTTTTGCTGTCTTGGCTTCTGGGATAGCTGCGCAGCCTGCATTCGCTCCATAAGACGCACACACATTTCCCCTTCCTTTTTAGGAGGGAAAAAGTGAGTCTCATAGAACAAAAAATACGGTACTTAATTTGTTCCGGAGGTCCGTACTTAACCTGAAACTGTTCTTAACCTGAAGCACTGCTTTAGCTAATGGGACTTGCTGCTGCCGCGCCGCCGGAATACAATTTCTGTTCATCCTGAAGCAAAGTTCTTAACCCGAAGCACTGTTTCAGGGTTAGTGGAGTCTGTAAACTGAAGCGTATGTAACCTGAAGCGTATGTAACCCGAAGTACCACTGTATATAAAACATAGAAAAGATGCAGCAGAAAAGGTTTAAGAATGGGAACCATGAAGGGGAGATGGGAAGTCCAGAGATTCGGAAGAATCTGTAAATGTGGATATGTATGATTGTATTAGGGACGCAGGTGGCACTGTGGGTTAAACCACAGAGCCTAGGACTTGCCGATCAGAAGGTCGGCGGTTCGAATCCCCACGACGGGGTGAGCTCCCGTTGCTCGGTGCCTGTTCCTGCCAACCTAGCAGTTCGAAAGCACGTCAAAGTGCAAGTAGATAAATAGGTACCACTCTGGTGGGAAGGTAAACGGCGTTTCCGTGTGCTGCTCTGGTTCGCCAGAAGAGGCTTAGTCATGCTGGCCACATGACCCAAAAGCTGTACGCCGGCTCCCTCGGCCAGTAAAGCAAGATGAGTGTCGCAACCCCAGAGTCGGTCACAACTGGACCTAATGGTCAGGGGTCCCTTTACCTTTATGATTGTATTGTTATAATTTTATACTTGTTAAACCAAATAAAAATGATTTTGAAAGAAAGGAAAAGAATCGCAGTGGCCAAACGGTTGAGGGTAGGATGGGCAGGCAAGACTCACAGTCTCTCCGTCTCAACTCGAGATCCCTCCAGAGTGTGATCGCCATAGCGGGCAGGAGCTGTGTGGGTTGGTCTGACCGCCGGCCCTTGAACCCGCATTCCTGCTGGGCCAAAAAATATAAATAATTACGAGCAACACATCATGCGCCTCAGCCCATGCCCTGTTGGGTCACACATTCTACAGAGGAAAACCAGCAGGGTCCACGAAAAGCCAGCGCAATTTGCTTCAATGAAGTCTACTGCCATGGGCCAAAGGAATGCAATGGAAGATAGTTAACTCTTTATTGTTAAAAGCAGACACTTACAATTGTTTCTGTGGCTCCGAATAACTATGCACACCACTCTAGCATCTAGGCAACTATTCCCAGGTCTGTGCTCTGTGGAACAGTTGCAGCAACAGGAGCTCACATCCTCTCCCTCAGTTTTATGGGCTGCACGCACACAGCTGGAGACTGTGTCCGTGTGAAAGCTGCCTCTGCTCTTCTCTCTTCAGCTCCCTCCTGGTTCTGGGAGACATTGGTGCAGGAGAGGGTGGGGAAGCACCCGGCCCTCCACTTGCTTGAGCTGCCTCTTCCTCTTCTTCTGATCCATCCTGCGCCCCACTTCCAGCTCCGAAGCTTCCCCTGCCTCCGACTCTTGTCTCCTGGCTGGTACGGTTTCCCACAATTCACTGGCCCCCTCTCCTGAGTCCCCCCATCCTCACTGCACCCTAGGCAACAGCCTGCTAGTCGCTGACACCTTGTTGCTTCTTCCACCCTTCTGGGAAATGAAATTGTCAGCGAGGGACTTGAGGAATTTGTTAGACCTGGAATTCTTTTTTCTTTTTTCCCCCAATAATTTTTTTTGATTTTTCATTAAACATACATTCATTATACAAATAAATCACATATTTATCTTTAGCTCTGCCGAGCTTCGGACTTCCCTCCACCCCTTCAGTAAGTATCATATATTTTCTAACATCGCGTATTCTGTATATTTAACTTTATTTTTACCATACGCTGTTAGAGTTATTCTAACCCTGCCAGTGTCTTTAAGGTTTTACAATTGTCTCTTATATACACCAAATATATACTCCAGCTTTCTTGAAACTTCTGTTCATCCTGATCTCATAGTTTTCCTGATACTCTGGCCAGTTCTGTGTAATTCATCATTTTAACCTGCCATTCCATAATGGTAGGTATTACATCTGTTTTCCAATTGTGAGCCAAGATAGTTCTTGCAGCCGTTGTGGCGTCTAGAAGGAGATTTTTATCTTTCTTTTTAATTTCCTTCCCTGTCAATCCCAGTAGAAAGGCTTCGGGATTTTTTTGGAAAAGTGTACTTAAATATTTTTTTAAGTTCATTATAAATTAATTCCCAGAAGCCCTTCACTCTACCACAGGTCCACCACATGTGGTAGAGGTTGCTAGACCTGGCATTCTTAGCCTAATTTGAGTTGCAAGAGGTACTGGGGTCATTGAAGTCTCCCATGACTACTACATCTCTCCGTTTTGAATGTTTGCTCATCTGCTCAAGAAGGCGTCATCCAAATCTTCAGCCTGGCTTAGAGGTCCTTAGCAGATATCTACAACAAAGTCACTGTTGTTTCCTTCTCCTCCAAATTTAACCACAAATTCTCAACCTGCCTTCCATGCTCTGGGTCTTCACAAGTGTACACATCCTTTACATTATAATGCCACTCCTCCTCCCTTTCTGTTTCGTCTATTCCTTTTGAACAGGTTATACCTCTCAATTCCTACATTTCAGTCATGAGTATCATTCCACTAAGTTTCTTTTATTATTATTACTTTTAAAAAATTGTTTTATGTATGATTTTCAATTTTATACATTTCAGTAATTTTATAATCATTTTAACATTTAAAAACTTGGCTTCCTTCCTCTTTCTGCAGTTCCTTAAATATTTTCTGCATATCCAAATTAACTTAATTTGCTCATTTATTCATCTACTTTCAGTATATACTCTTATAAAACTGCAGGTTATTACAATAATCTAGCCAATGTCTGTTTACAATTTATTTGTAAATCTGTTTTATTTGTAAATATTCAACAAACCATTTCCATTCTTTTATAAAAAGTTTGTTATCTTGATTTCTTATTTTTCCAGTATGTTATGCCATTTCTGCGTATCCCATAAGTTTTTGTATCCATTCTTCTTTTGCTGGGATTTCTGCATCATCCCACTAAGTTTTAGTAACACCTGCCAGGTCCTATTTGCTGTCCTGTACTCAATTCGTCTTACTTTTTTCCCATACTCTGTACATTAGTGCAACTGTTGCACACCCGTCAGCATCCTGCCAGTCCCTGACACTCATTATGCGTCCTTTAGCATTGCAAAACCACTGCTCAGCCCAGAACCTCTCTACCGATGAACACAATACCCTCCACAAGCTCTTTTTACCTTTGCGTACTTTCTCAGGCACTCGTCCAGCGGCTGTGTGTGCCCGCCGAAGTCCTGTGTCTACCCTGGGAGAGACATAGCCGTAAGGGCCATATCGACCCAAACTCTGCAGCTGGAGCTGCTGCTTGTAGAAGAGCAGGCGGTTCCTTAGACCCTCATTTCGTCTCTCCAGTTCCCGAACCCTCTCCCGAGTCCCTTCCAGGTCCTCCTCCAGGTCCAGGTTTCTTCCAGAGCTTCGGATCCAGCTCCCGGGTCTCCCGTCAACTTGCATTCGCTCGTGGCTGAGCCTTGATAGTTTGGTGCCCATCCTGATAGAGCAAAGGGAGGGAAAGATCCAGTTTTGGCATTCTCAAGAATAATACATCCTCTGTAATTGGTGTTCGTAGGACCATGTTTGAGATTCAAGTTCTGGGCACCACCATTTAAGAAAGCCAAATCATGTTGGAAAAGATTCAGAGAGGGGTCATAGAAAGAAAGATAGAAGGAACCAGATATAGCCAATTTACAGGGAACCAGGTAGAGGGCCTTGTCAGTAGTGGCACCTGCCCTGTGGAACACCCACCCACCAGATGTCAAAGAGAACAACAACTACATGACTTTTAGAAGACATCTGAAGGCAGCCCTGTTTAGGGAAGCTTTTAATGTTTGATGCATTACTGTATTTTAATATTTTGTTGGAAGCCGCCCAGAGTGGCTGGGAAGCACAGCCAGAAGGGTGGGGTAGAAATAAATTATTATTAACTATTATTATTATTATTATTATTATTATTATTATTATTATTATCAGACTTGAGAAAATATAATAATAATAATAATAATAATAATAATTTATTATTTATACCCCGCCCATCTGGCTGGGCCTCCCCAGCCACTCTGGGCGGCTTCCATAGAAACCAAAAATACAGTAAAATATTACACGTTAAAACTCCCTGAACAGGGCTGCCTTAAGATGTCTTCTGAATGTCAGGTAGTTGTTTATCGCTTTGACATCTGCTGGAAGGGCGTTCCACAGGGCGGGCGCCACTACCGAGAAGGCCCTCTGCCTGGTTCCCTGTAGCTTTGCTTCTCACAATGAGGGAACCGCCAGAAGGCCCTCGGCGCTGGACCTCAGCGTCCGGGCAGAACGATGGGGGTGGAGACACTCCTTCAGGTATACTGGACCGAGGCCGTTTAGGGCTTTAAAGGTCAACACCAACACTTTGAATTGTGCTCGGAAACGTACTGGAAGCCAATGTAGGTCTTTCAAGACCGGTGTTATATGGTCTCGGCGGCCGGCCCCAGTCACCAGTCTAGCTGCCGCATTCTGGATTAGTTGTAGTTTCCAAGTCACCTTCAAAGGTAGCCCCACGTAGAGTGCATTGCAGTAGTCCAAGCGGGAGATAACCAGAGCATGCACCACTCTGGCGAGACAGTCCGCAGGCAGATAGGGTCTCAGCCTACGTACCAGATGGAGCTGTAGGAAGCAGTGTCTGGGCCGAAATCGGGAAAATGTCCTGGAAAATCTGGGCGTATGGCAACCCATGTTGGCAGAGTTGTTTTGGGTGACCTTCTTTAAAAAATAGTTCAAAAACCTGCCAAAAAAGGCTTCAACAATGTTGTTGTCCGGATTTTCACTTTTTGAGATATGGCAATCCTAGTTAATATGGCTGATGTAAGACGATGTGTTGATGGTGCAATCTGTATATGTGTTTTCTGTTATTGCAAAGACCTGCGTGACGGCTAGTTTAAATGCTCATTAGACTGAAGCCACTTCCTGTCGTGTTGGTTTGTTTTTTTAAAATTTGCAGTGTTGCAATGCTTGCATTCTGCCACTAGAGGCCACCATGGTGCTCTTGGCTTCAGCATGCACACAGAGAACACAGTTAGCACGACAGCGACACCTGGTGGCAGAATGTAACATTAGTCTTCACTGAAAAGAGGCATTCATGGAACAAAGGAAAGCATCAGCTCAATTGAGCTTAATTAATACAACACTTCCAGTTCTATTGACCGAACTAGACATATAACACAAAACCCAACCCAGAGTAGGGTGGTCGGGAAGTGGGAGAGGAGAGAGGGCTGTGGTTTACAGAGACAATAGACTACTCTGAACTATGATGACAGGCTGGGATTGATCCGTGGTGAGGGACCTATGTAGACTCAGCAACATTCTCTTTTATTACTGTTTGGCACATTGAAGCTGGTCTTGGGTGTGAACTCTAGCTTACTATAGTCATTTCTTCAAGACATTAGATTTAAAACACCTGTTAACTGAACAATCAGCCAGTTGATTGTGAGTAATGGACAACACACAATAATATACTCTGACAACGGACGACAATTTAATTAATAGCTGTCACTCCCGATACCTTTTGATCCTGTCCTCTTGCTTCCGGGCAAACTCTTTGAGCAGGAGATTTTCATCGTGAAGTCGCAAGAACCCGTCCTCTAACTCTGTGCGGTTCACTCGGTTTATCTGGCGCCGAGTCCTTGCCAGTGAACCTGATGCTGGGGAGCAGCAAAAGAATTGGGAAGAACATCATCAGCTATGTGGTCTGGAAACAAAGGAAGAAGTTTCCACCCATACAGAAATCTTGTAGATTTCATGGTTTCATCATTCATGATGGTCTTCAGGCCTTTGGAGGTGATTCTGCAAATGTTAACTAGGTTGGGAAGATAGAACCATGTATTGGGTGGAGGTCAAACATGGCTGTAAGAGGATGGTTTTTAATACATTTGCAAAAATTAAGTTTCACCTTCTAGTTGCACTAGGCCAGGCACTCCACCCTGCAGAGTCCAGGGCTCCAGGTAGCCACCTGGGCTGCCTGCTCCTAAAAAATGGCTCTGGTGAGAGTGATTGGCCTAAGACCACAGTGAGTTTCATGGTTGTGGGAGGATTTGAACTTAGGTCTCCCCAGTCCTAGCCCAACACTCTTACTACATAATGCTAGCCCTCTTCATAATGAGAATTATTATGTATAAGGATACAAGGTTCTTGTTGGCCAACCATGTTCTCCTCAATGATACTCTAAGCGATAAAGAGCTGAAGTAGGGCATCGTTGCCTCAGTTTCCCCTTTTCCTTTTCCAACACACTCAACATCCTGTGCTCAGCTGACCATGCTTAATTCTCATTGGACAGTTGGGGGAGGGTTAATATAGGGTTGCCCTATGTCCGGAATATCCTGAACATACCCTGAGTACCGCTGTAGGAAGCAGTGTCCCGGCCGAAATCGGGAAAATGTCCTGGAAAATCTGGGCGTATGGCAACCCATGTTGGCAGAGTTGTTTTAGGTGACCTTCTTTAAAAAATAGTTCAAAAACTTGCCAAAAAAGGCTTCAACAACGTTGTTGTCCGGATTTTCACTTTTTGAGATATGGCAACCCTAGTTAATATGTACTTCTAGAAACCTCAAAGTTCCCCAGTCGGGTGGACACTTCCATCTTGTTTCTCAGTAGTCCTGCTTCATCTCAATTTTTCTTGGCACGAACCATTGCGGTTTGCTATTAGAGGGAGTGGTTATGTGAAAAGTTTGATACGACACATAAAGACAGTGAATTTCATGACCTCGCCTACCTTTCATCCATGTTTTCAACCCTTGGGATTTGGCAGGGAGGACAGCAGAAGATGACACATCTGGAGGAAAGGGGGTTTGGAGATGGAGATAATAATATAATAATTTAATAATAATTTATTATTTATACCACGCCCATCTGGCTGGGTTTCCCCAGCCACTTTGGGCAGCTTCCAACCAAATATTAAAAACAATACAGAGTAGAGTTATCAATAGATAAAGCCATTCTTGCATAAAGAACATGGGTTTATGCATGGAGAGGGGGAGACTGGGGGAAGAAGAATTGCACAGACAAACCCACTGCATAACAACATAGTATTAAGAGTTTGAGGCAGGTAGGATATATGCAGGAGCCTCCTTCAAATTCCTGGATCCAGCAAGTGTTGTAATCTAAGCAAGGATTCAAACTCCTGGAATAGCCAGGCTAGCTTCCTGGTGAGGTAATGACCTACATAGGGGTTGTTAAGATAACAAAGGAAGCGACTCTGTGCCAGATGACAAATGGGTGGGAGCCTCTCTCCCTCAACTTGCTGATAGTTAGAAAAATAAAGGAGTTTTGAGTTACGTGAGCTAGAAGGTGGAGGCAAGAGAACCATGTCTGATTTCTGCTGGAATCCAAGGCTTCTGGGGCTATGGGAAAAGCAACATCTTTTTTGGGGGTGCTGATGCTGTGATCCTGTACAGCATGGACTCAGGTTGCACCTACGTGTAAATAAACCATATATTCTAAAGACACCACGGGGTCCGTCCGCTGTGCCTCATATTCTCAGGAGGAAACACAAATCCTGGGTGAGCAAATGGAACCTCTGGAATCTCGCACAGCTCAGAGATGGGGATGGCGGGCACAGTGTCCTAATGTGGGTTGCCAGCAGCCACGGCAAGGAAAGTATTGCGCTGCCACTGGCACGGTAGACTATTCCCCCCCCCCTATACTTCTTGGCATGCCACAAAAGGAAGCGGGTTTGTCTTTATTTACCAACCCTCTTTTTGCATAAGGGTACCCTGTAGGGAAAGGGATGCAGGTGGCGCTGTGCGTTAAAATCACAGAGACTAGGGCTTGCCAATCAGAAGGTTGGAGGTTCAAATCCCTGTGATGGGGTGAGCTCCTGTTGCTTGGTGCCTGCTCCTGCCAGTTCAAAAGCACGAGCAAGTAGATAAATAGGTACCGCTCCGGCGGGAAGGTAAATGGCGTTCCGTGCGCTGCTCTGGTTCGCCAGAAGCGGCTTAGTCATGCTGGCCACATGACCTGGAAGCTGTACGCTGGCTCCCTTGGCCAATAAAGTGAGATGAACACCACAACCCCAGAGTCGTCAGTGACTGGATCTAATGGTCAGGGGTCCCTTTACCCTTTAGGGCCATACCCTCTTAGCCTGTCCAGCTACGAGGGAGTTTCTGAGCCCTATTTTCAAAGACCGTTCCTTCCAATTCTAGAAACATAGCAACATAGGAAGCTGCCTTGTGCTGAACCAAACAATTGCACCATTTATATACATTGACCAGCAACTGCTCTTCCGGGTTCCAGACTGAAGTCTCTCCTGGCCCTACCTAAAGATGCCAGGGTTTGACTCTGGAACCTTTTGCATGCAAAGCAGATGCTCTCATACTGAGCTATAGCCCTGAATTCATCACTATGCACCTACATATTCATGCTCTGCTTGCAGGCAGCTCAAACGTCTTGAAGGGAGTTTGCATCAAGTTTTGGAAAGGCAGGACCGTATGTGAAACTGAGAGAATTTCAACCTGAGTTTCACATTGCACCGCACTCTTTGCAAATATTATCTGTGCAGCAAAGGACACCTAACTCAACGCTTCAATTTCCGGTATTGCACTGTGGAAATGTCAGAATGTAGTCTTTAAGGAATTGAAGCTTCCTCGAGCAGGGGAAGCAAGGAAGAAAAGTTGCTAGTCCTTTGGGCCGCAAAGACAAACTGTCGAAATATGATTAAACTGAATGAGATATACAAGAGGGGACAAATCAGGAAATTCAAGGGTCAAGAAGTGGTGGAATTTCAGTATCCTGCAAAGTTTACCCATCTGCATGACTGTGGTAATAACAACCCAAAATGATCAAATCGATGCAGATTTACATAATTTATTCCGGTTGCAGAATTAAACTTTTCCTGACACGGAATCTGAATTCCATTTGCAGTTCTGTTTATGAAAGTTTCAGAGTGAGCAACACAACTATTGTAGCAAATGCCCTAAAAAACCACTCCTCCCCAACCAAATTTTGACCTTGTATAGCCGCAATCACGGAGGGCTTCTGGTTGGTGTCTCGGACTGGCAGATCACCTGCTGTTTCGTCCAACACAAGCAGCGACATGGCTGGGAAGGAGGCCTGGAACAAAGCTGAAATAACAAAGATGGGACTTAGGAAGAGAGCTTTGGAAGGAACACAGTGGCTTTCTTAGGCACACCCCAGACTCCAAGTGGTGAAAGGTTTCAAGAACCCCAGCACATACCTTGGGATTCTAGAGTCGTGAGATCAATCCCTGGTTTGGTCAAAAGATTCCTGCGTTGCAGAAGGATGGACTAAATTAGTGGTTTTCAACCAGTGTGCCGTGGCACCCTGGGGTGCCTTGAACGATGGTCAGGGGTGCCGTGGGCAACACTGGCTTCTGTCCGTCTTTCCTTCCTTCCCTCCCCTGATGCCCTCTCATGTCTCTGGCTCCCAAAGGCTTGCACAGCTGTTTGTTGCAGCAGCCCTGGCTACAAGCTTCGCAGGCGAATGGTGCCTCTGGGGCTGGCCAGGGGGTGCTGGTTGCCAGGAGCTGAGGTGGCCTCAGAGTGAGCAAGCAAGCAGGAGAGGGAGCCCAGTCCGCCAGTCTGCCAGTGCCTGCTGTTGGGAAAGGAGAATAGTGAGAGGCGGGCAAGTGCTGGCCGTGCTGGCCTTTCTTGTGCTTGCTGTGTGCAAGGCCTGCCTGGAAGTTGAGTGCCCACTTTTGACCCTGCCGCCTCCCAAGGTAAAGTGCTGGCCTCACATTCACCTTTGGCCAGTCTCTGTTGGGCCACTAAGGTTGGGAATATCCTCTTCTCAGGCCCCTGTGGGGCAGTGTGAGGAGGCACCTCTCTTTGGGGCAGGAGAGGGGTGCAGCTCAGAGATCAGGGGCAGCGGCTGTCCGGAGGACTCCCAAGGAGAGGGGAGAGGAGAGGAGGCTGGGGGGGAACTCCACAAGGCAGGTTGTTCTGAAAGGGGCGAGACGCTGCCACTTCTGCAGGTAAGGGGTGGCACATCTGGGCTCCTGAGGGTGCTGCAGAAAGAATAACGTTGGTAAAGGGAGCCGTGGACTCAAAAAGGGTGGAAACCTCTGCACTAGATTATCCTTGTGGTCCCTTCTGACTCTGCGATTCTATGCTCTAAAGTTAACTTAGAGTGTATTCTGTGATCCCTGCTGTAGAAAAGGACATGCCTGAGACCTTCCTTGTTAACCACACGACGCAAACATTTCCTTAGCAGCCATGTGTGCCTGTTTTTATTGATTTTTCTGATTGCCACGGCACCTGCTGGTACTGTATCACTGTAGTGTGGTTTCAGTCTGCTGTGTTTAGGAAACAGAGGTAGCTGCCCCATAACAAACAAATCAGCCAGTTGGGTCTATCTAGCTCAGTACAGTCCACACTGACTGGCAGCAGCTCTCCAGGGATTTCAGACATGGGGCGTTCCCATTCCTACCTGGAGACGCCGGGGATTGAACCCGGGACCTTACGAATGCAAAGCGGATGCTCTGCCACTGAGCTATGCAGCCTTCCCTAAGGCTAAGCACTTTAAACTTTTGATAGAATCCACTTTGTTTATAGTGGGAAGGCAGGCTAGATATTTCCTTTTCATAAAGAAATGCATACTCATTTTAGTGGAAAACACAGCCCCGTATTGACAAAGAGATAGAGTTCAACGGGAGAGAGGGAGAGAGAGGTTTTCTGGACCTGAGGTTGCTCCCAGACCACCTGTCTGCAGAGAGCTAGAGAACACCTGTGATTTACAGAGCCTTCACTCTGAATTTGTTTGCCAAAGGAGGTGATGCAACATCGTCTCAAGCAGTTGTTTTCCCATGCTTTCAGGTACATTTCCCCCATCCGTTGCAAAAAAAGGTCCATATTTTCCTTTTCTTTTGGAAGGCAGGTTTGCTGCACTAGAGTTCCCAATCAACTTTAATTGCACAGCCCAAATTGGCCAGTGTGTGGCTGAATCCTTTCCCCAAAATGGCGATCTTCGAAGCATCCTTTGAGACTTTGTTGAAGATCAAGGCCTCTCCCACCTCCGGATGCTTTTGAAGCTGCCTCTGCAGCCGCTCGCTTGCAGCGGAAATAACTGCACTCTGTTTCTTGATCTGGCCTCTTCCATCTCCCCCCCCCCCCCGCCCAGCCGCCACGGCCTGGAAGAAGCACTTGATCTCGCCACCCACACAGTCCTGCAAGAGCAACTGCGGATTTTCTCTCCCCTCCCACTAAAACCTCTTGCCATCTGTTAGAAAGAGCTCAGTCCAGGCTGTTATGTTTTCAGTTCCTGTCTTTACGGGCACGCCACACTTGCGCTTTATCGCCGGTGTCTTCTGCAACATGTCTTTGACGGAACAACAGTGCATCAGTGGTTTGATTTATTCCGATTTCTTTTTTTAGTTGTTCTGCTCCACTTCCTCAAGGCTATCACATTGCTGCTGTCTGGAGGAGCTGTAAAAGTGCATGGTTGAACTGTGGAACTCGTTGCTGCAGGAAACAGCGATGGCCTCCTACTTGGATGGCTTTAGAAGAGGATTCGGCAAATTCAGGGAGCCCAAGACTGTCTGATACCAAGTCAGATCAACAGTCCATTTTTCAGGTTTCAGGGAAGGATCTCTCTCAAACCTACCTGGATATGCCAGGAATAAAACCTGGATTTCTTCTGCATGCTCTGCCACTGATCAATGGCCTTTTTCCTATAAGATGTAGCTGTAAGCTGGAGCTACAACTCCCAGGATAGTGAATGAATGAATGAATGAATCTTTATTGCTAAAAGCTGTCAAAAGTTACGCGGGTGGCGCTGTGGGTTAAACCACTGAGCCTAGGACTTGCCGATCAGAAGGCGGCCGTTCAAATTCCCGCGACGGGGTGAGCTCCCGTTGCTCAGTCCCTCTTCCGCCAACCTAGCAGTTTGAAAGCCTGTCAAAGTGCAAGTAGATAAATAGGTACCGCTCTGGTGGGAAGGTAAACGGCGTTTCCGTGCGCTGCTCTGGTTCGCCAGAAGCAGCTTAGTCATGCTGGCCACATGACCCGGAAGCTGTACGCCGGCTCCCTCTGCCAGTAAAGCGAGATGGGCGCTGCAACCCCAGAGTCGGTCACGACTGGACCTAATGGTCAGGGGTCCCTTTACCTTTACCCTATAAGCCGTCACAATTGGTCACAAGGCTTTAGATACAAATAACTGATTTAAAACTGAACAACAGCAGCAGCAAAGCAAACATACAAAAATGCAAAGATCCCTGTTGCATAAGTTTAGCACTCCACGTCTCACACTCCCCCTTATGATACTTGTCTTGGTGCCTAGCTCTCAACTTACTTGCAGCCAAGGCAAATGTTGCAGCCCGTGCAGTCATAAATGCATTATTGCCAGCCAGTAAAATAGAGATTTGCTCAAGAGGAGTTTGGTTGGAAAGAGAGCAAAGGATGGAATCGAGGAATTTTTGTCGAGGGGATGTATATAAAGGGCATCGTAACAAATACCGTTGAATGTCCTCCACGTCTCCCGACTCACAGATGCTTCCCAGAATAGTTTCACAATAACAGAATCGTAGAGTTGGAAGGGACCCCGGGGGTCATCCAATCCAGCCCCTTGTAATGCAGGAATCTCAACAAGAGCATCCAGGACAAGATGGTCATCCAGCCTCTGCTTAAAATCTGCCGAGGAAAGGGAGTTCACCTCCTACTGAGGGAGTCTGTTCCACTGTCAAACAGCTCTTACTGTCAGAAATTTCTGATGTTGAGTTGTAAACTCCTTTCTTGTAACCTGAAGCCATTGGTTCGAGTCCTACCTGCCAGAGCAGGAGAAAACAAGCTTGCTCCATCTTCCACGTGACAGCCTTTATGATATGGGAAGATGGCTACCATATCTCCTCTCAGTCTCCTCTTCTCCAGGCTAAACATACCCAACACCCTCAACCGCTCCTCATAAGGCTTGTTTTCCAGGCCCTTGGTCATCTCGGTCGCCCTCCTCTGCACAAGTTCCAGCTTGTCAACATCCTTCTTAAATTTTGGCACCCAGAACTGGACACAGTATTCCAGTTGTGGTCTGACCAAGGTAGAATAGAGTGGTATCAATCTCAATTCCCAGTGAACTCTGGGAATTGTAGCTCTGTGAGAAGAATTGGTGTCTCCCAACTACTCTCATTGCGCTTAACAAGCTACAGCTCCCAGAATTCTTTTGGGGGGGAGCCATCACTGTTTAAAGAGGCAATAGAGTGCTTTAAACACACATTGTGTATGTAACTCTGGTGTATAGGATTGCACTGTGAGTCTCTCAGGTGACACAAGGCTCTGCTGTTTTTGACGCAACAGGCTAGCGTAGCTTCTTGTCTGGAATTAGGTAAATGATCCTTTTTGTTGGGCAAATTTAGGCGGGCACATTGGACTATGCAAACCTTTTGAAGGACTCTGGAAGAATGGAAAGGGGGCAAAATTTCACACAAGCAGTGCACGCACGCTTTGTTATAACACGAAACATTTGCATTGCTGATGGCAGGCTCTGAACAACTCAAAAGACATTTACATTGTTTATGGGAGATTTGCAAAGGTAGTTTCTGAGGGGAAGAAAAAGACGGAGGGTGTCTCTAATTCTGCCCTGTTCAGAGGTGAGCTGAAATTAATGAGACTGAGTTAGTCTGCTTTCACTTGGCAGTTTATTCCAATTCCCTGATGCTTCCCTGCTGCTTAATTTCCACATTATATGTGAGCTTTCACTTGATGTCAATGTCCATTCCAGAAAAACCAAGAGAATATTGCACGCATTTAGCACTCAGTTCTGTTATCTGATTCCAGAAAAAAATCCATTTGCAGCCCCCTCAATTGGGGAAAAAATCGCAGGAATGAAGTGACAAAATTTGGGGCAGTATACCGGCAAACACCAATTTCCTGCCGTTTTCATGGGGGAACCATGATGGAACAGAAACATGCATGTGTGAAAAGCGTAGGTGAGCAGTGACATCGTCCAATGGTGTTTATTGTTGTTACACCACCCCCACCCCCACTGGTGTGAAAGAAATTTAGCATGATGCGCTGCTATATCTGTCAAAAAGCCACAGTTACGTAACACAACACATCCTGCAGTGTGAAAGGAACATTAGAAATCTGGGTGGAAGCAGTATAATCAGCAAAACTAACCCGATATTCCTACATCTGAATGTACCCTTAGTTAAACAGACAGACAGACATACACTCCAGCACTTCTCCGATGAAAATAGAGATGTCCTATTCCATAATGATGATGATGATATTTTTACTATTTATACCCCACCCATCTGACTGGGTTGCCCTAGCCACTCTGGTTGTGGCTGAGGAGCCTCAGGGTTTTCAGGGGAATAAGCCCAAATAAGATCTTGTAAGGTCGAAGTCCACCTGCCCCTGCTTAAAAGCATCTCCCTAGGACAGGCATCCCCAAACTCGGCCCTCCAGATGTTTTCGGACTACAACTCCCATCATCCCTAGCTAACCAGTGGTCAGGGATGATGGGAATTGTAGTCCCAAAACATCTGGAGAGCTGAGTTTGGGGGTGCCTGCTCTAGGATTTCAGGCAGGCGTCTCTTTCAGCCCACCCTGAAGATGCAGAGGAATGAACCTGCCACGGCAGAATTTCTTCTGTTGTCTGTCACCTTCTCCTCTCTGCTCCCCACCCCAAACCGTGCTGTGATTTTAAATTCCCTCTCTGGATATTGAAATTAATCAGATTCTAGCTCACGCTTATACAGGCCAAGACGGAGATGGGGCTTTGGGCTCTATCCAATCCCTCCGATGCTTTTGCCCCAGTTCGCTTTCGCCTTCCACGCCACTTAAGAGGCTGTCTTCTCGATGGTTCCGTATATCGGTTTCTCGGTGAGTCATGTTAGGCAGACGCTGCCCAGAAGGGAAGGACGAAATCCCTTTGGTAATCCTGGCCTGCCTAAGCTCATTAACGGGTCAAGGAGGAGGAGGAGGAGGAGGAGGAGGAGGAGGAGAAAGGGTACTTTGGGCAACAGAAGGATGGAGAGATGAGCAAGCTGCTGGCTACCCAGCTAACATGGCAGCAATTAATCCCTCGCTTTCCACCTCACAGAAGACTTGAAAAGCAAGTCAGGGTGGGCAAAGAGACTTGGGGTGTTAGAGCAAAAGGGGAGAGACCACTTGTATACCTGAACGAGCATCTTCACCCCCATTGTTCAGCCCGGACACTGAGGTCCAGCGCCAAGGGCCTTCTGGCGGTCCCCTCATTGTGAGGAGCGAAGTTACAGAAAACAAGGCAAAGGGCCTTCTTGGTAGTGGCGCCCTCCCATCAGATGTCAAGGAAACAAACAACTATCTGACTTTTAGAAGACATCCGAAGGCAGCCCTGTTTAGGAAAGTTTTTAACGTTTGGTGTTTTATCGTGTTTTTAATGTTGTGTTGGGAGTCACCCAGAGTGGCTGGGGCAACCCAGTTAGATAGGGGGCATGTTATTATCATTATTATTCATTTATTGTTTGATTTGGATTTATTTTCATGCATTTATTACACCCCAACTTCCTTCCAACATGGGACCCAAGGTGGCG